ACTTAAACTCACAAATAAATATTTAGATAATAATTCACTGTAAATTAAGAAGTTTTAATTACCGAAGAATCGACTTGTGCATAATCGAAACAAATAATCCATCCGCGCTTTCCGTTTGATTACTTGCTCAAAAGCGGAGAAATTAAATCTCACTTTTTGAGGCAGCCCGGCGGAAACTTATTAATAAGTTTTTTTCCTTGCTTATTAAATTCCCGGATTACTTTGATAAAATTATAGGAAATTTAATTTCCATCGCGCGTGTACGGTACACGCGCTTCTGCAGCGGCCACATTGTTAGATTAATTTCAGGAAGTTTAGTGAAGTTTTCTCCGGGTTAATTGCGCTTGCGATCACGACTAATTACGTTAATTAGTTTTTTGTACCGCCTATAAATTATTAATACTTATTTTAGATTAGTTTATTGTTTAAAATGCGATAGGATTAATTTTTGGGGCGGGAAAAATTAATTTCTCACTCATTAAAATGGCTTAGGTACGCACTTAAAATGACTCTGTTGGTAGATTGCTGGATTATTTAAATGATGATAAATGACACTTTCTAGTTGATAAAGGACTCAGAAGGATAATTAACTTTCTTAGGTAGATAATTGACTCTTTTATGTATACATAACTCTCTTGGGTAAAATATGCCTTTCAATCGTAAATAATTGATTCATTAGATATCCGAATATGAATGGCTTGATAATGAATAAATAAACGATCGAATCTTTTGGGTCTTAAAAAATAGGTAAACGGTACACTTTCTTAAATCAATAATGTCTATCCAATCTAATTCCCAATTCAGGGTCCCGGTTTCTATCCCTATTTAGGGCGATTTTCCTCATCAGATGTCATGAGTAAAAATAACATTCTGATAACAAAAAAAGTCTGACTTCGTTACAAAACCAATTTCTCACTACTAATCCAGCGTTAAAATCGCTTTCCGTTTTATCACTGGCAATTAGGCATTCTTAAGCGACTGCAGTTTCCTTTAATTCGTTCAGGGAATTTTTTTATCTTGTTTAGGTATACTTACACGAACAAATAAATAGTAAGATGGCGGAGGATAACTGTTTAAAGGTGCCTAATATTTGCCTTCTTACCGAAAAGCGTGGAAAAAGTTGAAAAGCAAACTAAAGCGGCAGTAAAATGGAATGGAACTACGAATGATCGTAATTAATAACAGCGAAATTAATACGGTTTTTAGGGCGATAATTTATTACAACACTCCGTATGCGCGCGTATATTCGCTTCGAAATATACCACTTATTCGCTAGTTGTATGAAATATTCCGTAATATATTTTTTAATTTTAAACATAACGTGACATTCCGGAGGAGAGATTCGGAGCATATTTCATTTTATAGCTTTTAAGGGCATCCAAAATAAAGGAATTTCTTGTATTAAAACGCGTATGATGCTCGTTGAGACGAGCCTCTTCAATTCCTAGAAAGGTTTTCAGTGGCGTAACTTCGAAATATTTCGAAAAATACTATACTTTTCACCCTACGCGATGTTTTTATTTATAATTCAATCGTAAAATTTGAATGATTAGTGTGTTATAAAAGTCAGGGATTTGATGGAGAATTTTAGAAAGTAGTGCTAGACTTAATTTAGATAAATTTAATGTGTAGTGCATACTATATTCTAAATCTAGATAGGAAGGAATGTCTGCAAAAAAATTTGCAATTAGCGAGAATCCCATAAAACTTACACTATCAGAATGGTAACAAGTGCGAAATAATGAGGAACTGCTTCATTTATAACAGCAATTATTGCTGCGAATGGAGCTGCGCTTGTTAAAAATCCGAACGCAGTAAACGCTTGTTTAGAGAAAGCACATGAACACGTTAAAACCAGAAATCGAACGAGTTGTAAAAACGCCGTTAAACTTACGAATCGGCGGTTTAACGGGGCAATAGGATTATTTTTACCTACTGCATTACTATTTATGAGGATTTACTGCACAGTTTGTTTTGAAAGTAACTCCATTCTTTTAACAGCGCCTAATTTACTTGAGTGCAAAATATAGTAAATAACATCGTTTAAGTACGCTACCGGGCGGTTTTATTTCCGATTTTTACGCCCAAAATCGACGACAACAAGATTATAAATCTGTGGCTCTTTCTCCTTGAAAAGGGTCGCCCGAATTATAACAGATACAAAATGTTTCGGACGGGCGTTGCGTCCTCGAAACGTAATACATCATGCGAACGATTTCAAAGCGCATAAATGAAGTGAAACGGGAAAAACGTCCATTGATGTACGCGTTTTTCTTTTGTGGAAAGCGGCTTTTGTGGCTTTCTCCCTTATGTGTACGTTTTTTTATATTGAAAGAAGAGCGCGTTCCACTCCGGGCGCCGCGCCCGACCCGGAGTAATCACGATGATGCTCTTTGCAGTCGACTTGAGGAAATCCCATGGTCGGGGACTAATGTTATTCCAAAATTACCTAAATAGAGTACTTAAATAAGTAGCGGATATTCCTTTAAAGTTAGAAATTTTCACGACACTTTAGGATATTAGGCAAATAAAGATATTTAGTGCACCGAAACTTTTTACTTCTAAATGCATTACCCTATAATTATTTTGTAACGATTGCTCAACAGTAAGAGCAGGAATTGATAATTTCGATAATAATGTAACTTTCTACGAAGTCGATTTTCTATATTTACGAATATCGGTCGAAATTGTCGATTTACATTTCGCGTTTTATTAGCGAAACGGGCTTTTACTTTAACGCAGGCGGTATATTAAACGCGACATTTAATGACGTGATACTCCTTTCATCCTCGGCGATTAGCTCTTTTATGTACGGTAATAATTGTCCGATTTCGCAACGAATCCTAACGAGTCGCCGGCAAAAAAGCCAACCGGTTAGAATAGAATTAGAGGCTCGGCGGTGAATTTCCTAGTCGCGAAGTTTTTCCCGGCGGATTCGCGTCCTTTTCGTTTCCGCGGAATTTTAGGAAAATCCGCGCGTTTCTTCGATTATTTCCTGGCGGTAAACGAACTTTAATAGACTTATCGATAAGTGCGGGAACTTGAATTTAAGGATGTAATATTACCGATTAATAGCATGAATTATGAGAAAAATTGTTTTATCCAACCGACCTAGAGAATCACCCTGTAGAATTTGTAAAAAAGTCATTTTCCCATATATTGCTAATTCGATTATACCAAACACCAGACGGCATATGTAAAATAATAGCAAAAACAACATGTATATTTACTCACAAATAAATTACGAGTTTGTAGAGTCTCGTCAGGAGTACAATTTGTACACGGAGAGAGGAATTAATTTATTATCTAATGAAATGAGGAATCAATTAACCACCTACTGTTTAATGCGCTTTTCTATTAATTATAAATACGGGGTATAATTCATTCGATCGGTAATGATGCCAAGATAACGTAGAAATAAAACATTTTTAATGTCGGTGTTAACATCGTTAGGAGAATTTATGCGATTTGGTGCATTCAGTACAGAAATGAAAATTGTTCAATTAATTTCGAATTTAATTAACTATTGATCACAAATAAAAAACATTATTTATTGGCTATTAGATTATTAAATGGTCTGTGTACTTTTGAAATTTACATGTTTAAATTTATGACAGTTTATTTACTTATTTTGAAAGGGATTTTTTAAAGATTTTTTTAATATTAATTAATGATTTAATAAGAGGTAAAAACTTTTTAAAGTTCTTGTGTTTTCTGTAAAGGATAATATTATTTGTGTTACTTTTAAAATATTTATATTTTTTGCAAGTTTAGTCATTTTTATGACATTTTCTGTGTTTTATATTTCATTGATTTTGTACTTGTTTTCTTCGTTATTTTATCAAGATTTGTTTCTTTAAAAAAGTATACACCTATACATTACATATCCATTAAGTTTAACTAGGTAATTTCTAACATCGATTTTTTAAACACTGTTATTAGCGGACAAACCTTCCAATCAAGCAAACAATGCCCCTTTTCTTCAATGTTAAATTAATTAACAACACTCGGAGCAATCCCGAAGAAATGGCACGCCATTCGTACTTTATGTGTACGAAGGAAACGCGGAGAGCAAAGCCTCGATACCTCGAGGAGTTAATTGATTTCCACTCGAGCATTCATTAGCCCGTTCTGACACGTCTTCAAATTAATCGCTCATTTATTGAAAACGAACGTTTTCGTTAGTAATGGCTGAACCAGTTTCCTTTTAAGGTGTCTATTGTTCATTTCGACGGGCACGTTTAAGTATTAAGTAGATTTCTTTTTGAGGCTAAACACTGACACACAATCCGGCTCGTTTATTACGCATACATGCGCATGTATGTGGTAGATATTGTGCAATGAGAGATGTTATTAACATTCAAATTACTCGTATATTTTCTTATTATCGAGTACGAAAAGTTTTCGTTATTGTACATTGTTTTGTATGAAAGTTATACGGTTAAATCATTCTACACAGTTTATATTGGAATGAAACATGTTTCACTATACCTCAAAAGTTTCATTAAGTAAGGCTCCACATATATTTTGGAGGGATTTAAATTGAGCGCTAATTTGTAAGGATCAATTGCTCTTATAAGTTGATTAGAATCTAGTTGTGTCAAACTTATCTAAAAAGAGGAATTCTTGGCAAGAACTGGATTAACCAATGAGCTCAATTTAAGCCAAGTTTAAGATTAGATTGTTCCAGTGCAGGGGTTGCTCAATATAACATTGAACTTACTAACATCAAACAATAATTAGAGTATTATGTAATAAGTGCCAAAAATAAGCTATAGTACCATTTTTTTCTTACTATCCGAATGCGTTGAATATAATTCAAATTTGGGTGCCTATTAATATAATCACCCAATTCGCCTTAGCAAATTTCCATTCGCAACACATCTGAATAGACCAACTTAAGTAAAATTCCGCATAAATATTTATGCCCGGCGACTCGACTACTTTCTTTTCCTGTTTCACAAACGGGGCATGTATTATGTCATCTAAAAAGGCCTTACCTTTGCATTCGTTGGCGTCCCTGGTGGTGGCCCTGCCCCAAGGCCTGTCGAAATGGAACGGCTTGCAGCGCTCGCAGTCCCTGCCGGCCGTATTGTGTTTACATTCGCATGCCAACAGCCCGTCGCGACCCGTAGCGCACCTGCTGGCGTGCCCGTTGCACTTGCATCGCCCGCCGACGGCGAAATCCGACACGGCGTATTGATGCGTCACCTGGTGGTACACCCCGACGATCCCGTTGGAGGTGAGCTCCGAAGGCACCGGCGCCTTCGCCCCGGCAGCGCCCGCGGACGCGTCGTCGTTGTCCTCCGCTTGCATCTCGTTCACCAGCTGCACCGTCGGCTCCTTCAGCTCCTGGTGCTCGTCGAGGTGCTTGTGCAGCAGGTGCTCGTCGACGAGGATGTCCAGGTTGTCGGAGAAGTTGTCCTCGACGGGCATGTAGAGCCGGTTGAAGACCACTTTGATGTCGGTGGCCGTCACCCAATCCTGCAGCACGGGGCTGTTGTCGAAGTCCGAGGCGCTGGGCCGGCCTTCCAGCGTGCTGAACGCTATCCTGGAGGTTTGCCCGAAATTGAGCATATCGCCGCCGGTGTACCGGTGGGCGTCCGTGCACCTAGCTTCTTGTTCGTTGGTTTTCGTTATAGTAGCTCTATTAGGTCGACCGTAAACGCGTCTACACTGCGACGAATAGAACTGGAAAGGTTGCCAGGTCTTTCCGTAATCCATGCTCTTGTATATGGCTATGGAGTCGGGTTTGGATGTATTGGGACAAAACTGCAGGCTGACGTACGTCAGCTCGTACTTCTTACCCAAGCTCAGCGTTAGGGTAACGTTATCGGGCGGCGCGTTGATGTTGGTGACCGGCGGCACGGGCTCTGATCTCCAGCAGGTCACGTTGTTGGGATTGTTCAGATCCGTGAGGTAAGCGGCCGGAAACCTGGTCTTCGGCTGCTTGTCGTCGCAGACGCGGCACTGCGGATTCGCGCCCGGCTCCGGCGCCTCGCAATAGTGCACCGGACTGGCGACGCCGCACGTCGACGACGCCTTCACGGGCACGCCGAAGGCGGCGTTGACGAAGTCCGGGATGCACCGGCGGGGCCGGTCCTCGTCGTAGCACGGATCGGCGGGCGCCTGCCCTTCGAACATCTTGAGGAAGTTCTCGTTGACCGACAGCACCGAGGAGGCGTGCATGATCATCATCAGGAGCAGCATGATGCGTAGCGTTAGGGCCATGGTTCAGGCCAGACGCATCGTCGGCGGACGGCCGGCGGTGGAGGTTAGGGAGCGCGCGAGCGAGGAGGAAAATGCGCGACGCGAAGTTCTCGATCGGAACGGAGAGCGGCTGAGCGGGCGAGTAGCGTTCGACGGTCGTTGTGTAACTGGCGGTGCGACGTCTACGAACGTCTGTTGGAAGTCTGCGGCACCTTCCCCCGGTGTGTGGGGCGCATACCGAGGAGCTAAGTGCCCGAAGAGGCTGGTAATTGATGACGAGGTTGATTGTCGCGAATTAATACGTCGGCTGAGATTATCATCCGCGAGCGGGTCAATCGATCAGGTTCGAATGTCGGCGATCGGGATCGATTGGTTGTACAATGAATATTAGGTTTTGCTCAAATTGGTAACTGATACCGTGTTTTTTTCAAATCTGTTATAATGATAGGAGCTACCTCGTTCGCCTCGTTGATGTTATTATCGAATTTATCTTCTTTATTGATGCGTGTTTGATTTCGAAATAATGGAAATGTTTATTTTCGACATTAAAACTGTATTCATTTAAATAATTATAATTCAAATATTTGGAATATAATGGATTTGTTTCACTTGCATACAGGTTATGATTTTGATTGGAAAAGCTTCGAAAATAAGTAATTACAGTAGCAAAACAATGGAAAAATTAATTTAAACGTACGCCGATAAATAAAGGTCTATACATACACATACCTATTTGTTAATTTAACTGGAGCATATAAAAAAATCAGAAAATTTTAACAAAAATATTGACTTTTTACGAAATAATAAAATGAAAAATATAATACGTGTATTGCACCGAAATTTCAATAGGTTTCAGGCCAAGGGATTTATTTTTTAGCAGATAAAAGCCCGTAAAAAAATAATTAAACGATAACAGAGGCACAATGAAAAAACAACATTTATTGTCAACCATTTATTAGGTAAATAATAAAATAAACATGAATTCAACCGAAAGACAAAAATCAGATTTATTTTTTATGTACATATACCATAAATTATACTGAAAACTCTACAGTTTACTTTAGATTGTTAACTTTTTACATACATATTACATATCAACAGAGTTACCTACCCAAAATTATATTTACATTTAAAGAAAAAAACATCTTATGTACTAGCTAGTAATTGTGATGCTGTTACTCATCTACTTAAGTGATATAATTAATGGTAATTATGTGATCCGGTAATTAAAATAAATCACAATAGTTTAGAATTACGGATGGGCGCCTTCACTTCAGACAGAAACGGACCTGGGTTGAACATCTAAAAATAAGAGAAAAATAAAAAATAAATCAATACAATGTAATTCTATTTGTTTGCAGTTAAATCCAGGATAATTAAAAAAAAATACTAATTAAAAATATTGCTGTTGTTTTTGATTCTATGCAATTATATTGTTTCATGTTGTATAAACTGGAATTTTCATACTTTAACTAATAGATTTTTTAGTATAGTCTGTTATGTAACAGTTATACATATAATTCAACGATCTTCTATTATTTTTTATTTCTTTTTGTTTTTCATTATACATTCAGTAATTTTTAAAACAATTTTTGATACATTCTATTGACCTTTGTACTTGCTTGCTTTGTTTTTGTAATACTTGTGTATTTTTCTCAAAAAGTAACAGATGTATGCGAAAGAGCTTTCTGTTAATTTAGGACAAAAAACTGTTATTTTTTTTTATTTTATCCATTCCCAGTAAATTCAACAAAACTAAATTATCCACCCGCATTTCAAGCAAATCGCAATCAGCCCGCCTTTAATCGATCACACTTACAATGAGGCCTCACTTCGTTGCCCTGCTTATCCTGCTCCTGAGGCTCCGCTTCCTGCGGCGTCACGCCCACCGGCAAACTCAACGGTATTCCTCTGGCGTACATTTGTCTTCCGTTCATTTCGTTAGCGCTTTGTCTTTGCTCCTGCACGAATTGCACGTCCTGCGGTGTGGATTCCTCCGAATCGCCCTCTGACATGGCCACAATCGCGACGCGATTCGGCAAAGGCAGTGGCAATCTAGCGATAAAAGAAAATTTATGATAATTTATCGCCTACAAGCAGTGTTTTGAAGATGATCAGTGAATATAAGAAGTAAGTTGATAATATTGTCTTGTATTATACAATTTGTATATCTACACAAAGAAGAGGTTACTAAAGGAAGAGATGAATAGGATTTAGATCACAGAATAGCACAATTAAATCATGGCACAAAGATGCATTGACTCGGAGCTATTCATGAATGGAATATACCTGTGCAATTGGGCTAGGACTTCCTCAGGAATGGGCAACTTCTGGCCCGCTTGGCCCATCTGTTCGATTTGCACGAACCGCGGGCGTTCCTCCGATTCCGAAGTTTGGTCCTGCTGAACCGGTGCCTGAGGGGTGATTTCTCGCTGCTGTTGCTGCTCCTGTTCCTTCATTTGTTGCTCGCGCAACTTCTGGCTCTCGATGATCTTCTGTGCGACGATTTGCTGGACGATGTGTTGCAGGATCGGGTTCGGCGGGAAATCGTCTAAAAGAAGAGAATTGCGTTTACTAATCTGCATGTTAGCTATCAGTATATTAATAAAGTTATAGGCAATAATAGCAAGTCCGAGGAAAAGTTGAACATAACTCTCCTTCAAGGCTAAAAAGGCCTATTAAAACCTTCTTTTTGGATCATTTTCTTAGTATGAGTTTAAGGTAACGAAACGCGACTACTTACTGGGTTGTCTTTGGGGAACTTGCTGGGCCTCCATGTGGATCTGGAACTCCGGCTGGCCGGACATTTGTTGGTCTTGTTGGGGCATGGTGGGCGGCATGGGCGGTCGCAGGTTCTCGATGTGGATCATCTGGGGTCCCATCGGGCGCTGTTGCATCGGCGGTGCCATCTGTTGGGGCATGTGAGTGTTGAAAGGCGAGTGCGGTATGGGTATCATCAACGGTTGAATCATGATAGTCTCTTCGTCCTGATCCTCGGGATCTTCTTCTTTCGGTTTAACCGATGGCTCCGCGCTAAAAATATATTAATTTAGTTGAATCCGCATGGTGCATGCAAACAGGTAATTACGCACCTCTGAAGGGTTCCGCTTTCGCATACAATCACCATGCGTTCGCCGGTGAGCTTCTCGAACCTGGGGTTGGTGGTCAGGTTGATGCCGAACGGCAGCCTGACGGTTTTGGGCAGATGGTCCACGAATTCCTCGGCCTTCTTCTTTTCGACCACGCAGTTCATTTTGGATTTTTGGTTCTTCTCTAGCAGATGGGAAATCAGTTCGTCCATGTCCATTGGGGAGGCGGCGGCCGCTTTCGATGGCCGGAGCGGCTCTCTGTTCGGAACTTCTTCGGAATCCGAGTCCGATTCGTCGGAGTCGCCTTCGGAGGAATCGTCGTCGACGTGATTGGTTAGCTCTTTTGTGCTGGATGTTGGTTCTTCGGCGTGGAGCGGGTCTACTTGGCGTTTCGCATTCGATGTCGTTGCAGTGGGTTCCTAAAAAAATTAAACATATATTAATAAGAAATATACCAAATCAGTAATAACACATGATATAGAGATGAATATATTATTCCACTTAATTTTAACAGTATATGTATAACATAGGTACCAAGACTTTTATCACAAAAAATTTATTGATGTCAAACAATATTTTGTCCTTATTATCATCTGTTCAATTCCTAGAATGAGAGTTAGCAAACATTTCGATTTTTCTTACAAGAATGTTATCCTGTTAGTGAACATGTTGTAGGACATAAAAATTGTTTCGTAGAATATTAGGAGAATAAAAAATTGCGACACGTAACGAATGCAATCGAATGTGCAACGATCGTTACGCATGCTTTTTCGAACGTTGTTTGTATAATTAGTTTACAGAGCACCGGTTATTATTTTAAATTCTACAAACGATTGTTTCGTTTCCTGTTAAAATCTTCGGCTGTTGCGAAAATTGCTGGTCTACGAATACGTTCAAATAGAGAAACATTCGCAATTGCTAAATAGGCCTTCGGACGTGCATTTACTTAGCCCGCGTTATTTTTATCTATGTATGTAAACATTGTTTTCAGGAAGGCGTTTTAGAATATTACGTAACGTACGTTTAATGATAGCCATTAAAGCACGAGCGAGAAGTATCGACACGAGCCGTGAGTATATAGTTATTCGATTGGAAATGTATAGAATAGCTATTACCTACTACATGCTTACTTCTATACAATGTTTTTTCTTTGTTTAATTCCTAAATTCTTAAGTATAAGTATAAGTATTTATACTGTCAAGTTATAATTAAGTATTTTAAGGCTAAAAAAGATTGTTTATTCTTTAATGGAATAATATTTATCTTGGTGTTTTAAAAAGAGTTCGCGCCTCTTGCTATTAGCAAATTAGCCATTGTAACAAAATAATGAAAGTATAATAATTAGTTAAATTTCTCTTTTGATGACTTTGTGTAAAAAAAATACAACAAGCGTTGTTTGTTGTTAATTAAAATTACTAAATACCGCTTTATTTATAAAGTTGGTATTGGTATTGGTGCGTAAAATTAATCATTTAAAAATGGAGAAAACCAATTCTCTATTTTCTGTTTATTTTGTAAAATACGAATTTTTTAAGTAATTTTCAGAATTACAGCATGAATTCTGGCAAGGATCATGCTTACCAGATTTCAGGATTCTCTTTGAGCGCATACTATTGCCCCCTACGGGCTGAAAACTGAACTATAATGGGAATATGAACAGTTTCATACGTAAAACAAAATACCTAGTTCATAGAAGAGTGAACTGTTGGCGTGTTTTTGACATACTTTTTTATAACAAAGCCATTTAATAAAAGTTAATAAAACCATTTAATCCTCAAGCACTTAGTCCTGCGTAAAAACGCTCTGTATATGGTAAATAATAAATTCTAAACCACACTGTGCCTACAGCAAATAACCATTTCATGGTATTTGTAGCAATGACACTATGAACTTTGAATCCTCTGCTACAGTACCCACTAAACAAAGTACTGCCTACCAAAGCGAACAATGCGCTGCACTTATGTAGCGCAATTTAATTGTCGATTCTTTTTTAATGAATTAAAATTCCATTGTATACATGCGGCTTCTCGAAGACGTGCCTCTTTTCCGAGATAATGACACATGTGTATTCAGGTCGCAGCCTTACGAGGAATTGGGCAGCGATAAAAAGAAGAAACCTTCGGCGTAATCCGCGCGATTACATCACGAGAACGCAAGTGGAAGTACGAGAAAATGCGAACAAAACGGTAGACAAGTTATTAAATCTGCGTATGATTGTTGATATCAGTGTGGGCAAATTGCTATGTTTTAACTGTTGGTTACTATAGAATCTTTGGATTTTACCAAATTATACACAACCAGGTTTGGTCTGATGATGTTAAAAATTTGCCAAAACGTCTGAGTGACTAGTAAAAAATTCTAGTCACGATCATGTTATAACGTCTAAGGTGTCTGAATATAATGAATATTTGGATCAAAGTTCTACCTAGAGAAACACAATTGTTAACATTCATGTTTAATAAATAATATACAATTCCCTACAATGCACTAATGAAATTCCACAAATTACTCAATTTTAAATAAGCTTGGGAAGTTTTTCATTAAACTTATAAAATTACCTGAAGGACATGTTCCACGGCTTTATTATACACGTATGAGTGGTCCTAGTGCTGTAATAATAATTCTAATTTAATGAAATTAAAATAATTACTTACAGCTTTATAAATACTAAAAAATCCGTTTCTCAACAATTTCACTTTGCGAGAGAAATAAATTATATGTTAATTAATATTAAAAAATAAATCTGCCTCCTTATTAATTTGAAAAGGAAGTTGGACTTTGTCACTTGAAGGCGCAACAATGGAAATTAAGCCTTACCTTGGAATATTTTATATGTATTATGTATCTTGATATGACTAAGTTATACACAATAATAATAATAATACTAAAAATACTAATGAGGTTCACTGTTTGTTAGTAAAAAAAATAGTAAATTTCAACAATAATTTAAACTATAAACAAGTTAAGCTTGAGAGCACCAGACAAACCTTATGGCTTTTATTTTTTTTTTATTTTGTAACCGCGGGATTTCTGAAAATCCCAGAATTTAATTAAACATCTTTCTTACCGGTTCATGGAATAAACAAATTTTAATTAAAACCCCACAATTATAGAAAATTTTAATACCGTGCAACATTAATAATGTTAAAAAATTAGATAGCTACTAATTTACATAAAAAAACCATACTGTGGAATCGTTCGAAATGCGCAAATATATTACGAGTTAATTAAATTAATTCGAGAGAAATTTAAATGCGCGAACATAATCGATTTACTATCGATTAAAAAAATTAGTCCACTTAATTGGATTGAATGTTAATTGAAAATTGGCATTAACTCAATTTCAACCGATTTCTGTACCTACTTCACCAAAGCATTTTTTGTTATAACAAAGATTGTTAAAATAAAGAAACCGACTACTATTGTATGATTAAATTGTCTGTAATTATACGGATTTAAAACTAATTTTATATATTACTGACGAATTGGCAAAAAATACCACCTACTTACAACTTTCTTACTATCGACTATAATTCGAATGAAACGCATTGAGAAAGTCGAGGTTTTTTCCTATTCCTCCTAATCGACAGTAATTAAGATAGGAAGAAAACGCTTAATTTTTTACAGCGTTTTATGCGTGCATTTAAGACGATATTTTCGTAATTCGTCAATGGGATAATATGCAGCAGATTAAATATCATGAGAGCCTCGCGATTTCCTACTTTCACCATTGTCTCAATTCGAGATTCGAGCGACCGAAAGATTCCATTCGGATTTTTACCGAGCTCGACAATTCCACCATCGGTATTCTTGGTACTAAAGATAACTGGGATATTATAAATGCTTAAGTTAGTTTACCTGAATGAGAGCTTCGGGCTGTAAGGGTCCCTGGAAGCGATCGGCCGCCTCGCTGAGGATTTCCAGTTCCTGCTCCAGCTGCCTGCAGGAGGCGTTAGCCGAAACATAGGCAGAAGCTAGCAGGAAGACTCCCAATATGAGCGAGCAGGCGATCACGGTCCCCGCGATGATTTTCGCGATCTGGACTGACGAACTGCGTGGCTTCATGTACGCCTGAAAAATCGAACCAAAATTTTCATTTTCGTAGCCGGAAAAATCCATAATATTTCGGAGCAACCTGTACGGATGCCACAGATATGTAAGCAAAACTGTTGTGTTGCAATAAGACGATTTATACAATGACTTGCGTCAGCTCGGGTGCATAAAATCGAAAGTCTTTGAAAAACTTAAATAACGATCGAACGAACCTTGACGGTGATGGTTTTTGTTTCATGGAAGATTCATTAGAAACGAGAAAAATCTCGACTAACTGACCTCAGTTAACGCTGGAAGTTAATCTAATCGAGGTTGTCAGTCGGTTAGCTGTTTTAATGCTAATTATGGATTTGAGGTAGGCAATAATAAATTGTCATGGCGATTAATTCCATTTTACCCAAGTGGAAGGTATTGGTGTAGGTGAGACACCCAGTAAAAGATTAAAAAAATTTTCCATTCGACCGAACTGGGTCGGCCTTGGCCATAATATTGCGACAGCAAATTATTTATTTATGTATAATTTGTGCAAAACTTCTAGCAACTTAGCTGGGTATTCGTTGTACCTGGCACGACCGATTTATAAGACCTATTTAAAAACAACGCTGCTTAATTATAGATGTTTTTGAGCAGTAATCAAAGCAAACATGATTAACGTTTATCAAAAATAATTTGAATAGTTTGTGGTGCAATTAGAGTACTCGGAAAAACTAATTGTATTTTAGCAATTCAACTTGATTAATAAAAAAATAAATTAAGTAAATGAATATCATTAATTTTGAAAAAAATGTGTGTCAATAATTAGGGAATAGAGTTTAGAACAAACTCTATAACAAGTGTGATTGAATTCTTAGGATAAGAAATTCTCTTTGTAATAGAGAAAACTAAGTACATAATCTGAAGAATATAAATAAGTCACACGTAGATAATTGACCAATTCAAGTAATCATGATAAAATAAGTAGAAGAAGAAGAGCAATAAACTCCAGGTAGGAATCGGAGAAAGTTTACCTACCTCATAAAAAATTGGATCTTCTTCCGAGTACATATAACTGCACGAATTAAACACCATTTTGCACTCGTGAAAATTAATATGAAAGTTCAAAAAAAGCGATAAGAACAAAGGAAAACTTATTAACCTCCACAGACCGTTTCGGCAAGCATTCTTCAGCCAACGTACCGCAGAGGAAAATACAAACTTAATAATGCGAAATTTTCACGTCGAAAATATGTAAATGAATGTTCGGAATAACGAACTTTATTAATAATATGAAAATAATTCGCTTTTTTCGCGTTCATTTCATTACAATGTGCATCCTCACGATTCCATGAGTAAGCCGTTTATCGACAACAGCTAACTCATCCTGTTTGCATGTATAGGTATAGCACATATTGGAATAAATCAACAAATCTTCCTGCATTCTATTTCCTGTAAATGATATCACATTTGCAATACAAAACTATAAATATAAAAAATGGACTCTGTACTTTTTTGGAACGGTTATCCTGTAACGGTGAACGCATTGTGTCAATTGCGAAGGGGGTCATCGCAAATAAATAATTACCGTCGATATAATTACCGCGTATTGCCGAGGAATCGACCGGTTATTATTGCATAAGTTATTCAATGCGCCGTGGTACCGCATTAAATAAAAAACATTATGATTATGTTCAACAGGAAAAAACAAAATGACTGTGTTTTGCTTTGTTAGGAGCAAAACGCGTTCTATTGTGTATCGAATGGTTACAATTGGTAAGTGGGATTAGTGCGATGTAATTGGGGAAACTGAGGTTACATTTGATTGAATTGTTTAATTGGTATAAGTAGACTCCGATGGTAATTTTTCGAGACGTTCGAATGTAGAGAAAAATGCATAATTTTATTCCAATGAAAATTGTTATTTTCAACCGGAACCATCTTAACTACAGGACAGAATTAACTACTCGTTTGCCTTGAAAAAATTGCCAACACTATTCAAATACGACTTAGTATAATACATTTTAATAGCGCCTTACCATCGATCCTTTGCATTATAATAAATGTACAAGGTGAGTTGATGCTTGATTGAAAGTTTCTCGTAGTCTCTAAGGAATAAATAAATGTTCGATACGTTCTTGAATCATCTTGTATAAAAATACATATTAAACGGTTTGTAGTTTTCGCAACCAATTTTACAAAGAAACCTGCGAACGATTTATTTTCGATTTTAATGTAAATCGCGGATTTACGTAACAGTACCATCAGTTCGTTACCTCACATTTATGTAAATAACGGTAGCTAACGATTAGTATTGACTACTATAATACTTCTTGCAATTGAGAGCAGCGACTGTGTTCAATAATTTCTTCATTCACACTTTACGCAATTTTTATAAGTATCACCCATAAGATAACAATCGTAATAGTAATTGAGAGTATCTGAACTTGGTTATTATTTTTTATATTAAAAGAATTCGCCAAGACTAGAAATAGTGAACTAATGATAAGGGAATTCTAAAAATGAGTTATTATCCTGTAAATAGTCCTGATTTTAAATCAATGAGTATCATAGTTAAGTATTGTATCAAAGAGTTGTTATTAATAGAAACTCTCTGCTATCTTAACCAATATTATCCAGTTATTGATCAATCATTTAACGCTTGATTGCATACCAGCGCTTTCTTTCAACTGTCCCAAGCAATTTGGAATCTAATTTTTCTGGTTTTGCCGGCGATTCGTTACGTTTTTTGCACGAAAAATTTATGAATCCATATTGATCGGATCTGCTATTAATTATGCCGTTTCGCAGAGTGATTTGTATGTCATGCTGTGAGAATCGCCGTAAAATAGAAAGTCGAGTTCGATGACACCTACGGCCTAAAACGTCTGCCTGTGCCTGCGCTCGTGAATCCTTTCACACCGTATACTGTTATTGTTCGAAGCCGCATATTATTTATGTTATATTGCCAGTGGATATTGTTGTTGTATAGGTGTTGTCAATTATATTAATGCTCGATAATGCTAGCATGTATGAGGAGTATCCAACAAAGACATGCATAGATAATTTCATGGAACGAACTTGGAGTTAATTGGGGTTGACAAGTTTCTTAATAAAAGAATGATACTATCTGTATGACCGAGAAGAATTTGTCTTTTTTATATAAAACTACATATTTAATGGTTTTTTATAACACTGCTAGCCTACATCTTGCTGCAGTGGATGATATTACAAAAGGAATGTAAATATGGGAGAATCACTTACCATCAAGGTTTTAAAAGATATTCAGTGAGAATGGAGAGCAGAAAAGAGGTCAAGGATTAAAATTAATAAAAATTAATAAAACAATCGTAATTAAATATTACAAATTGCTGATTGTTAACTTTATAAAATTAACAGTTAAATTAAAAATTTACAATTCACAATAATAAAACATTAGCTACTTCTATGGCAGAAATAAAAATATTTTTCCACGACAATACATATGTTATTACCCAGATAAGTGCCCTATACTTTAGTAGAGTAAATTAGTTTCCACTAGCATATTTCAGTTTTCACTAAATGATTAAAATGTAGATAAAATTTGCTATAATTTACCTTCAACAATCGACGTTTCATTTTCCCCCATTGTTAACTGCAATTTAGTTCGTTATGATAAAAAAACCGAGCAATAAACAAGTGCACAATTAGCGTAAATAACAAAACTTTAATATCTCTAAATGCACTGAATTGTAAGTGGGTTAGTTGTTGGTTGGAAATTAATTGGAAATTTAATTTATATGTAGTTAAAATCAGTTTAAAATCTTCCTTCCTTATTAGATAGGAAAGGAGTATTCTTGAGGCAAGTCTTAATTTATGCAATTTTAAGTCCTAGTTAATGTAAATATATTATAAGTAACTTATTTTTATCATTTTATTTAAGCGTAACAGCTTTATTCAATTTTTCTCATGTAAACAGTGATAGAAATTTAGTCTTTTATTTAATAAATCGAGACCACCGCAATCGCTCGTGTGCCATTTTTTCCCATTTTAACCTGAATATCTATTGTCACTGCAATTCCAACTGTAACGAATTACATTAATTACTTCGATAGTTCGAATCTATTTTTTCACCTCGTTACTGTACCTACTTACTTTCTAGCCAATTCGGAATAAAACCGTCTCGTTTGCGAGCCATTATTATTTTCTCTCGACGATAGCGCCCGCATTTGAAATTTTTCACGAATTAGTGGCTGCAAGATCGCCGATGCCCTTAATTCGCCGCGATAAAGGGCGTTCCGATGAAATGTGGGTACGATTTTACATGGGAGAAAATAAAGTACTTTAAATTTATGTAACACGCACGTATAAACTTGTTGATTTTATGTATTATTTCCTTGAAAATTGCTTCAAAAATTACTTTCTTTCGATGTTATTAAACGCTGTATGTATGTAGGTATATTTTAAGATCTAAAAAGTGGCATATCCGATTTTTTGAGAGTTGTGTTCATACTCGAATAAATATAAATATAAAGTGAAATCTGAAATTCAAATGGGAAATTACATAATGCAATCTAAGCTTGATTGACTTGTCTTGTTCTTCGACCAGAATCCGACCGAAAACGGGCAAAAAGTTACAGTTACAGCAAAAATTCGACGACTAGAAAGTACGGTCTCTTTTTTTATTTTCATTACGGCAATAATAATTGCTGACTATCGATGCAGTGTGAAATTGTCGATTTCTTGTTTTGCAACGAATTGTACACGCCGCTCCGAATAAGAAAAGCCTCTCGTAATTAATTAGATAAAAAAAAAACTCGTTCTACTCTAATGACTATTTTAATCTTGGCGAATTATTTTTATCGCGCAAATTGCCGCACGGTCGATTATTTTTATTTAAATTGACAATTAAGGAATTCCGATCGAATCGGCGTCGATTCGATGGAAAAATCGAGGCTATCTATCCGAATTGGCAGGGCGTAACTCGCCGATATGTTAACGTTTTCGATCGTTAACCGAAGAAACCTGTTATTACGCAACCTTTAGATCTACAAAACTTTCCACGTTACGTTGTTGCGTTGATAATTGAATGAAAAGAGCCCTCGATTTTCACGAGTGCGAGATTAAAGTTACTTCTGGCTTTATTTTTATTCTACCACCATAATTCGTTATCTATTAAATTCTCTGATGCAAGAGTGAAGCACACTCAACAGTGCTTTTCAATATAGAATAGAAGGTTTGGTATTGTGTTTAGGAACAATGGATGAGTTTTTTATAGAATCAATCGGGGAAAGAAAAATTTACGAGAAAGTGCAGGACGATCTGAAAGGGACTGGAAGCTGAAAGCGAGGAACAGAAGTCGATGGAGAAAGATAATAGCAATTTAATAGTAGGTGTATAAATTATAGAAATTTTATTATACATGCCCTGGGCCTACAAGGTCTATTGAGCACCTTAAATAAAACAGAAACGGTACAATTATTATGTATAGATAATTTGATTTTTAACTAATTAGTGGTAAATTGTTCGGAGAAAATTTAAAAAAAAATAGATTTTTTTAGCTAATAAAGGAAATTACATTTTAATTTATTTCAGAGAAATGTAAATTAACGATAATTTAATACAACCTTCCTCCAAAACTCATCCTAATTACCTACACAATCTTTCTAAATAATGGAAATTCTCAAATTCCAATAACTCATATTACCACCTCATCTGATCTTTTTCCCCAAAGAATTAATCCAAATCCTAACCCTTCAATCACCAGCCCTGATTACTGCAGAGTTCCATTGAAAAGCTAGAAATTCATTCATTAAGCATCTCCTCATTTCTGGTCGGTTGCTTTCTAATATGCAATCGAGCGCAAGCCTGACATTGTAATTGGAGTGAATCGAGTGGGAGGATGAGGATGGATGCATTGCCATGCCGGCGATGACTTTTAACATTCGATCTTCCTTTCACTTTACCTCTTCGCTGGATACATTTATGCATGAGATTGGCGTGGTGCGTTTCGCACGAAGAGAACAGAAAGATCTTCTCCCGCTGTTGCCAGCTTGCCCATTTTTTACATACATGGCAATTATGGTATAAACATCTCGAGTTTTCTTCTGGGTTTTCAATTAGGTTTTATACATTTAGAGAGTTTCTTGGTGATTTTAATAGTTTTTCCTGGTTGATTTTTGGATTATTTATCTGTATAAAAGTTTTTTAATTAATTTCTATTGTAATATAATGCAATATTTATTCTTTCTTTTAAAAGATTCTTTCATTGATGTTATAAGTACATTTTTCAGGGCCAATATGGCTTTAAAATAAATTATGGAAATCATAGAAAACATGGAAATCAACAACAAAAACCGACTAAATTTCTTAAAAGTTCCTCCTGAATGCTCCAGAAAACGTTCTTAAAAAACTTCAAAATCACTCGATAAATTATTACAGAAGGTTCTTGAAAATCTCAAGGAAGTTTCACTAGACTTGGCAATGTTGTCTCAGAATGTTTGAAGGAAGAAGATAAAAAAGTGTTTAATGAGCAGACTAATGACGATGCAAATTCGGCCGTTCGAGTGCAAGGCGAGGAGAAAATGCAGAAAGATGAGTATGAAACTTCGGTACATCACCTGGGAATTGAATCGTTTATTTTAGCGTTTTCGCTTTCTAAAGGGAGAAAGTTAAAAAATTATGTTGATAATGATGAATTTTACAGATACTAAATACTGATTGTGTTATAGATTTGGAGTCGATTAATCTGCAATATTATCTGCAATATTTCGTAATGTTAAAAACAAAGCCATTGACAAACGTCAAAATAACGCTACTTTTAAGTAAAATACTCTACATTTAAATTAACTTTCGGTATAAAGGCGGAATAATAATACAATTATTCCAATCGCAAGTGTAATTAGTAATTACAAATCAACATAAGTAGATATGTTTATTTAATAAGGAAACTATTCAATTGTAATAAAAGGAAATTAACTATTTACATCCATCATACAGATTGTCAATTGATTAATTAATGCGGTAATTGCACGTTATGCCTATACATAACTATCGTACCCGCAAAAAATCGAATTCCTATTCCGGATTGGTTTCTCAACAAGAAGAGAAATCAATAAATAAATACAGTTTGGTGTGCGCAATGTGGGAACGAAAAAAACGCTTCCTGATACCGATAAGTACTCCAATAATTCTGCAAATTTAATGCTTATAATCATGGATTTTAGATGAAGTAGAAATTAAGTGTATCTATCCAATTTATTGCAAACGAAAAATCTAGCCGCATTTTTGCAATAAACTTTATTTTAATAAGTGTGGTATCTCCATATTTTCATAACGAAATATCTCTTAGTATTTAAACTATTCGAAAATTTGACTAGAAAATAGCATAACTAACGTTTATCCTGATTTTTATCGATGATGAATTATTACACTATTTAATTCTTCAAATAGTTTTGTAAAAATATTTATGACACCCGAGCACGTTTTGTTATTAATTCCCCAACAATTGGGACGTGAGAATTGAGCATTTCCAACGGAATTTCAAAAACGATTCTATTCGAAAATTGCACGCACTGTGCAATAAGAAATATTTATTTATGAGGTTCGTAATTCTGATTATATTAATATTAGTAATCTGAAATTTAATAAAAAGAATTCCGCGGTGTTTTTTGAAATTCCTCATTATTAGCAAGAAATATTTTTTTTAATTTGTGGCATATCTTTCATTTTTCCGATTTATGTAATTGTGATTTTTGCTCAAAAAAAGGCTTTAATGACAGTATCATTACTTTTTACACAAATATTTTTCTCTGAACTGTTTATACTGATAATCATAATAAAACCAAATTATTCCTTATTCATAAAAATAACAGATAGATCTTTCCATGGAATATCTAATAAAAGAGAAATGAACTTTGTCTTTGATTAAATTATTGTTTGATTAAATTACTATAAGTGCTTTTTGTTAAGTTTTCAGCAATCTGTAATTGCATTTCAGCCGTCAGAAGACCAAGCAACCTGAACCATTACCTACATACACGAGCAAAAAAATGTCAGAAATCGTAACCATTAATCACATTAACGCCCATGTTCTGAAGAAATCCGCATATCCGCGATTGGTTCATTCCATTACACCGAGTTCTAATGAACATCATTATGAAACGGGTAGTAAACCTTGTTACAACGTAACCGCAGATAAACTTATTACACCTACATATCAAACTTTCAATCATTTCCACACACTACCAGTACACCTCTTAGGCCAATTATCTTACGATCACTTACCGGTGGCGGTTCGGAGGCGGAATACTCCGAGGGGGTGTACTCGGGCTTGATGGTGACCGTCGCCATCGATTCGGGCTGGGGTTCCTTCTCCATGTCAGCGGCGCGTTCCTTCGAATCGCACTCGATGTATCGTTGGAAGAGCGTAACTGGGTAATCCGTGGGCGCAAGAGCAAGACGAGGAAGCGATTCACCGGTGGACGACGTGACCGACTGGTAACTGGTAAGCGGAGCGCCGGAGTGGTATCCTTGTACTGGGTTCCCTACCATTCGACCAAGTCGTGCTGGTGCGTTTAGCTTGATCTATAAAGATTGTCCCCAAGTATTAGTTGGTGGTATTAGTTGGATTTCAAAATACTAGTACCGATTCAACTTTAAAGTTGGGTTGATAGTGAGATATTTCCTTAAAGATCCTTCTACCCTTTTGATAAGAAGATATTGATAGATTAAAGACTAAAAATATGGGAATTATGGAATAATTAGTGGGAGGAAGGAACAGAAATGTAAACAAAACAGTGCGGTACATTTTTCTAAATTACTATTGTCATAAACTAGTAGGTAATCGAAGATGGAAAGTTATTCCTTCCCCTTTGAAATTGGAAGAGATTAGAAAATCTGTGTATTTATTATGTGTGTTTATTAAGCTATTATGTGTTCCTTATACAATTTATTCTATGAATCTATAATAAAGATAGTGGATGAAAGATAAAAGAAGGAACAGGGGGATGAATAAAGAAGCATAAGTTATCTAGTTTTGGTTCGCCCTGTACATTTATCGAAGCATACGAAATAATCGGCTTCCGTTTTCGGTAATGTTAAAAACAATAAACATTTGTCAATGTGCAATCGTAATATTTATATGAATTTGCGACATGCGAAAAACTTTCTAGCAAAATAAACACGGCGTATTATTTTCTAATTTGTCACACAGGTCCACAAGAAATGAAAATTAATTTTTACTTTGCGGTCAGTCGAAAGGTCGACAAACTCGCCCGAATTCGGCGTAACGGAAAACAAAACTTTATAAAATTATTTTTTATCTGATATAACAGAATAGTACCTAATGCGATTAACAACCAAATAATGTATCATTTAGAGAATTTATAATTTCGCGAAATTAGACGTTAAAGAGTGTTTTAAAGACTCGTTGGTGATATTTTTAATCTGTCAGTCATAGAAATATTACCGTATTTTTTAAAACACCTTCTATTTACAACGCAGGCGTTAAAATAATTTTATTTGTAGCAGGAATATTGATTCAATAACGTGTCAATAACGTGTCCTTATGTAAAATTCATGTTCACAGGACATTGGTTATTCAATAAAACAAGCAGGATTTTGAGAATATAAAAATAGGAAAATTTGTTACATGGCATTAGAGAATTAAGTGATTGCTAACGGTAATTACCATGATTAATGGTATGACAATAAGATGATAATGATAATCATAATGTAGATACCCTAATTATTTAACGATTTTTTAAACACCTAACGTATAAGGTTCCCAAAAAATCCTATAAGAAAGTGAGTGGTACCAATACAAATACGTAGTACCAATTTGTTATTGTTAAATCTAATTTAATATGATCATTAAAAAGGCATAGTGCAGGATTCTCTTGTACCCTGCCAAAAAAAAACCATCGCGATCAGAGTGGATTCGAAAGCGCGCCTGTAAGAGAAATTCCTGCACCCTCCGCATTCACTCCGGGCGCCGCATTCGATCGCCGCAGTAAGGTTCACCCTGACGTCGCACGCGGTCGATTTTCCGCGCCTCCTGCTATGCATTTCCCTCTTCGAATCGACGCTTACGCCTTTTTGTTATGCTCCGAATCCGCAGGATACCCGGAATTTTGTACAAGCACAAGTTCACCGTCTATTCGGCCTGCCTCGTTCTCTTCACCTGCGTCTATTTATCTTTCAAATTGAACGTGTTCTGCGTCAACCTGCAGGCCTGGAGTCACGTGACTAAATTGGTAAGATAACAACGACTTTCTTTCCACGATATTACGGAATCTTTTTATTTTAGTATCTATTATTTTTAAAGTACGTTTTTTCTTAGTGTCGTCAGTACGAAGAGGGACTGGCTGTGGGGTCCCTGTGCGCCCCGTTGTGCCTCACCCGGGACATCCACTCGCTGACGTGCCACTCGTTCGAGGCCACCAAGGAGGCGGTCTTCAGCGCCGAATGGCACGACATCCGCTTGGTGTTCAAGTCGGTGCCGAAGGACGTGAAGGCGCTGCATTGGTACGACAACGGCGCCGCCAGGTACCCCAGCGAAAAGGACTTCCTGCAGACCATCAGAGCCATAGTCAGGAATAAATTCAACCTGACGGTGGCGTACGATACGGCTGTCAGGTTGTCCAGGCTGAAGCCCAGCTACGAGGAGAAGGACGCGAACAAGAGGAGGAAGGAGATGGATAATTTGTGGTTGTTGTTGCAGGATAATGAGTACTTGTTGTCCGCTTTGTTTACTGATAAGGACGTTTTTCCCCAATTGTTAGGTGAGTAAAAATTGTGAGTTAAAGTTGTACTATAAATTTGTTATTTTAGGTACTTGTGGTCCGTATTTCGCGGTGGAATATTTGGATCCCATACCGACGATTTCCTCGTATTTAACGTACAGCGACGACACGGAGAATTGGGGAAAGCGCCTGAAGCTGGCCGTTCAAATATTGGAGCTTCTGGATAAGTTAGAGACGAATTTCAGAGAGCCGTTTCACCTTTGTGACCTTAAACTGGAGCACTTCGGCGTCGTGAGGGATCAGAACGCGTTGAAATTCATCGATTTGGACGGCGTCCTGCCCAAGTCGGTCGTCAACGCCATAATCAACGATGTGGAATACTGCGGTAGTGATAGTGACTGTGATTTCATCGATTGTCGCTCGAGGTGCGACGATCAAAACAGGTGCAGCAATATCGTCGCCAACGATAATCTGCAAATCGTCTGCGAGAAAATTTTTCTAGGTAATAGAATTTCTGTGGAGATGCCATAAGTTCATATGTGGGGTTTATTCAATTTTACAGGAAGGCTATTTTACTGTCAAAATTCGGCAATTTACCCAAATTTCTTCAGTTAATTAGTTCATTTGTAGCTTAAATGTTTGACACTTTTGACACAAAAAAATACACATATTAAGTAACGGCATTTACCCACAGATTTTAGATCTCGCTGCAATAGGTCTGCTTCTAAAGATCAATCACAATTTCAATTAGTATTTTGGATAGTTCCCTACCATTTAAGAGCTCTGATTAAATTAGAAAATTATTGTTACAGGCTGGAAAATGGCGAATACTATACTGGTGCCTGGGCTTTTGATGTCCCAACACACGCCCTCTGAGCTAGCGTCCCTGCTGAGGCAATGCGCCAATCCGGACAGCGAAGAGGGCAAACCGAGAACAATACCCGATTTAGACATTAAGAAAAGGCTTTATAGCGCATTATCAGAGATAGAACAGACTGTTAATAACGATTTTTTCCTTTAATTTTGTTACATTTGATACGAAGTTTAGTACTATTAAATATTGGATTATTTATTGGCGTTTTACTACAAGGTTTCGGATAAATTATAAAAAGTAGAAAATTTGGGAATAAATATAAAAAATCAACGTTAAATTTCAGTTTTGTTTGCGCCAACGGTTCTAATAGAAATAAAATTGTTGATATAATTGTAATTCCTTCTTTTTGGTGGAAATTTCTTTGTTTGTAACATAGTTTTTCACCAAAATTCCTTTTAAAGTCCAATTTTTATGCATAAAAAAGAGTAAGTACTAAGTGCATGTTTAGTAATATTTTGAATAAAAATTGGACCTGTAGCCAAAAAACTATTATAGAATATCACAACCAGAAAAAAACAATTAGGCACTTTTAAAACTCACCGTTAAATATTACTACTAAAAACCGTACATACCGCAGATTACACAAACAAATCCAAATTACAAACCTTGATACTTAAATTAATAAACAATTTTGTACTTCAATCTACATACTTAAAAATCCAAATTATCTACGACAATTCGCTTTTCTCCTTAGCTAAACACTCCAATTTCTGCATAATCAAACTCAAATCGTCCCCTTTGGCGATTTTAAGGTACACGCAATTCCTAACCATATGGAACACCAACCAGCTAGGAAACTCTTTGGAAATCACCCGAAGGTGCTCCTCCATTTCGACCCTACTCAAATGGCTTCTGTAGCAGTTACCCAATTTTTCTACCACCACTTCCAGCTGCAGGACGCTCTTCTTCTCCGAAACGAACAGGCTTCTGGTAAGGCGCGCTATCTCCGGCAGTCTCGAGTAAATTTTCAGTTCCTTCTCTTGATCCGCCGATCTAGTCATCGTCAGCAAGGCTTTAGCAGCCTGTTTTTGACGTACCTTCTCCAAAAGAGCCTTTGGAATACCTGCATTATTGAAATAACATAAAATTGTGTTTAAGTGTACAGATTAATAAAATGCGTACCTTTTAAATGAGAATTACAGGCATCATCTTCTTTAGTTTCGGAAGCTGAACGAGAAGCCTCCGAAGATTTCATCTCCTGCAACTTTTCCAGCGCCTGCTCCATTCTGGTGTTGCAGTTGAACATAAGCTTGACCTTCTCCAGCACCTCTTTACCGGTGGTTAGTTTCTGTTCAACGGGGGCTGGAGGCAATGGGGCGCATTCGATGTCCGGTACCTTTTCGATGTCGAACTCCGGATGCCATCTAGTCAATTGTCGTTGGTTTAACACGATAGGAGGATCCAACGAAGAGAGGAATTCCTGGTGGTAGTGCTTTGCTTTATCGAGGAGAATGCTGTACAGTTTGCGTCTTCTCTGCAGCAGCGTATCGGATGAAACATGCTCAACGTCTCCGAATGTAGGAGACACCACGAGCTCCCAACGCTCCTGCCTCATGCCGGCCCCGAAGACTTTCATTTTCTGCCGCGCGAATTCGTACGCTTCGGGGAAAATCGAGCGTATTTGCGCCAAGTGCTTCTCGAGCAAGTTCCTCTTCAGCATCTCCTCCACCGCCGACTTGAGTTTGGCGAACGTTATGGTTTCCTTCCTGTTGAACATGATCTGGCAGACGATGTCCGTGGAGCGGAACAGCTCGGCGATGTATTTGTACTTGTAGGGCAGGCCTAGGGCAGGCCTGGAGGTTTCGTGCAGGATCTGCTTGGCGGGGCTGTCGGCCGGCAATGGGACGGCGTTCTTCGTGGGGCTCTGGAGATTGAAGAGGTTCCTTCTGGCGCCGAGGTCCTTTTTGGGACTGAGGTATTGTTTTTCCGGAGAAAACAGCTTCTGTGGGCTGAAAATCGCAGAAATACGATTATATTTTTAATTTGAAATCTTGATTCTATGCTCTGTTGCTTGGTTTAGAATGTTATGTTTAATAATTAGAGCTCTGTAAACACTTTCTGTGCTGTAACAACCTTGTATTACTTACAGCTTTTAAAGTGCTGATATTACAAATTGTAAATGTTTTAAAAAATATATGTACAGGGTGATCGTGATATATAGCCAGAATAAAACATATCTTTGTTAAAATAAACCCACTCTCAGATAAACAATATTTTTTTAATTATTTTAAATATTTCTGGCTTTCAACTTTCGTACTGTTCTTATGTAAGACAGCCTGTATAGGGACGAATTAATAGAGCAAAAATTAAACTCACCTCGTTTGAACTTCCAATTCGATTGTTCGAAAGGTTTTCAGTCTCGGGGACTCCGGAATAGTGGATGTTTTCTTCTCTATCTCTTCGAGTTTCTCAGCTTTCTCCTGAAATCTGCTCATAGAAGCCTTCAGGTCAGCCAAACGGGCGCTTCTCGTTAATTTTCTCTTGATCTCCTTCAACGAGGGCCCTTCGGGATTGATTTTGTCCATGGCGTTGGCATTTTTGGTGGGTGAACTTGGAGGTGTAGTGTGATGTTTTAAAGCCATATCACAAGGTAATAAGGGGCTATCAGTCTCTTTTGGCATGTTAGTGAAAAATCTTCGGATATCTCCTTTATCGGATACTGTCTTCGTGGTTCTAATCCTATTTGCTACAATCTTTTTGGCCGATTTTGGTTTCACTAAATTATTAGGTGAGTTGCATCTTTCCTCACGAGATATTTTCTGATATATAACATCTTTTGGGTTGTCTACGGTATTTTTGACTCCACAATGTTCGTCCAAAACTAGCACTTTTTTCGCCCGATTTATTTTAGTATCTTCCGCCGCTGGTCGTTTTCGCGAATTAAAATAACAAGCAATCGACGACTGAGCCATGGTTATTGTTTTAATAACAAAAGTCTGTTTGTTTCCAAATATCAACAATTTAAAGGGATTTAAATGCCCAAACGTAAACACACAATCACACAATGCTAAAATGTCGGTTGGAAATCGTTTGTTTCCCTCCAAATTGAATATATTAAATTGACTTTGACGTGACAGTTGACATTACAGAGGGCGCTGCGACCAATAAACCAATTTTTAAAACAACTTGTAGTCTGAAATTACATTTATTTGCTAGTTAGCAGATAATAACATTTATTTTAAAGAGCTGCTTGCATAGTTTTTAAGTAAATTTGCTGATACGAAATAACGAAATTTTTTAAAAATTTCAATTTCTGACGGATAAAGTGATCGCGAAAAATGGTTCTAATCTACACTGTTGCCAAACTGTTTGCCAATGACAAAATAGTAAAAAAATTGGGTTTTAGGATTTTTGATCAAGTTTGTCAGAATTTACAGCTTTTTTTACCTTCTACGTAGACAATGTGGAAAATAAATTTTTAAATTAATAGGTGAATCCGTAAATCGCCAAGTCCGTCGAGTAACCGGCAAATCTGTAAATGACTTGGAAGAACAAGCAACGCTGCTGTTCCAAGTTGACATTATTGACACTATGTCATATGTCTGTTGGTTGATTGTCAAATTTTTTTAATGTAATGTCAATCAGTTATTTTATGAAGTGTATTTATTTTTATTTAAAAAATATTTAGAATACGTTTTGAATTACACAAAAATTTCTTCTAATGTAACGAAAATGTAATGAATATTCAATGTGTTCCCTAATATTACAAGGTATGAATTTAACTGACATCGATTTGCTTGTTTTTCTTTATTCTATTAATTTTTAAATTTAAGGAAATAAATAAATAAACTACCTTGAGAATATTTACAATTCATGCAAAAATGAGTTTCCTTTAGTGGTATTTTATTTTATTGCTCCATTTTCGTTTAATAGCGATTAGAACTAGAAAATTGCACATTTTTTTTATAAACATTTCAACCTAACATTTTTCTTATTTAATGATACACTTACTATGCTTGTAATAAACCTGTTTTAATTGCTTTAATTACGTGCACAAAAATAGGTGATTAATTTTTATAGTATTTTTACATTTTTTTAATGGAACAACATAACTTCTAGTACACAATTCTATTATTGCACGCATAATTTAAACTGTTTAAAGGTGATATACATATAGTCTAATAGATTTTTTGTTATTTAGAATGCTTAAACATTTCGAAATGGAAGGTCCAAGCTGTAAAGTCGAAAGTATTACATGAAAACAACATGAAAATCCAGCTGTGAAAATGGGGGAAAGTTCCGAATTGGACTCTGTCAGCACGGTGCTTTGGCTTCAGCAAGCTGATGCTCTCAATACATTTACCAAAATGTGGTATCATGTCTTCCTGTGGGCCTTTTTTTCATCTATATTTGTCCACACGGTAAGTGGTTAACGTTATGTTCGTAAAGCAACAAATTACCGCACACAAAGCGTACATATTTTAGTCATTTGTTAACGGCATTAGTAATACTTGTTGATATAAGATATAATTGCATTCTGTTTCAAAACATGAATTATTATCGAATTTATTATGTATTTTTACGTACACAGTGCTGCCGACCTTTGAAATCTGGCCGAATTGTTTATAATTATGTAATAGATCATTAAAAATATCCTATTTTATGGAAAAACAGCTATAAAAAGTTTTTATTCGTTTTCTATTGAAAATACAGTTGAATTATTCCAGTAAAATTGATTAAATTACATTTATTTCATACTATCAACCAATTTACTCAACATTACTCTATCAAACGCTAATCTATCTCACGAGTAAATAACAAAAATATACATGAGGTAACAAACACTCGAGATTAAATTACTTGTGCTAAGAATATTACGCTAAGAGCACTTTCAATTTTAGATAAGATCTGGATACTGCCACAATAAATAAACAATCATGACCCTTATGTAGAGATGAAAATATCGCCATTAAATCGTACAATGAAATTGTTTGTTCTGCAGGTCGCCGGGCTGATAGCATTCCTCACGCTCAGGAAACACAAATTCGGCAAATACTTTCCGATCGCCATCCTGGTGATGGGCGTGATAACACCGGCTGTAACGGGGGTGTTGAGCAGCGCCGCCATCGCCTTTGTATATAGAGCGTCCAGTTTGCCGATGCATCCGCTGTACGCGCTCTTCTGGGGCTGCGGCCAGACCATTTTGACCGGGTGCATGGGCTTCACCAGGATCTTGGCCACGTTGTAATTAATAGGTTTAATCATTGAATGAGTCCACGGTGAAGTGGCGCGTCGGAGGCATTGTGCACTTTGTACAGAACAAAGGATACGTATCGGTATATTTTGTAACTCGTGTAAATACTATTGAGAGGACGCTTTGTAAAAATTACGAAATATTATATATTTTTACGTTGATTATATGGAAATTTACTTTATGTCGCACTCGAGTTTTAATTAAACGAGAGGATACTAGATAATGTTGTGACTTATCGTTTCCACTGTGATATTTTTTGTTAAGTGATGAATAATGTCTAGTCTCAATTATTAGAAAATGATTTAATTCGAAAACAAAGGTACCGTGCGATGTATGATAAATAATAGCTAGGCTGATTTGGATTGTACATAATAAATAAGCGACATATTTGGCCTCGGGTCGATTTATTTTCAATACAATTTCTTGTATTACAAGCTAAGCTAATTGTGCCTTCTTAGAGTGGATTTTCTATAATTGTGGCTCTAACTAGATATTAACTTAACTAAATAATAATTGTAAAAAAATAAATTCGTATTGTAGATATTTTTGTTCGAATTTCTCTCGTATAATTAAAAAAATGTGAACGTGTTTTCGATATCTTGTGATTCAATTTACAACACCAAAGGAAAGCACGCGTTAACTATTTGTCGGCGTGGTTTATAATTGAAAATATAGGACAATTTTTTATTATTTTACATTCTCTAATATATCAGGTGTATAGTTACGAATGACACATCACACAATGGTAGTATCTGATTTTTACTCGAAGAAACTACCATTGAGGTATAGTCAATTCTTTACCGAAGCACCTTATGCAGTTTTAAATCACTCAACAAATTCGCATTAAGCTCTTTACTTTTATGTTAATTACCAATTATCAGTGTTTCTTTGAGCACTTGAACCGTTTGCCGTCTCCTAGTGACTTACCCCAAGAATTACATTATTGAATTGTATACAATAGGGATATAACAGTTTCTCGGAAGTTGCACAAAGTTTCACTTCACCAGCCACTGCACTCTTAATAAAAGTTAGTTATTTATTGTATGTATTGTACATGTGATGGTGCTAAATGAAAATGGGCTTTTTGTTGTTCCGGCGCTTGCAAAACGGCGCAAAATCCCATCAATCCTGACTTATTTTGTGTTCTTAATTTTAAGTATTTCACCGGTTTTACGATGATCATTATTAAAGAGAATCATGAATCATCGCCAACTATCATAATGATGTTTTTTGTACTTCATAATCATTTTGATAATTGTATAGCACGCTTTATTGCGCCGTTTTGAGAAAAAGCCGAATGACATTGAGCCTGCAGTTATAGAGGTACGAATAGTTAGTTTTACATAATTAAAAAAGTGATCAAGGTATGAATGTGAAAAGAAAATAGGTACCTAATTGTAGCTAAAATATCTTTTGTATATACTGTGCACTGTACATAAACCAAAAATGTAGTAGTATAAGGAGAAAATTGTAATGCCTAAGTCAATATTGTATTTTTACTTTAAAAACTCGAAAAAATAAACAAGTCGTACGTTATTTTCGCATTGAATTTTATGTATTTTCACCAAGAACATCATTCATTAAGGGGGTAACCTATAGATAACCTATAGATACGGGATGTCCCTGCATATTTTGGGCTCCCCTGCTGTGTTAGTTCTAATGCGGGACACCCTGTATATTATTTGTTAAAGAAATAAAACACCAACTGTAAGAATTACTTATTATATTGAGAAATTCAATGTACATTGTATATTGTATATAATTCCAATAGGTTTTTTTTTCATATAAATATTGGTGCTTCTAGTATGGAATTTCATGACACAAGTCACTGACTCTAACGTTTTTCTAAAACTAAAAACTGAATAAACTCATCTATAATTGCTCCACTCTACAACGTTTCTTTTCATCAATTGGAACGTCGTTTGGAAAAAGCAATTAAAGGGAGTTCGATCAAACACCAATCTATCCACACTATAATGTCACTACGGGAAGCTCCATAGAGAAACAAACAAACGCGATATCAATTCCTTAAAATGACGGTTTTTTAATAAAAAATGAAACTTTGTGAGTTTGCTTAAGAATGAATCTTGCTACAAATAATTCTACTGGTGATTAATAAGTAATTAGCATCAGTAGAGTAAAAATAATTTAAGTAAAATTCGACACACAATACCAATAGCTTTCTTACATTTACTTAAATAGTTTTTACTACACTCTGCTATTAAACGAAACGTATGGCAAGATTTCGGTGCCTACAAGCATACCTAACAATTAAAAATTTATTCCAATTAACACTGGTTTAACAAAATCACTAACGTCAATTTTTACTTAGCTAAGCTCGTTTTGCTTGACAAGAAATTGTACAATTTAAATAGATACTGGGAAAAATAGAACTAAAATTCAAAATTCAGGCAATGTAATGTTGAAAAAAATTTAGATTGCAACGATTGTACAAATAAAATGAGTCTCAAGCCTCGAACTAGCTCAAATTAAAGCGAGGATCAACATTTTGCATTAATTATCATCATAGTACGCTAATTTGTTATCTAGCATTTGCTCTGATGCAGCATAAATTTCAGGTCACAATTTTGAAACCGTCTGTTATCTGTTTTTGAATTTGAATTAACGAACGATAAATTATATTACAGGGTTAGCCATAAGTCGTACACAAATGATTAAAGTAGTATTTTTCAAATTTTGATAAAGCTCCAAGTGTAATAATTTTTACACAACTTATGACCCACTGTGTATGGAAAAATGACATTCAAAAGACCAAAAATAATGATGAAACAAGCATTTCATTTGCGTCCAAAAAATATCAACTGAAGACCCACAAATGGAAGAAAAACCTACCAAACACCACATTTACAAAGCGATTTTTTAAGAGCACTTTACTACCAAATTTTGGGTACAACTACGTTTTTGTTTAACAATCATGTACACCACCATTATCAAGCATTCACAGCCATAATCAAAGTTAAAGCGACATATTATTTTCAAATCAGGCGGTACATTAAATTCAGTTCAAAGGAACTTTTTACATATATTTAGTTATCACTAAGTCTTCAATGATGCGACATTGTCGAACTACCAATGTGGCTGGTTTGTACGGAAACGCGTTTAGAAAAAACACAAAAATCCCACGAGTATAACCAATAAGCGAAATTTTTGGTCGATTCTCGGACGACTTTTGCGTTTTTGTTCAAAAGAAACGCTAATACTTTTCTTCCATTTAAAATTCACTACACAATATCGAGTGAAAGCTACGAAATCTATTCTACACAATTAACAAGACATTTCGAGTATTATTGATTTTTTGGGACGTTCTAAAAACGTGTCGTGTGAGCAGCTATTACTTAGAGGTGCATTTTGTGCAGTTAGCCCAGTGAACAGGTGATATGGTTACCTGATAGAAGTCTATAAAAAATCAAAAAAAAAACCTGAAACTACAGATCAAAATACGGCAAATAACTCTATTTTCCATTACCGGATTATATTGGTCTGTATTATTTCCATTCCATTGATTTTTTATAACTATTTATGAATCACCCTGTATAGTTTTTGTAATTACCTCATTTATTATAGATGATAGGATGACGCGATTTGCACATTTCTGATGATTTGTAAATTAAGTAAAATGAATTAGGCCACTGGGCTATGTTTTGATACAGCAAAATGTAATAAAATTTATCAATACTTCAAAAATAGGTCAAACCCTGCCCTACCCATCGATACAGCGAAAAATACAACACTTATTACATTGATTAGAGCAATTGTAATTCAAAGATGAATTATTTTAAAGAATACTTTATCCATCAACTCAAATATGACCAGAATACTGAATAATATGCGAGATTAGAAAAATATGAGATTTATTTTAAAGTCATAATGCACGTAAAACTTGTCGTACCCAATTTAATAGAATTCACAAACGACACGATTTTAAAATGTTTTTACTAATTCACTTCATTTGGATAGACTGTTATTTAATCACTGTCCTCATAGACGAGAATAAAACAGAAACCCAAGGAGGACATTTATATTGTCTATAAAACACATAAATCACAATTTTTCTTCTATTACAAATTGCTATGTACATTAAATGAAGGCCCAGTCAAACCAGTTAATAAATTAAAAAAAAACTGTCGGTTTCGTAATGCGTTAATGAGGAAATCAAAATTTTGAACAGTACTAATGCACTAGTCGAATCGAAAATAATAAGCGAAATCATATATGAAAAATCAGTCACCTAGAGAGAGCGAGCTGCGGGCTCATTTCTTATTCAACCACGGGTGCTCTAAGCAATCGGCGGCCGTGGCGCGCTTGTTCGGATCGAAATCCAACATGGGCTTCAGGAAGGCGGCGAACTCCTCGGCGTCCTGCCGGCTCCAGTCGTACTTCTCCATGAGGACGTCCTCCAGGCCCCACGGCTTCAGATTGGTTATGTGACGGAGTTCGCTCTTCTTGTTGAAGAACAGCTTCGAATTCTTGCCGCTCTGGGCGATCTTCCGCGGTATATTTCCTAGTAATTCGATTATGTGCGCCAGGTGGTCCTCGTCTCGGCAAAAGTCCTCGCTGGAATGCGGCTCGAACAGATAGTCACCCGTCGCTAATTCGAACGCCATGCAAGCGGTGCTCCAAATGTCCGCCGAAGTGTTATAACCTTTAAGAAAAAAAAAAACCGTTCGTTTCTTTTTATACAGTACGCGAGAATGTGCATCACAAACTGTAGCAAGTTTTATAGACAAATATCAAGAGGCCCTGCTTTCCAATAGTATTTGTATAGTTGTATCGAACAAAGAGAATCGATGTGTTTAGTAGTATCGGAACGTCTCTAATAATAAAAGTGAACTCACCTGCGCCTAACAACACCTCTAATGACCTATATTGCCTGGTTTGGATGTCCTCCGTAAAGTGCTTGTCCACCCAACAGGCGTTACCTAAATCAGCGATTTTCACGTCGAAATTACATTCTACAAAAGCTATGAACGAAGGATCGAGGTCGACCTTCTTTTGATTGGAATTTAAAGACGTCAAATCGTCCTCAGACATGTGCTCGGTGAGAAGATCCTCGACAGCGGGCGCTTCTCGAGGGGCTTCGCCGCTGCCCAGATTGTTGCACACGCAGAAATTATCGTCTACTTTGTCTTCCGTTTCCGGCGTGGTTTCCGTACTAAAACAATTAGTAAAATATTATTCATGAATTATAATTTAACCATGTTAAACTCGTCACTATACAGGGCGTCTTACATATGAAATAACACAGATCAGGGGAATATAGGAGAGCCCAAAATGTGTTGTTTAACCCAACTTAACTTAATACAAAGTTACATTTCTGAGAAGTAATAGGCCTTCCTAGTGGAGTTACAGTTACAATACTCAAACTTAAAACAACTAAATTTGGTAAACTTTATGAGTGTACTAAGAGCATTAATCGATAGCTAGGAAAGATCAATTGATCTATTTTAAAGGGTTCATCAGGGATGATGCTCCCTTAAAATATTACTGTAATTACAGTAAACAAAACTAACAGTTCATTTCATACGTAATTTCATTTTAAAACTTTTAATATTCTCCTTGTTTTTTAAAATTCTTTGTCGTTTCGATGAAAAACGCTAAAAAATAAAGTCCATGTACACTATCAACGTTAGTTAACAACATAATTTACGGTTCTTATGCGGGACACCCCGTATAAAGCGAACTGAAGTTGCAGCAGAAATCTCCATTTTAAATAAAAATAATTAAAATATGATTTGTAAAATGATTAGTACAAAATCAAAACTTTTCTTGACCATAAAACGTGATTCATCTTGCATACATACAAAAATGAATGAACTATTAAACATTCATAGCTTCACTATGTTGTAATAAACCTTTCAATTAATACATGCAATCAATAAATTGCTCAAATTCGCATATTTCAAGCGACCATCTTATGAATCATTCGACTTATTTTCAGTTCAATTTCATTTACGTTAGATGCAAAACATTCATAAGCCTTATTTGAGCGATAATTTATTCTATTCTCATTCAGCTAATCTGTTAACGTAATGGAAATTTGTATGGTTTCTTTATTTTTCATTTACTTTAATACAGAAATAAATAGTGTAAATGGGGGATTATAAAACATTCAAATCTGTTAATGCTATAATAAAGACATTAATAATAATTGTTCCTAATAATACTTATTCTAAAAATATCTTATTGTTTAATATGCCTAATATTAAATTTGATAATAAAAGAGAATCCATTATTAGTGTAGGTTTAATTAAATTTGCCAACTAATGTACTTTTTTCAGGGTAATAAAAGGTTAGAATTATTGAGTAAATTATTTTACCTGAGATTCGGGGAGCATGTTCCGTTAAATTCAGCATCGCCGTTAACGTTCAATTCATTTATATCTATAAGATCCTGATTATCTTTTTCTTTTTTCTCATCTTCGATATCGATAATGTCGTCCATCTCCTTGTTCTCGTCACATTCCCTTTTATCTACATCGTTTACGTCCCCATTTTCCTTCACCTTTTTCTGCTCTTCGATTTCGATAATCTGCTCCATCTGTTTCTTGAGTAACTCGTTCTGTCTTTTGGCTTTCTTTTTCAGCTTTTTCTTCTTGTTTTTACTTAACTTAGTTTCTATAATGGGCGCCGTACTGACTAAGGAGGTGGGCAGCTTCAGGCCCAACTGGTGCATCTCTGCGGCCTCGCAGGCCAACCGTCGGATGGCCTCTTCCGATATACACAGCAGCACGTTCTCGGGCTTGATGTCAGTGTGGATGATCTTGCACTTGGTGTGCAGATAGTCGAGCCCTTCCAGCACCTGCCTCATTATGGTGCGCACGTTGGCCAACGGGATGCCCCGATAGTTGGATTTTATTATGAGTTTCAGTAAGTGGTAGCCTAACACCTCGAACACCATGCAAACGTGCACGCCGTTGACGCCGCTGATCTTGAAGTCGTTCAACAGTTGGACTGTCTTATTGCGCTTGGGATCGAGGGGATCGGACTCGCGAACGGCTTTCAGGATTTTGATCTCGTCCAGAGCGGTCTCGGTGAAGTGCTCGGCGGATTTGACGATCTTAAGGGCGACGAATCGCTTGTCTTCGAGGTCCCAGCAGAGCCACACCGTGGAGAAGTGGCCCCAGCCCAGTTTCCTCGTTACATGATACCTGCTGAGGAACAGGTCGCCGATTTTGACGGGATGGTAACCCCCTTTGCGGTAGTCGGTGCTATCCTCTTGTTCCTCCTCTTCGCTCGTGTAAGGCTCGTCCGGATCCTCGATGGTTTCATTGCTCGAGCTGTGAGAGGGCTCCGTTTTTGAACTATGCCGATTTTCACCTCCATGTCCGTTCATATCGTTTTTTCCTTTCTTTTTTGCGGGCTTGTGTCTCTTTTTTTTAGCTTGAATAGCTAAGACACGTCTGTTTACATCTAATTTAGCGCTCATCTGTATACCGTTTTTTAACAATCGCCACTAAAATGACATCAAATATGAAATTAAGGCGTCAAATGTCCTTCATTTTCGCAAAAACACTTTTGTTTGATTTTGATTATGGCCGTCAGGCCGTCTCACCAGCACCACCACTCTCCCCTCGCAGGATTCGGGAACAAATAATTCCTACACTGCTGCCAATAGATTTTTAAGTTTCAGCATTTATTCAACTTCGCTACCAACCTAACGGTACAACCTATCTCTTTTTATTCTAATAATAATGGATCTTTTCTCTCTATCTATTTTAATTAATCAGTAACATAAAATCGACTAGAAAAATCTGATTATTTAACAGTTGCCTACACTTTTTATTTAATTTAACGACAATTGACATGCCGAAAGAATTTGAATTTGACCATGTTGCCAATAATACAGATTTTCTTGGCTAATTTGGACCAATATTTCCTTGGAGCGTTGAATTTCAAATTCCGAATATTCAGATTTCTTGATACAATTTTTTGTTGTAAACATCTAAAAAGTCTGGCTCTACGATCTTTTTATCAATTGGAATAATTGGATAAATTCTCAAAGTACAGGCCGGCAACACTGCCCATGTTCGTGCATGGCATGTGTTAAACATGTCATTGTCATTAGTGTCTTGTGTCAATAGCTTGGCTTCCATGATTGTTGTTAAAATTTGAAAATATTTGTTTATTCTTGATTAATTGAATTAAACCAATATGACGAACACAAATTTAAATTCATCCAATGGATCGAGTAACGAAGACATCTCCGAAACCACAAACATATTCAAAAACCGAGATTTCATGTACAAACTGATCATCAGGTATTTATTTTTCGTTTCAATTTCGAAGCGTTTCGTATTGTATTTGTATGTATTATCCTAGTTAAATTACGTTACCCTTACGCATTTTCAGTCAGTTAATTTACGACGGACACCAAACCATCGCCACCTCGCTGCAACAAGCCGTACAAGCGGAGCCCAACAACTCCCCCAGCGATAGATTGTACCATTTGATATCGGTGGGCTTGGACCACGAACCCGCGTTGAAAGACAGGCCCAAAACCGGCGCGTTCGGCAACAACCAAATCGGTCCGGGTCTCGACTTGGAATTCGAAACCGAATCGAACGTTCCAGCCCCGGAGCCCGCCCTCTACGAGACCGCCTACGTCACGTCTCACAAAGGCAACTGCCGAGCGGGATGTTTCTCCGCCGACGGGCAACTAATCGCCACGGGAAGTGTAGACGCCAGCATAAAGATCCTGGATGTCGATAGGATGCTGGCGAAATCTGCCCCCGACGAAATGGATCCTTCGAGAGGCGAACAACAAGGACATCCGGTTATAAGAACACTCTACGATCATATGGAAGAGGTGACTTGCCTGGAGTTTCATCCTAGAGAACCGTTTTTATGTTCCGGTAGCAAAGATATGTCCATAAAACTCTTTGATATATCCAAAGCGAGTGTGAAGAAAGCCTTTAAAACTATTACAGTAAGAATAACTAAACTTATTTACTATAATTATTGAAGGTTTTATTCTTGTATCTTTCAGGAAGCCGAGCCAGTTAGAGCTATATCGTTTCATCCATTGGGCGATCACATGATAGTTGCTACAAATCATCCCGTTATCCGTTTGTACGACGTGAATACATTGCATTGCTTCGTGTGCTCCTTTCCCAAACACCAGCACACGCAAACTGTGACGAATTTAAAGTGGTCGAAGGACGCCAAATTGTTCGCTTCGTGCAGCAAAGATGGCAACATAAAAATCTGGGATTCGGTATCTAATAGGTGCATAAATACGCTGATTAAAGCGCACGATGGATTAGAAGTTTGCTCCGTAGAGTTTTCCAAGAACGGCAAATACTTGTTATCGGCCGGAAAGAATTCGATTTGTAAATTGTGGGAGTTGACGACGAGCAGATGCTTGATCGCTTATACAGGTAAAGGCGTTTTTAATCATTAAGAAATTTAAAATATTTACTGAAAGGAATGTTTTAGGTGCGGGAACTACTGGTAAACAGGAATACGAAGCCCAAGCAGTATTTAATCACACCGAAGACTATGTATTGTTCCCTGACGAGGCGACGACTTCCCTTTGCGCTTGGAATTCCCGAAATGCATCTAGGAAACAACTAATGTCTTTGGGTCATAACGGGGCGGTTAGATTAATAGCCCATTCGCCCACTCAAGCGGCCTTTTTGACTTGTTCAGATGACTTCAGAGCGAGATTTTGGTATAGGAGAACACCTACTTTGTAATTTTTATATTGTGATTAGATTTTTTTAAGTATTTAAATGTATAAGGAACAAAACAAGATTGTAATGTATTCAGGCAATTAAAGAATACGATACATCTGAGAATAATTATTTTTGGTTTCCTTTTCTGCCTAGCAAAGAATTTGTTAACATAATTCTTCAGTTATTGAAACAACAAACTTGTCAAAAAAATTTATTAACGATGTTAAGTCCAAACATCCTATTTTTTACTCCCTAAAATTATTCCGTCGTATTTCTGTTGGAACCACTTCATAGCGTCTTCTTTGGTTAACCTATGAGAGAAACCAACTTTGCCTTTCTTCGCTCTTCGGTGGGCTACGTTGAAACCGGGGCGACCCAACACAACGTAGAAATCAAGACCGTAGATACCTATGCTCGGGTCGTACTTGATTCCAAGATCAATGTGTTCTTGGATACCGAAACCGAAGTTACCAGAGACTACAAAAGAATAAGATTATATTAAAGAAATAATAATATGAATGGTGAAAAATTGGATAAAGCATGAAGTTTTACTTACTAGAGAAGTTATCCCTCCTCAATTCGTATTCTCTGACTTTTAAGCCCCTTTCTAATATTTCCTCGGCCTTCGCGCCTCTTACTGTGCAGTGTACAGCAATCTTTTCGTTTCTACGAATTCCAAAAGACCTGACGGTGTATCGGGCTTTTGAGAAGACTGGTTGTTGGCCAGTCAGTTGTTCTAATACCTAAAATTGTTATAATTAGGTTAACTTCATGTTATTCTGGGTTCATAAAACGACATTACCTTAGCAGCACGAGTAAGTCTGTCACCAGATTCTCCTACACAAATGTTAAGGCATAATTTGCGGATATGCAATTCCCGCATATGATTTTTGGTTTTATCCTTGACATCTCTTTTGTCTTTGGATTCCTTAGGCTTCGCTACGGGCTGAAAAAATAGAACGCCAAATATTAAACGTTGAATTGAAATTTCAAAACATCTATATTTAGGTTAGAACATCGAATTTCTTCGAAACGGAATTATTTCAACAAAATATATTGAAATTTTTTCGCAAATATGATTAGGCAACTTGTTTAAATATATTTTTCTTGAAAAAAGTCGCTCATATTTAAGATGATTAAAGAAATAATTTTAGTAAAATATTTCACTCACCGCCATTGTTAATAACCACTTCGTAAAGGTGGAGCCACGAGCGCGACAGTGACAGATGAAATGATAGGAAACACTGAAGAGAACCCACAAGAAAGAGAGAACAAAACATGAAGTTTGTAGTGAAGAAAGAGATAAGCAAATAAACAAATACACTTTACTTGCATTTTTTTACCATAAATTACATGTTTTATTTTATTACATTAATTCTGTTGTTCACTTCTGGTATTTATCTTTTTTTATTTGTATTAAATACTATTGTAGATTTTTCTTCTTTTTATTTAGTATTCCAGTTTTGCCGAGACTATTCAGCTCACTTCAGATTTTTCAGAATTTGCCACATAGACAACCAGTATGTCTCATTAGCTTCAGATCCTCTATACAGGGTGTCCAGAAAATAGATGTCAATGATTCGGGAGCGTATAAATGATATCAAAAATAGGGTACAACTTCATATAGATTTAGTTAAGTTTGAGCACCCATTTTTGAGTTGGAGGCATTTAAAATTGAAAATTTAAAACTCATTTTTACGTTTTATTTCCATATACATGTGAACAATATCAAATTTTTTAGCATACAAAAATTAAATGCATTTCCTCTTCATTATTAGAATGTTATTAAAAACACCTTTTTTAATCAAAATGTTAATTTTATACCTACAGATAAATTCTAATGTAAGAATAATTTCATTACAAAAATGAATAAACCAACGCCTTTAATACACAACACCTTATATGATACAAGCACACTTATTTACTCAGCCTCTTCAAACCCAATGGAAATCCGCCATCAGCTTGCATGTTTATATTCTCTCTAGAAATCCGAAGGGGAATCTCAGTCTTAGCGATGGGCACGAGTTCGAATTGAGACAACAAATGGAAGAATATAACTTTCATTTCCAACAGAGCGAACCGGTTACCGATGCAATTCCTCGGGCCTACGCCGAAGGGAATGTACGTGTACAGATTGATATCACCCTTGTTATCGTCGTTGAACCTTTCCGGATCGAATCGATCCGGATCCGGGTATATCTGGGGATCTCGGTGAAGACCGAATATGGGCAACCATACTACGTCGCCTTTTGCCAAGTGCACCGGCTTTTCGTCGGAACCAACCGGCTGGATCGTGTAGGGCTTTGTACAAACCCTGTCTGCTGCTACGGCACTCGGCCATTTTCTTAATGATTCTGTAAAGAAAGCATTGTTGAATAAATATACTTCTTTCGAAACAATAAAGAATCATTTATAGTAGTACCTATCAGAAATAAACCAAACCTTTTAGACCTAATAACACTTCGAAATACTTCTAAAGCTAATCAGATTCGAGCATAAATTTGTAGATAATTTTATGTTTACCTGACACTACCATGTCCATGTATTTCATCTTCAATACGGCCTCATAGGTTACAGTTCCTTTGCATTCGTTGAGGGTTTCCTGAATTTCGTCTCTGAGTTTTTTTTGTACGTCCGGATTGATTGCCAATTCGTAGGCCATGAAACACATCGCTGTCGATACGGTGTCAAAGCCGGCGAAGAAGAATATCATAGCTTGAGCAACAATGTCCATATTCGTTAATTTTTTGAACCCTGATTTACCTGAAATAATCATAAATGTTTATGAAATCGAAGTGTAGTTACATCGAAGTGAGTTATTGAAGGGAGTGAACGTATTTTACTTTTTTGGCCGAGATCCGATTCTTCAACAGTGGCAAATCCATTGTCGATGGCTTGATTCTCTTCTTCCTCCTTGTCCTTTCCTTTTTGAGCCTCAATGAGAAGGTGAATCATGTCAGGACGGACGATACCTTTTTCTTTCCGCATTTTGATGTTGTCGTCAATAATTTCCGTGAAGAATTTTTCGACAACTTTATCGAATAGCGGTATTTTTAACATCTAAAAGAAAAAGAAAATTGGAAAAGTGCCTCTTTAAAAGACATTCCCAGGACTTGAATAGTTTAAAGTTGTGGCAAAAAGAACAAAAGACCTCAACACGTTATGAATATAGTCTATGAAAAACTTACAGCAAATAACTTCGGAAATAGAAAGAATCCGAAGAATTTTATCCTTTGCCAGAAACCACTGAAATTAACGGCTTTTTTTCCCATCTCATAGAATTCGTTCTCTTGGTCCTTGAGGGAATCAATGTTGATTCCGAAGGCAGCGGAAGCTATAATGTCGTTGGCGAAGCGAGTAAATGTATCTTTCATCTCGACTTCCACGATGTCCTGGTTTTTGTTTAAGAAGTACTCCGTGGACGTTTTGGCGCAGTCCGATATCAGCACGAATATACCTTTCATTTTACTGCTGGTGAACGAGGGACTCAAAATCGGCCTCATTTCTCGCCATTTTTGACCTTAAACAACATCGGTAGTGGTGTTGTGTTACAAGCACGACGATGAATAAAGGCATTACCTTTGAGGGAAACTAAGTTTTTTCCAAATAATGGATCGGCTTCTTCAGAAACGAACGAACGGCGATCCAAAAAATGATCGAAATCCTTGACGGTGATTTGTTTAATTATCTCAGCATCTTTAAGGACTAAGGTTGGGGTCGTGAATTGGTACATACCAGAGTAACTAAAACGAACCGTAAATTATGTGAGTTAATAAAACAGTGAACTAACTTCATTTACCTAACTCCTGGTACTTCATCGTACACTCTTTTCACCATCTCAGCGAAACTTTCTAATTTTAGGATATTTTTCCAATTATCTCCGAAGACCCATACCGCTGGTGTTTGCTGTACGCCCAATTCCTTCCAATGGTACATTGGCTTGACGCCAAAATAGTAGAACAGGGCGATTAGAAATATCGCTATTAAAATAAGTTGCAGCATTTTTACATCTACTTTTATCTGAAAAAATAAATCTACTAAAATATGTTTCAAGCGAACAGGAAATACGTATTTTGTGTATCGCTGTTTTACGACTTCTAACAGCTACAATCCAATGTCACTACATTAACGCTAATACGTAGTAGAATATTAATTAAATAATAATTTTTGGACAGATATATGTATAGACTCTCTGCGGTGCTCTTCAGTAGTAATCCAACCAAGCCTAGGTCTCAACTTTAATGGACTCAAAAATGCAAAATGGTAACACTAGGTATATGTTGTGTTGCCATGTGCTTCTTGTAATTAAGTATAATGTGTTTATGAAAGTAGATAATGCGTAGAATCAGAAAATTGTTAAATGTAGATCGATACTTATAAATTGTAAGATAAATTAGAAAATTAATGCGTTGCGCATAATGTAGACCTTGAAAACTTCAAGTACATTGTATTTTTATTATTCCAGACACATTAACAATATTTACAGGATTTTATCAAAAAACTAAAATAAACAAACTATTAGATAAAATCTTTACATCTATAGGTAATTGCAGTTTATAACATCAATTTTTAATATTTAGATTACTTCAAATATGTGCAAAAAGTAAATTGAATACATTATTCATTTTTTTATTTGTTTCTGCATTTCAATTATGTTTCTATTATACATAGAATTAGCATCTATAAATAGCTACTAACTAATTTTATAAGGCTGCTGCAAAAACCTTGAAAAACAAAAGAAAATCAAAGAAAATCAAAAATACCGCAAAATTTAATCATATTAAAGTAAAAAAATATTTTTTAAATCTTCTACCTTATTTACTAATGTCCACTAAACTTGGCCAACAGCCACACTTCTCACTTCACCTACACTATTACGAGTATAGCAGAATAAATCAGATCGATTAAAAGAGATTGTGAACACCATATAACGCCTAATTGATTATTTCTATCACTTTCAATGGCAAGTGATAATTTCAAGAGCAACTTCAATGATTACTGTTAACGATATTATTGCCATTATTCGCCTATCAACAATTGATTCCCTAATTTTTAAAGGTACAAGGTGCAGGTTTCGAATTGTCAAACGTAATAGCATAAAAAAAGCAAAATAAACTAAATTAATTATGACCTTAAACTTTACACTCCACTTGTTGACCATGCAATTTATTTTCCTACTGTTTATTTTCCATCTTTAAAGCGATAATGTAAAAGTATTTTCTACCAAAAAATTGTTTATAATAAAGAGATTAAGAAACATTAAATATAGTAATTAATTCTAAAAAAATTTTCATAATTCATTCAAAATAATCAATGTTGGTATGCACTAATAATTAACAACAATTAATCAATCATAATTAATAACTTGAAGATGCAATTAATCAAGAAGCCGGCACATGGTAAATAATATATGCAAAAAGCAACCTATTCGCTTTGTTACATAACATTTCTGATTAACTTTATTCATTTCTCCCTAAGAGCCAGTATTCTAAAATCTGTAGCACAGTTTAAATCAAATTCATTTATTTAAGAAATCATATTTCCCCATCTACACACGTCGATTCCTTCAAAGTAAGGCCGTTTATAAGACATTTACAACTGAAATACGAGCACAAATATTTAATATGTATGTAATTTCGATTTAATCTCGTATTATTTTTGTTTTAATTTAGATAATATAGATAATAATGTTTGAATATTGCGAGAAGTGTGAAGCATCATTTTAAGGTAAATTTTAATTTTTTAACATGGACCATTGCAAAAAGGTAAATAGGAAGAAAAATCCAAGAGAAACGGCCAGTTTAGTCTCTAAATTAAGTTTCGCGTAAGTATTTTATTTAAAACATTCAAATTTAAACAGATATTAAAATCCGTCATATACATGGCTTTTAACTGAATTATTTTCCTGATGGTTATTTAGATACACGACAGGGCTCTTCAGGAAGGGCTTTAAAAGGGACTTGGAAGAACAGAACGTTTACGATGTTATCAAACCGTGTAAATCCAAGACTTGCGGAGACAAATTGGAGAAGCAATGGTCAATTGACAGTACCAAATCCAAATCCATTTATCGACTATTATGGAACAGGTTCGGTTGGAGATACTTGTTCATCGGATTCGTGGATTTAATCTTTAAAATATCAAACAGGTACCCAACTAATTTAAACGAATTAATCAAACGACACCTGCACTCCTCAATGTTTAGTGTTCTAGAGCCGACATGCATTAGTAGCATAGTAGAGAACATGGAGGAACAAACGCCGGCCGCCCAACAGCAAACATACATTTGGGCGGCGGTTTTAATAACAAGCAATTTCATTAACACCGTCTACACTCACAATTGCATGCTGTGGACGACGCAATTGGGAATGGAAATGAGAACAGCCTTTTCCGCTCTCTTGTACAGGAAGGCTTTGAGGCTCACGCCGACCGCTGTGTCGAAAATAAATTTAGGAAACATCGTCACGCTAATCACTAAAGACGTCCAATCGTTTCAACTGTCCATTTGGATGTTCAACGACATGTGGAATGGCACCATACAGATGTTTGTGTGCTGTTATATTTTGTACAACAAACTGGGGGTGTCTTCCCTTATTGGTATTGGGATGATTTTGAGCGTCCTGCCGTTACAAAGTAAGAAATTATGATCTAAATATTAAGGGGATTTAATGGGAGTTTCTTTTTTCTACACAAATACTAGAAATGTAAAGGTCCGCATTGTTGCTCAATGTTGCAATAAATATAACTTTAACTATTACTAATAGTAACTATAAGCATTTCTTTGGGTGGTCTAAGTCTAATACTGGTTGTTATAAATGTTATAAACTAATTCTATTTTCAGTATTCCTTAGTAAACTCATCAATAAATTTAGATATGAAACTGGCAAAAAAACTGATGAAAGATTACAAGAAACGCAAGAAACCTTATCCACAATAAAGATCATCAAAATGTACACCTGGGAACAATTTTTTAGTAACAAGATCAACAAATCCAGACGGTAAGTTATTACAGAATACTGTTATCAGTCAAATTACTATTAATTTCAATTATTAATTTCAGAGAGGAAGCGAAGAAAATTCTAATTTCGTTCCACCTGAAAATGACGCAAATCGTCTCGGGTATCTTATTCTCGAAATTGGGATTCTACGTTTTCGTCATGTCCTACATCGGGATGGGTTACAACGCCAACACGATTTACATATTCTACGCCATTGATGTGTTCAAAGACCTCGAATACAATTTGGGCCAGCTGATACCCTACGGAATGGGCAGGGCCGCAGAACTATTTTCCGCAATACGAAGAATAAACCAAGTGATTTCAGCCGAGGAATTACCGCCTAAAGTAGGATCGGAGGAAGCGACTGATCAGCCTATATTAGAGCTGAAGAACGCCAGCGTGCACATCAACGACAACCTGGTGCTCAATAATATTTCTTTTAGAGCCAATTCCGGGTTGATATTGGTCACAGGAAAAGTCGGTTGTGGAAAAAGCTCATTTCTCAAATCCTTATTGCAGGATTACCCTCTATCTGCAGGCTCCATCATGTCGCGCGGAAGGATTTCCTACGCTTCTCAGGATCCTTGGTTGTTTCCATCCTCTATCAAGCAGAATATTTTGTTCGGAGAAGAGTTCAATGAAAAAAGGTTACACTTCCATTATAACTAATTAATAAATGTAACCCATAATTTTTCAGATATTTAGAAGTAGTTAGAGTCTGCGCTCTGGAGTACGATTTCAAATTGCTTGACAAAGGCGACGAAACGATCGTTTGCGATCGCGGTTTGAACCTCAGCAAAGGCCAGCAGGCTAGAATAAACTTAGCCAGGGCGGTGTACAAGGAGAGCGAGATGTACCTGCTGGACGACTCCCTGACGGCCTTGGATAGTCAGGTTCAGGATTACATTTTCAACGAATGCATCCGAACGTTTTTGGCGTCGAAGCTTTGCTTGCTGGTTACGCAAAACGTCGCCCAGATCAAAGAAGCTGATAACGTTCTGGTGTTGGATAACGGGGAAATAAAGAGTTTCGGTAGAGTCGATAGTAAGGTAATTGAGGAGATAAGCGAGGCTGTTAATGAGGTGAAAGAAACGCCACATGAAAAGCAAATTGAACAAGTCGAAGTTGATGACGATGATGATATTGATGACGTGTATTCGGAGGAAACTAAATTATTGGAAGAAGTCGAACAAAGCAATAAAAAAAGGGTGTACGCGGAAGTAACCAAGAAAGGGAAGGTTTCCTTCAGCATCTATAAGGATTACCTAATGTACGGTGGAGGAGTATGCGCCTTGTTCTTGAACTTTCTTTTCTTTTTTTCTGCGCAAGCAACAGAGAGCTTTTCGGATTATATATTAGCAAGTTGGTAGGTTATCATCTTATTTTAAAACTACAATTACACTCTTACGCTATTCTACGTAATAGGACAGACAAGAAGGAAGCGATCCAGAACTATCAAAACTCAACCCTCAATCAAACCATCGCCAATCAAACTACAGTTAACCAAACTTTATTAGAGTTGGAGGAGCAAGCTTCACTAAGATTGCATTTGTATTCAGGCAGCATATTTTTATTGGCGCTGCTAAATCTTATCCGTACGTACTCGGTTCTTGAACTAAGCAGAAGAGCGTCGGTAAATATCCACAAAGTCATAATTAAGAAGATAATAAACGCTCGTATGGCATTTTTTGACACCCACTTCTTAGGAAACATACTCAACAGATTCTCGAACGACTTCTGCAATGTTGACGAGCAAATACCCTTCGTTATATTCGAGGTGTTAAGGGTAAGCGACTATTGTCTAGTAAGTGAATATCGCTTGAAACTTTTTATTTCAGGTATTATTTGAACTTGGCGGTATTTTATTCATTTTGGTCAGCTTAAACGGATCATTTCTAATATTCGCCATAATTTTATTTTTCCTTCTACTAGTATTACGAAAGTACTATTTGCCAACAGGTCGTAGCCTGAAGCGACTGGAAGCCACAAGTACAAAATAACCACGCTTTACATCCACTTCAGAGATTCACGTTGATTATTTTCAGCTAGAAGTCCGATGGTGGGACATCTTAACGCCTCTTTGGAAGGTCTCACCACGATTAGAGCGTACAAAATGCAAACTCTTTTAATCGACGAGTTCGATAGACACCAGGATTTGTTCACGTCCGCCCATTACATGTGGCAATGCACCACAATGGCTTTCGGCTGGGCTATGGACTTCTGCTGCGCCATCTTCATCGCTTGTGTTGTTCTTTCGCTCGTCTTGCTCGATTCGAGTAAGTACCTAGTATCACACAAACCGATTTGCTGAACACATAAAAATAGCAAAAATTTAAAATAGGAGCTTCTCCGTCTATCAGCCACAAACTCTTAGTTATTTTAGCCTTTAAGAGTGTTCCCAGTTTCTTTTACAGTACTCTCATATTTTCTGTAATGCTCTTAGCCTTATAATGATATCGTCTTTAGGCTTCTAAGTCTCATTCTTCTGCTTTTAGATTATACCGCTGGACAAGTCGGTTTGGCGATAACTCAAGTGATAGCGCTCTCGGGAGAAGTGGAATGGGGGGTCCGCCAGTGGGCCGACCTGGAAAGCCTCATGACGTCGGTGGAGCGGTTGTTGGAGTACGCGCAAATAAAAACGGAAAGTCCGGAAGGGAAGGAATTGAGCGATTGGCCGAGAGATGGGGCCGTAACGTACGAGAACGTGTCTCTGAGCTACAACGACAGCGAGTTGGTGTTGAAGAATTTAAGTTTCTCGATCGCGCCCAGGGAGAAGGTCGGCATAGTGGGCAGGACGGGAGCGGGAAAATCGTCGATAATTTCGTCGATATTTCGCCTGTACGAGGTCGAGGGAAATATATTCATCGACGGTATGAGCATAAGGGTGCTGTCGATGAAGTTCCTGAGGAAGAAATTAGCGATCATACCGCAAGATCCCGTGCTGTTTTCTGGCACAATAAGAACTAATTTGGATCCTTTTGAAGAGTACTTAGATGAAGATCTGTGGGTAGCTTTAGACAAAGTGGGTTTAAAGAGTATAATATACAGTTTGAGCCAGAGCGTTAAGAGCCACGCTTCGACGTTCAGCTCGGGACAAAGGCAGTTACTATCGGTGGCTAGGGCTATACTGCGTAGAAGCAAAATAATTATTCTTGACGAAGCCACTGCCAATATGGATAATGACACCGATGTCATGCTTAACGAAATCATCAGAACAAATTTCAGCGATTGCACTGTTTTGACCATAGCTCACAGGTTGGAGACGATTTTAGGTAGCGATAGGGTGATGGTTTTAGACAGAGGCGAGATCAGAGAATTCGATGCACCTCGCATGTTGTTGAAAAATGAAGACGGGATGTTTTATAAGTTAGTCGAGCAAGCTGGATTGCTTAATTATTTAAATGACAAATAAACGATTTTAGGTAAATCGTTAAATGTAACGGCTGATTTAAATAGTTAATTAATTTTAATTAAATGTAAATATAATATGCATGTATACTATAGGTTCTTTTAATTAAATTGTGTATATTCATAGATTAAATATCTTATTAATTATCCTAAAGGGGACTACCGAGTTGTACCACGACTACCTGAATTAATCCCTTACCGTTCTTTATCCGGATTACATTGACTACCGAGTTGTACCACGACGTAATTACCCCTAATGGCCTTAATATGCTCGGGATCGCCGAGTTGTACCACGGGATAGCATTTATGCCAAGCGTGGTACCGTAAAATTTTAAATTTAGGACTATCTAATGAATACAAAGAAAAAAATTCGGAGATTGGTAAGTTTTTGAAATTATTCTTCGGCCTACACTTTCTGGAACCTACCGAAGTAGGTGATTTTTTCGCATTCCAAATATTAGATAAATTACCCAATGATGAGAAAGTAATACAATTTTGCGACTACATATTGGACAATTATGTGTCAGAAGAAGCTAGCTTTCCTCCGAAAATTTGGGCATGTACCACCAATAGCATGTACAGGTCTACGAACGCTTGTGAGTAGTTTCATTCGGTACTGAAAAACAGTTTTTATTCTCCTCACCCAAATATATTTCTTTTCACAGACATGCTAATAAATATACAAAGTGAGACGTTCACTAAAATTAAGATTGCCAGTGAATCAGAAAATAATAAAAAACTGAAGTCTGTTACAAGAAAGAAATTCGATTATATAACATTAAAAATTAATGAATTTAAAGAAAACAAAATTAATAAATTTGATTTTGTAAAGTCTTTAAGTTTTTACTATTTGCCGCAGTAGAGCATTTAAATGTGTATGTATAAGTAGATTATGTGTAGATATTTTATATTTGATATTTTATATTTTACTATAATTTTGTATCTAATTTATAATAAAATTGTTAATGGTTATTGTCGGGCTTTATTTTTTAAGTCGTTAAGCCTCATTAGAAAATTCGGTGGTACAACTCGGTAGTAGGATTAGACCTACCTGCTATCCCGTGGTACAACTCGGCGATCCCGATCCTAAATTACATCTAGCTGATAAGTGAAATATTTGCATCTTATCTTGTTTGTTAAGTATTAAGTACAATCAGGAAAATTGATCATGTCTACCTGCAAATCTACGCCTTTCAAATTTGATTTAATTGCTATCGAATTTTTTTCTAAATACTCACATGAGCTTGTGGGCAGTGCAAGGTTCTTTAAATTTTCTTTCTATTCGCTACCCTTGTGCAAACTCAGCAGAAAAATTATTGTGTAATCAATTCCCAGGAAGACCTATTAGTAGCTCTTTAAAATTATCAAAACTCTCTACTCTGTTAGTATAAGCATTCGAATCTCTGCTAATCTATTAGTATTAACTAACCTCTTTCAAATAACTTGCTGTTGTTATTATATCTAATTAAAAATTCTCTGATCGAAATATTTTGTGCAGATAAAATAACGTAATTTTTTATGCAGACGGTTTTTGTCCAGTAGCCTAATTAGTGTTTCCCGGCTTGAATACAATTTCTATCCATAATTCGGAATTTTGATTATATGCAAAGTCCTTTGCTCGTAATTATGTTGTTGGTGTTTTTATGCAGGCGGGTGCTTTTCAGTCCCCTTGACCACCTAGATCTGATCACTGATTCTGCCAGAGGTCGCAAGAGTGCTTGTAAATAAAAAAAATATAAAATATTTTGCATATTTATTTATTAATAAAGAATTTCCTTCTTAAGTAGGATATTAATACAGATGTGAGATGTGTAAAAGTAACGTATTCTATTACATATTATGAACTTAAACTTGATACATGATTACGGGCGAGGACCGGGTCCTGGACGTGGGCCGGGACCTGGACGAGGACCGGGGCCTGGACGTGGGCCGGGGCCTGGACGGGGACCGGGTCCTGGACGTGGGCCGGGGCCTGGACGGGGACCGGGTCCTGGACGTGGGCCGGGACCTGGACGGGGACCGGGTCCTGGACGTGGGCCGGGACCTGGACGGGGACCGGGTCCTGGACGTGGGCCGGGGCCTGGACGGGGACCGGGGCCTGGACGGGGACCGGGGCCTGGACGTGGGCCGGGGCCTGGACGGGGACCGGGTCCTGGACGTGGGCCGGGTCCTGGACGTGGGCCGGGGCCTGGACGGGGACCGGGGCCTGGACGGGGACCGGGGCCTGGACGTGGGCCTGGGCCTGGGCGGGGACCGGGTCCTGGACGTGGGCCGGGACCTGGACGGGGATCGGGACCTGGACGTGGGCCGGGGCCTGGACGGGGACCGGGTCCTGGACGTGGGCCGGGGCCTGGACGGGGACCGGGGCCTGGACGGGGACCTGGACCTGGACGTGGACCGGGTCCTGGACGTGGACCGGGGCCTGGACGTGGGCCGGGGCCTGGACGTGGGCCGGGACCTGGACGTGGGCCGGGGCCTGGACGGGGACCGGGTCCTGGACGTGGGCCGGGGCCTGGACGGGGACCGGGGCCTGGACGGGGACCTGGACCTGGACGGGGACCTGGACCTGGACGTGGACCGGGTCCTGGACGTGGACCGGGGCCTGGACGTGGGCCGGGGCCTGGACGTGGGCCGGGACCTGGACGTGGGCCTGGACCTGGACGGGGACCGGGACCTGGACGTGGGCCGGGTCCTGGACGGGGACGTGGGCCGGGTCCTGGACGGGGACCTGGACGTGGGCCTGGACGGGGACCGGGACCTGGACGTGGGCCTGGACCTGGACGTGGGCCTGGACCTGGACGTGGGCGTGGCCCTGGACGTGGGCGTGGTCGTGGACGTGGGCCGGGTCCTGGACGTGGGCCGGGACCTGGACGGGGACCTGGCCGTGGTCGTGGACGTCTGTCAAGATCTAGCGGCAGTTGACCATCTTCATCTAGGTAGAAATCAGTCTCTCCCAGTGCTTCCAATTCTTCTAGTTCTGTGTCTTCATCTTCCTTTCGTTCCTCGACTTCAGAGCAGGCGATTGCCTAGTTAATAAATAAGTTTTATATTAATTCGTGAATAAGAAAATATTTATTTTATATAAGAAATTTTATATATAAAAAAATAATTAAATAATTTGTTAAATTAAATTTTCTTACCTGAATGGCAACGCTAGCCAGTAAGGCTAACAATAATACAATGTTCAATTTCATGCTGATCTGATTGTCTGGGATTTGGTAAAGGTATTTATACCAAAATGGATATATCTAAGATGTACTCTAAGATCCACTTGAAATAATTTTCCATAAGTTGTTTTATTAAAATTAACAAATAATATTACTCTATTTCATCATGTACCTATGTACTTGACATTCCTTTCTTATCATCTTAATTTTTAATTATTTATTTTTATTTATGTTATTTTCTCGGCATAATATTTCGATCAGAGAATTTTAATTAGATATAATAAAAACAGCAAGTTATTTGAAAAAGGCAGGTTAGTTAATACGATCAAAGTACTTAGGTACATCAGTATTATTTCCATTTCAGAATGCTAAAATTTATTTTATATAACTTATACAGGATATCCCGGAAAGCATGGGAAATCTCTCGGATCCAGATAGAACATGAAAAAAATAAGATGACAAGTTCCCATAAAGTTTTTCCCTACAAGCCCTCCCTACGAAGATATGCGTCCCTAAAGGACGCCGCAGGAAATAGGTTTTTTTTTAAATATCCTCTAAAGTATCTACCTACTTAATATAATTTAATAAAAATCTAATATGATTGACACTAGTAAGGACCTCATAAAACAACGTCCTTGAAAAATGTGTAGCTTTTTTAATTTATACGACCGGGCTAAGGTTTACTCCTTAATGCCTAAACACCCTGTATGATAAAGGCTTAAAAACGATAAATCTGGAGAGCTTGAACCTTAAACTAAAAAAAAGGTTCCCCTCTCAATTGTCGATAAAATGAACCGTTTATGAAAAAAAACTTTAATAAACGATTTAAGGTTTAATTTTTAACAGAAATGGTATCAACAATTTACACAATTTACATGTATTGACTGATGAAAATCCGCATGCCACTATTTTTTCTAATCATCAACATCTGTTTCAATCTCTTGTATTGCTGAAACTATTGAATTTTTGAGGGTCTGCTATAGCAGGTCCTCGAGGAAATTAATTGGGCAATAGTCTTTCCTGGCCATTTCGCAATAAATTAAAATGGGTAAGATAGTATCGAGTTTACAAGGTTGTGGGTGGTTTAAATGAGGGCTACTAGTAGGTTTTCTAGGAAACTCATTAGGCAATATTTTTTCTTGCAGGACTAGCCAATAATTCAGGTTTGGTAAGCTAGAATTGAAATTTATAGCAAGATTCGAAAGCTCACACTAAAAGAGTGGAGAATTTTAATAATTTTAAAGGGCTACTAATAGGTCTTCCAGGGAATTGATTACATTATAATTTTTCTGCTGTTTACATAAGGGTAGCGAATTTAAAGAAAATTAAAAGAACCTTGCACAGTCCACAAGCTCATGTGAGTAATTAGAAAAAAATTCAATAGCAATTAAATCAAATTTGAAATGCGTAGATTTGTAGGCAGACATGATAAATTTTTCTGATTGTACTTAGTACTTTTACAAACAAGATAAGGTGCAAATATTTCAGATATCAGCTAGATGGAATTTAAAGTACCTATAGTGCATACATAATTAATAGTAATCAATAAAATTTAATAAAATTAATTAACTATTTAAATCAGCCGTTACATTTAACGAATTACCTAAAATCGTCTATTTGTAATTTAAATAATAATTAAGCAATCCAGCTTGCTCGACTAACTTTTAAAACATCCCATCTTTATTCCATATTGGCAGTGGCTTCGTCTTTCATATCGATGGAGTAAAATGTGTTGAGTATTCTTGTTATTTTTACCACAACTTTAAACTATTCAAATCGCGTCTCGAGTCCATAGTTACTCCATAACAACAATGTAAATCTGTCAAGTTAAAGACGCGACTTTAGAGTCACTCTAAAGTTAAACAGAGGCGGTGAATACGGGCCACTATGTTTAAATAAATAATAAAGCTTTAATTTAGAATCTTTTCTTTATTCTCTGTAACGTTATTTTAATTCTGCGAAATATTTGGGACTCAAGATTCAAAATTTCCTCTTGGGATCAGGAGTTACAGCCTGGGATTTACTCAGTTGGTGGTACCTGCAGTTGCGGTACAAGGCACATTTTATATCTCTGTAATTTGCTTTGAATATTTACAGAGTTGATTTTTGCATTATTTTTCTAATTTAATTGAGGTTTAATTGATCTTGCCAATAAAGATTTTCCTTTGGAATCATTCTCTCGATTATTGATAAACTTAAGTACTCTTTACTTAAGCAAATTAAGGCCAACAAGTCAAATAAAATGTCACTAATGTCAAATCAAATGTCATTAATGTCAAAAATATATTTTTGTTGACGTTTAGTTTGCCTTAGTTGATTTCAGTTATATTTTTATTTATTTTTTAAGTTTTTTCTAATTTATACATCGTTTTATTCGAGCCTACATATCCATAATAATCCAAGCAATGGCCAGAAAAAGAGGAAGATGCAGAAAGCCTATAAAATCTGGCGAAAAAATCGACAAGAACATCAACAACAATTACATCAATACTCCAAAGGAAAAAGCCAAGAAAAACAACGCTAAAAAAACCGAAGTTATCACCAAATCCACTACAAATTCTTGCAGTTATTGCGGCTCATTGTTCTCCAAACGAACAACTCTGCAAAAACATCTAAATAAATGCTGCAAGAATACAACAAATTCACTCGCATTCAACATAAAAACTGGCCATAGTCAAAGTAATGTACACTATTCGTATTCTTGCCAACATTGCTCAAAATCTTTCCTAAGAAATTCAACATATCGAACACATGTATCAATTTGTTCCACTAAAAATACAACCAATGAAGTTATTGCAAACACAACTAGCAACACATCTTGCTCGAACAATCCTGATGAAACGAATAGATTCAGTTCCAGTAGCTCAAAATCACCAAAATCTGACCACAAAGAACAAAATGAAACGACCACAACTTGTACAAACACATCTAATACCATAAACGTAAGTCAAAACATCATTATTCCTGTTAATAAACTATTGGATAAGCCTGATTCTGACGCACAAAGCACAGTTTTGATCGATACTGACGATTCTGATGTGCAAATCATCCAACAAAAAATCCCCAAGTATGATCTCTCGATATACGATTACGACGAAGACATCGACACAGCTCAAGTACCGAGCCCAACCAAAAATAAATGCAAAATATGCGAGTACACAGCGGATTCCCCGATAGAGCTCATCAAACACAAACGAACGAAGCACGCGCAAACCGAACCGGTACTGGTGTTCCCTCCTGAGGAAGTTCGGAAGTACTTCGATTGGCCGGATAGGAGTACTTGTCCTCTGTGCGGGAAGCAATTGAAGACGAGGAACTACAAGTCGTTGTTTCTGAGGCATCTGTCTGTGCATACTGTAGGATTGGCCTACGAGTGTAGGATCTGCGGGAAGAAGTTTCGCAGAGTGGATCAATTGCGGGGGCACGAGAACAGGCACGTCGTGAGTTACGAGGAGGTGAGGGCTTTGAAGGATGCTGTTTATGAGGATGATGTTGCTTTGAGACAGCATATTAACATGTGACCGTTGAGCGGGGAGGTTAATTTGGTTGTGAATTATGAGGGATGATTACTGGTATTTTTATTCCTTACATACCATAGAATATTCCTTGTTGGTTTTCCTTATATATTATTATCTGTATATCCTTCTAATTCCCTTCTGTAATAATTGTTTTCCAGTGATTCATCCCTCAAAGTAACTATTGTACTGAAAACTAGGTTTATATGTTAGCTTTCATATGATTTTTTTATTATAGATTATTGTTTTATAATAAAGGATTATTTTTACTGTTACTTAGGTTATTTTTTGTAAATTTGGTCAAAAAACTAACGAGATAAAATATACAGGGTGTCCCGCATAAGAACTGACGCAGATCAGGGGCATGTAGGGAGCCTAAAATATGTTGTTTAACACGACTTAACTTAATGCAGCCAATTTTTGAATTATCGACAGTTAAATAGCGTTTTTTAAAATGATATTACCTATGAAATGAACCAATAATTTTTTAAATCATCCATCAGGTGAGAAACATTTTTAATACTTTAAATTTCACGCACCTGTAACGAAGTTTTTTCGACCGTAAGTGGAAATTAATTTCGCGAATTTTGTTAATTGCACGTGACCTTGAATCCGATCGAGTTTTCCATCCGCTGTTATTCTGTTAACCGCTCGAGTCCCTTCCACAGCCGAATTTTCCTACTTGGTTTCTAAGACCAGTGGAAGGACAAGGGCCAGGTTTTATCCTAAAAATAGAATATAAAAATTGGAGCCTCGATCTAAATAGGACAGTTTCATGTGAAGTGACTTTCCGGAACATCCCAAATAACTGAAAGGTAGGAGAAAGACTGGTGAGTTGGTGAGTGTAGTCAAATAGAACTTTATTTTTTTTATATTATTTAAACAAATCAATAGGAAAGGTTACAATAAAAAAGTTAGGGTAGAATTACCCCACGACCCGCCCATTTTAACCCACCCCTGGATAAGTTTTTTAACCCGATTGTATAGTGCTGTAAGGCATTTTATTTGCTTAGTACATGTACCAAATTTCCTTATTTTACCGTTACTAATAATGGAATTATTAATAAAAATACCTCTTCAAGAATCCATCTTTAACGCCCTGTATACTAATTACCAAGAACATTTCGAAAAAATGACGTGACAAGTTTTTGTAATATTTTGAGGTTCTCTACTTGCTTCCAAAGTTTGACCACTTATTTCAGAATCACCCTGTATATGAATTTTTACTCTTATTTTGATGATTTCATCTATGCACTCCCTAATTATTGAAATCTATTTCCTGGATACCCTGTATAAAAAATCCAAGTGAGAATTATTACGTTATGTTATTTGTAGAGCAATTGGTTTGAAATTATCACTACTAAAGAATCATTCTGCATATTTCATAATAATCCTGGTATGTCGAATCCAAAATAGCCAAATAATTAAAGGCTTTAACTGAATAACATGGTTTGAATTTATTACATTTTTATACATATAAAAAGGTTATTGAGTATTAATAATATATGTATGTAGTCATAAAAAATATTTACCAGTATTAAGCTATCAGTGATGTTAAAATTACTTTATAATATGTAATTAATTACAATTACAATTACTTTTGGCAATTTGTAATTAATTACAATTACTTTTGGCAATTTGTAATTAATTGCAATTACAATTACAAAATTTGCGAATGTAAATTACAATTACTTTCCTTTGGTGTCAGTTTTAAATAATTATTTAGGAATTTGCAATCGAAATTAAACTTTCCACGTATTGAAAATATTAGATAAGTACTTTTGTGTCCAATGTAATTGAAATGTAATTGTAATTGTAACGAAAGGAGTAATTGAATTACAAATGAATTACAATTTAGGAGCTTGTAATTAATTAACGCCTCAATTACAATAAAAGTACCTAATTCAATTACTTTTTCAATTACTTGTAATTAATTACTTAACTACACTGTAAGCTATGCATTGGTAAGTTCTAAATCTAATTTATTAAATCTACTATACCTACTCATTTTTATAATTTTTTTCGCAAATTTTTAGATTCTTTTCAGTAAAATTTCAGAATATTTTTACATAAACGAAGAATGGCGGCAAATGAAAAAGACATTTTCATGAACGCAAAAGTTTATTTTAAAGATTATTGTAAGAATTCTTCTATACACGGTTTGAAATATTTAGCTAACCAAAGGCCACGTTTGGAAAAGTAACAAATAATTATAAAAATAATGCATATTAATAGACACGCATACATTTTAGGATATGGTGGCTTTTCAGCGTTTTAGGAATATTTGTTCTCTGTGTATCGCTCATAGACGAGTTACGTTTGAAATGGCAAAATTCCCCTGCCATAGTCAGTTTTGTAACGAAAGAAACACCGATTTGGCAAATACCTTTTCCAGTTGTTACGATTTGCCCTCACTCCAAGTGGTCTCCGAAGAGATTTTATCAAAAGAAATGCGGGGCATTCAAGAAACGCCATGGATACAATAATACCGCATTGTATAAAATTAATATCCATTCAAGTGTATTCAAAATCTCTTATGCAATTTATTCCAGGCACATTAAATCGGATCTACTTAATTTTTTGTGCCCTTACGACAAAAAATTTACCTACTCGAATAATTTTACAGAAAGTCCTGAAGACATTCTAAAATTCTATGAATGGGTGAATAAGTTTAGAAAACGTTGGTCGTATAATTTATTGTGATTTTTTAGGTTCAACCTAATTTCTTTAATTTGATATCTGACTGTAAATTCATGGGCAAAACGTACTTATGTGGGGAACTATTCGATCATCGCATATTTACAGAGGAAGGAATTTGTTATGCTTTCAATCTGCTAGATAGGCGCGACTTGTTCACGGATATCGTGTAAGTCCCTTAGCTTTAGCTTTACCATTCGAGATACTTGAGAATACGCTTTATTTAGTACGTTTCATAACAAATACCATTCTGGTTTCCCCAACAAATGGTCAATGGAACATGGCTACCCGACTTCCGAGCGAAGCGAGACGTATCCCAGAAGAGCCCTCTTTTCTGGTGCTCCATTTGCTCTCGAAGCCAAACTCTCAACTTACGAAAAGGACTCGATAATAACCTGCCCTACCTGTCCTAAAGGATACAAGGTAAAAATACGATCTGCAAAGAGATGTTGCTTTTTGGCTGTCCTTTTCAAATAATTTAAAGGCACCCATTTGCTGCTTCAGTTGACTATCTCTCACCCTTTGAGCGTCCCAAGACCCAAATACGACTACATCAATTTACCCCTCAATTACCTCCTAACGACGACAGTGAGCCTAGACATGACATCCACGTCTAAAGCGGCGAGTAAATACGATCCCCGAGGGAGAAATTGTTACTTATCGGATGAACGGAAGCTCAAATTTTACAAAATTTACACGCAACAAAATTGCCAAATGGAATGTTTGACGAACTATACGTTAGCATCGTGCAATTGCTCGAGTTTTTTCATGCCAAGTATGTATTTTATTCATCAATTTAACATATACTACTGTGACAAAAAGGTACCTGGAAATCTGGAATAAAACGCAATAATAAGACGCCTTTTTCAATCATTGAAGCATTTTTAGATGCCCTTTTTGGTACGGCTTTTAGCTCTTTTTGCGAATTTTCTTTGGTGGCATTTATGGAGTCAAAACGGGATCTCCGAAGTAGCAATTGTGTTTCGAAAACAAAAATTGTCGCAAGAGGCAATTTCTAGTGAGGAAATCTTTCTAATTTTTTGCATGCTATTTAAGAACAGTATGTAAATTAGAATTTCCGGATACTTTTTTGTCAGAAGATACCTATCTACCTACATATTGAAATATGTATTTTAGGAGAACTTGACACGAGGATTTGCAGCGGATTCGATTACCATTGCGTGCATAACGCTGAATGTTAGTTGATATATTCTTAATTTTGAACTAGTGAGCAATAAACATTTTTTTCTAGTAAACATGCTTGATGAGAGTATGAAGGAAAATTTTTTGAAGCTTAATGGTCTTCAGGATAGCACCAAATGTGATTGTATGCCGATCTGTTCGAATGTGAATTATATCCTTCAACATACGTATATGCCGTTTAGCTGGAAAATTAAAAATGTGAAGTACATCAGCGGGTATGTATATCGACTGTTCTAATACAAATTTAAATCATGCCTAATCAAATTCCATAAATAGAGCAGAGATTGTACAGCTCTAGCACAGGACCAGAGAGCTACTCACTACTCTGGAACACCCAAAACTAGAACAAATGGCTGTATATTTATTACTTTAATTTTAGGCACCACAAGTCCATGTTTCGGATATTCTTCAAAGAAGACCAATTTATGACGTTCGAAAAGATCGAGCTGCGGGGCCCAATCGATTTTTTAGCCAATTTAGGAGGGATACTCGGCCTAACTGCAGGCGTTTCCGTTTTATCATTAGTCGAGATCCTCTATTACCTGACTCTTCGTCTAATTGTTAATATCCAAATGTTCGGATCCTGTAACTGGTCTGATGGGTTCGGTGCAGAATGATGTATTTTCTTTCTTTGTACAAAATAATCAAGGTGTCATATTCGAAACTGAGCCAAACTTTCTTCTTTTTAAGTATTAACAATTACTAACTTCCTTGAAGAATATATTAACAATCCCATATCCATATAGCATCCCCAAAATTATGAATTTTTTTCACCGCCACATAAAAAAGTTCAGTTTTTTTCCATTTTTTGTCTTCGTTTGCATTAATACAAGTTTCACCACTTTGTATAATTCGCATTAGATACACAACTATTTTTTATCTCCTCCATATTTTAAATATTATCAGGTACTGCTAAAAAAGCGAACCTAGCGTTTTAATGAAGCAACAGAATCCTAAAAAAACGATATTATTCAACAATAATTGGCACATAAATATAATAACGATTTTTATCTTGTCATTTCGCTGTGTATAAATAGTCATGCTGTAAAGTATACCCTGTATGTATTTAAACAAACCTCACAAAATGATTAGCAAACTTTTCGTTTTCGGTTTAGTGTACCTTTTGGGTTCAACTGTATGCCTAAGTAAGTAGACAAAAATTTTGTTTCTCTTGCAAAATTCAAATTATTGTCATTTTTTTAAGAACCCAATCTAGACCGAAAGTTCGATCCTCAAATACGGCTCATTGAAAATGTAGATTTCCAAGTACAAGGTTAGCTTTAACAATCATACCAATCAATTTTTTCTACCTAAACCGTTATTTTTCAGCGGAAGAATTGGAAGAAAGGAAAGCCGCTGGGAGATCGAGTAAGATTTTTTAACGTCCATAAGTGCATTATTTAATCCTATTCGATTAATTTTTAGATATTCTAAACGTGCTAGAAGGCATCGTGGAAGTTTTGCAGACGATAATACGTTTCATGAACGGCGTGGCGAAATTAGACGACATTGTTACAAAGATACAGGAACTGTTCAAAACCTTCCAGAAGCTGTTTAACGTCATAGCTATAATTTCTGAAGTTCCTATAATAGGCAAACCGGTGGCATGGGTTTTGAGCCCTCTTTTGAGTATGATAGGTCGCTTGGTGGACAATACGCCCGTGTTCGGAACATTGCTCAAACAGCTTATTGTGGGACCCGGTACAGAAACTTTTATTGATTTGTCTTTGCGTATTGCTTGAGATTATCTAAAATGCCGATTTTTTTAGAATATCCGGCGACTCCACCACCAACCACTACTACCACAGCAAAGCCGTCCGTATGGGGAGGATTATGGGGCGGTCCTCAGGCGGCCTAATGATTTGGATTAGAAATATGTAATACTTACTTATTCTCATTACAATAAAACTTATAAATATAATTAGGTAAATGAATCGCAGTTTTTCTGTTTCTTATACCTGCTGTTTTTAAGCGCATTATCTCGTTTTTAAAGAAATAATATGCTACCCTATACATTTTTACCCTTACCGAGAAAAGCAGTGCCCTAACTGATTATATTTAATATCACCAATAACTGCTCCTTTATAAGTTGTATAAGATCAAATTTTCGAATAAAATTATCTAAAATACCTTTTTATAGAGCTTCTCTATAAAGCGCTGGTGAGATATGTAAAATTTGAGCTAACAAAATATGAAATAAAAATTTAAGAGCAGTTAAGTATCATACCTTACCAACTGCAACTTATGTGGTACCGATTAATTTAAGAGTATTAGAAACTAGTAGCTTATTAGACATGTTCGTTATTTTTTACTCGGGTAGTTCTTATCTGGGAAGCATTAAATACGAAAAATAATTGCTACCATTGATATTTCTCACAAGGACTAAAAAATAGTAATTATCCAAAGAAATAATTAGTGCTCGAAAATATAAAAGTGGTATTAACAGAAACTGTAATTTCATATGTTTGCTATATTCGTTACTGAAAGGTATCAGAATATAACAAAATGAGAGGAGTGGTGGTGATTTTAGGTTTTCTAGTCTTCATCTCTGTAACACTGGCTTTAGGTAATGTCTTTCATAAGAGAAAATCTTTTCAGTATCTTTTTAATAGAATTATTTTTCTTCAGAAATAAACCAGCATGAGATTAATGCACTAAACTCAAGATTAAAACCATCTAATGGTACGTATATCTACAAACTTAATCCAAATCTTAATCGTCATAATTATTTCAGATTTAATGTTCGAAGACAGGCAAGCTGCAAAGTCTCACAGATCAGGTACACCTATACAAATAAAAATAGTTCCTAAGGCACTGATGTAAAATTTCAGGTATCCTCAGAATTATGGAGGAAATAATAAAAGTTATGCAAACTGTTCTGGGGTTGGCCGATGGACACAACAGTGTTGATGATGTGGTCAAATCCGTTCAGTCCGTTTACATCGCAATGGAGAGCTTCGTTAATATCAAAGGCTTTATAAGGGAAATTCCCCTTATTGGACCAACGGTATCGTGGATATTATCTCCAATTTTGGAACTCGTGGGCTCGTTATTGAAGAACACTCCGGTATTTGGAGAACTGCTGAAGCAACTCGTGGTTGGGCCAAGTAAGTATTTTTCCAGATATTAACTAATAAACATTAATAGGAAAGGTTTTGGAAGAAAGAATATGATTGACTGAAGCCTCTCGTAAAGAGTTGTTGCTTCTTTTAGATAAAAGATTTTAAGAGAGCGGTTGAAGTTATTAAAACTAATTTTTGGGGTGTTAAATGATTTACTCCCTCTTTTTTTTACAATTTTCAGGTTACCCTGCTATGATACCTCAATAGACATTATATAATCTATAGCTGCCCTTCGGTTACCATAACACGCACTTCTAAAAATTGTTTCAGAAGAAATACTGTATTACTTAAAATTTTGACAAATTTTCACTGCTCGGACTAGCACCTCTGTTAGTTACAGTGAAAAAAGATTTAGGTATATTCTCGAAAAACTTTAAATTCCTCAAGTTTTTCTGATCAATTTTGTTTGTAACATAGTTAATTGTAGCACTAAAACAATAAATCTCTGGATTGTTCCAAATTTTTTGTATTATTAATCCTTCACATTCTTGAAAATTAAGACTAGAATTAGGAATATTTTGCCTGCATTTACTAATTGTTAACACGTATTTTCAGCCTACCCGGCAACACCGCCGCCGCCGCCACCGCCACCACCAACGACCGAATCAACAGGGGGAGGCAACATATTTGGATGGGGCTAAATATATTACGGTTATTATAAATAAATAATTATTGTAGGTAATTAAGCTCATTACAATAAATGCAATTAAAATGAATTTTATATTCCGTTTTACTTCCGCTATTAGCTCAAATAAATCAAACACAAGGATGAAAGGAACTCCTATTATTAACAATCATACTCCAAAAATACAAGACATATGATCATAGTTTATGTATTTATTAAGATTAGCTAAATTAAGAGCAACATATTCCGCCTCCGTTGCACCCAACAACTTCGGGCCCTACAAGAATCATGGATATCATTCCTCCCAAGTACGGTATATTCGAAAGTATTAGAGCTATGATGCCGACAATAGGCTGCAATAGAGCTCCAAACACCGGAATCTGGCCTACTACTCCTTGAATACTGGCCATTCGTCGCATTTGGAAGAAAACATCTCCCGCTGCTGCTTTAATATCTGCCACAGTAGAGCGCAGAAACATTACTCCTACGATGGTTTGCAATAGAGTTGTGGTGGCCGAGAGAACTTTCGATACCTCTAACAGATCATCAGTATGCAGATAAAAGCCGTTTTAAAGTTATATAAGTATCTACCTGGATAGTTTCCCAGTTGCTTTCGATCTTCCACTTCTTGTAATTCATTTTCTAGTAAAGTATTGAATTTTATTTGAGGGCATTTGTATAATATTTTTTGAGTACGTACTAGCGATGTTGGCGTATGCAGGAAAGATGATTGAGTGGAAAATGACGAGAAATATGACTGTTTTTAAATTCGAACCCATTTTTTACACCTACTAGAAGTTCTCCAAAGAACTTTCTACTTTCATTCAAACTTTTTCACTACTAATTAATATAGTCTTTTGTAAGGTAAGTTGTTTGGAACTTTAAAAACCAACATCATTATAGTAGTTTTGCAAATTTTTAATGAATAATACAGAAACATTTATCTACATATGTAGCATAATTAGTATCTTGTTACTTCATAATCGAGTTTTTTACCATCCTTCATTATTTTTAATATTGAACACGACAAAATTTACATTCTCTCCAAGATACATTTCTTCCATATACATGAGATTTATAAATTAATTACATTCTGTAGGGTGTCTGTAAAAGGTCTTTACAAAAACATACCACATACCTATTCCTTAGACCAAAATAAGTCGATTTAAGTAAAATTAGCTTAGTACAAAGTTGTATCGTTTGGCTCCAGAGGGCCTTTAAGTTACAATTTTTAAATCGTTTTTCCCATATAAATTTAAAACGGCTTATGTGATTTTGCTGAAATTATTAGTTATATTGGTAGAGTTTCATGTGGCAAAAAATTGTATTACATTTTTGTCCAATATTAATCCACCGATATTTTGGTCTAAGGAATATGTGGTATGTTTTTGTAAAGACCTTTTACAGTCACCCTGTATAATCAACGGAAACCAATAAAAACGTTAATTTCGAACGTTATCAAAAATCATTATTAGGTACCTACATTGATCATAAAAAAATAAAACGCATGTCACTTGTAGGTACAATAACAGTGCCGTATTATAAATTAAATGCAGAATAAATAATTTCTATTTAGAAATTTTGCAAAATAACAAAGCAACAAAGCTTTCGAATCGAATTCGAATCGATGTGGCCTCATCCGTTTATTTTCAGTATTTTGTCCTGAAATTTGACTAACTTGATGACCGCATTATCTTTTTTTATCTAATTTTGAACCTTCTTCAAGGAAATTTCTGAAATGTTTAATACAATTTTAGATCATAGAGTTGTGTTTTTTTAATTAACTAATCTAATCTATTTTTTATGTTATGTTTGTTTAGTAGAAACCAACTCTGTAGGCCAATGGTTATTGAGGATTTTAATGAACTATTTTATCAAAATACAACTTTATGCTAATTTTTAATAAATGATATGTGCTCTACGTGCACTGTAATAATATCACCAAATAGCTTCAGCTAAATAATTTCCAAAATTTTCCTTATAGGAATAATTAGGAACCACCTAAATTATGTCACCGAAATTTCTCTTATTAATAGGCATTATATTATTGGTGGGTTATGTAAATTCGCAAGAAGGTAAGTGACGTGTAAAGTTTACATTTATATTGATAAATTGCACATTTTTCTAAATTCGGTTTATTTGCACGCATTTACATTTTATTGATATAATTAGTAAAAAACAAGAGTTTAATTTAACAAGTTAAATTTCCCATAGAGGAACCTGCTGAGGGTTCCCTTGAATCAGATGACGAAGCCGGATCAGGAGATACAGAAGAATCGTCGGAAAGCGACGAAGAAAGTGAAGAGAGTGATTCTTCCGAAGAAGATAATTATGAAGGCGAAAATTCTGTAATACCTGTCCAAAATCGAGTAAGCTATCCCGGTAAGTATCTACAAAACTTTCCATTATTTAATAACGTAATAATTAAAACTCTTCAGGTATCATTCCGATTTTGGGAGCTGGGGGTACAGTCTTAGAAGCTTTTGTATCCTTCTTAATTGGAAAAGGCTCGTTCGATGACGTGAAATGCAGCCTAGAAGGCGTCATGATGCAGGTATCGCGTATGGTCAGCGTATCCGGAGCAGTCGGGCTGATACCTTTATGGGGTTACGTTCTGCAGCCTTTGGTGGAAGCGCTAGCAAGGATTCTAAAGGAAATTCCCTTTTTGGGACCTGTTTTATCGTTCTTGTTAGTTGGGGTTACTTTGTAAAGGGAATAAAATAGAATCTGCCAATACATAAAAATGTGTAGATACGAGTTTTATCATTAGCCTTTTTATTTACCTATTTTGATGATGCAAAATATAAATTATAATGTGGAGATAGGGATCTACTCTGAATTGTTTTTTCATAAATACAGGGTGTTCAGAAAATAGATGTCAATAACTTCAGAAAATAGATTACATCAAAATAAGGGTATCTTCAAAATCTTCATATAAATTTTGTTAATTTGAGCGCCTATTTTTGAGCTACAGGCCATTAAAGTTGAAAATTTAAAACTTATTTAATCGTTGGATGGAACAACGTTAATTTGAGGCTTTTATAATGGAAGGTGTTAATGTAAAAAACAGTTATATCTTTAACAGTTAATTGTAGCACTAAAACAATAAATTTCTGGATTGTTCCAAATTTTTGTATTATTAATCCATTCTTGAATAATTAATGCAATTAAAATGAATTTTATATTCCGTTTTACTTCCGCTATTAGCTCAAATAAATCAAACACAAGGATGAAAGGAACTCCTATTATTAACAATCATACTCCAAAAATACAAGACATATGATCATAGTTTATGTATTTATTAAGATTAGCTAAATTAAGAGCAACATATTCCGCCTCCGTTGCATCCAACAACTTCGGGCCCTACAAGAATCATCGATATCATTCCTCCCAAGTACGGTATATTCGAAAGTATTAGAGCTATGATGCCGACAATAGGCTGCAATAGAGCTCCAAACACCGGAATCTGGCCTACTACTCCTTGAATACTGGCCATTCGTCGCATTTGGAAGAAAACATCTCCCGCTGCTGCTTTAATATCTGCCACAGTAGAGCGCAGAAACATTACTCCTACGATGGTTTGCAATAGAGTTGTGGTGGCCGAGAGAACTTTTGATACCTCTAACAGAAGATCAACAGTGTGTAGAAAAAAGCCGTTTTAAAGTTGTATAAGTATCTACCTGGATAGTTTCCCAGTTGCTTTCGATCTTCCACTTCTTGTAATTCATTTTCTAGAAAAATATTGAATTTTATTTGAGGGCATTTGTAATAGTTTTTGAGTACGTACTAGCGATGTTGGCGTATGCAGGAAAGATGATTGACTGGAAACTGACGAGAAATATGACTGTTTTTAAAATCGAATTCATTTTTTACACCTACTAGAAGTAAGAGCTTTCAGTAACATTTAAGATTTTAATAACACCCCAAAGAACTTTCTACTTTCATTAAAACTCTTTCACTACTAATTAATAAAGCTTTTTGTAAGGTAAGTTGTTTGGAATTTTAAAAACCAACATCATTATAGTAGTTTTGCGAATTTTTAATGAATAATACAGAAATATTTATAATAATATGTAGCATAATTAGTGTCTTGTTACTTCATAATCGAGTTTTTTTAGCATTCTTCATTATTTTTAATATTGAACACGACAAAATTTACATTCTCCCCAAGATACATTTCTTCCACATACATACATACGATTTATTAATTATAAATTAATTACATTCTATAATCAACCGAAACCAATAAAACGTTCATTTCGAACGTTATCAAAAATCATTTTTAGATACCTGCATTAATCATAAAAAAATAAATCGCTTGTACTTGTAAGCACAATTACAGTGGCGTATTATAAATTAAATGCAGAAAAAAGAATTTTTATTTAGAAATTTTGTAAAATTAACAAAGCAACAAAGCTTTATTCATTCTCGCTGATTATATTACTTTAAAACATAACATTTTTGTCTGTCAAACAATGGGCTTATGCCAAAGGAATCGATGTTGCCTCATCCATTTATTTTCAGTATTTTGTCCTGAAATTTGACCAACTTGAAATTTCTGAGATTTTTTATTACCATTTTAGATCATAGAGTTGTGTTTTTTTTTTCTAATTAACTAATCTAATTTATTTTTATGTTATCTTTGTTTAGTAGAAACCGACTCTGTAGGCCAATGGTTATTGAGGATTTTAATGAATTATTTTATTAAAATACAACTTTATGCTAATTTTTAATAAATATGATATGTGCTCTACGTGCATTGTAATAATATCACCAAATAGCCTTTACTAAATAATTTCCAATATTTTCCTTATAAAAATAATTAGGAACCCACCTAAATTATGTCAATTAAATTTCTCTTATTAATAAGCATTTTCTTATTGGTGGGTTATGTAAATTCGCAAGAAGGTAAGTGACGAATGTAAAATTTACATTTACATTGATAAATTGCAAGTTTTTCTAAATTCTGTAAATACGTTTCTAAAGAAAGTGAAGAGAGTGATTCATCCAAAGAAGATCCACACAAAAATTCTATAATAGAAACGATTCGTTCATCGTGGATATTTTCTCCAATTGTGGATTTCCTGGGTTCAACATTGAAGAACCCTTGGGAGTCACGAAAACCCCTGGTTGGGCCAAGTAAGTATTTTTCCAGAGATATTAACTAATAAACATTAATAGGAAAGGTTTTGGAAGAAAGAATTTTGATTGACTGAAGCGTCCCGTAAAGAGTTGTAGCTTCTATTAGACAAAAGATTTTTAGAGAGCGGTTGAAGATATTAAAACTAATTTTTGGGGTGTTAAATGATTTACTCCCTCTATTTTATTTACAATTTTCAGGTTACCCTTCTATGATACCTCAATAGATTTTATGCTAATTTTTAATAAACGATATTTACTCTACGTGCACTGTAATAATATCACCAAATAACTTTTGCTAAATAATTTCCAAAATTTTCCTTACCGAAATTTCTCTTATTAATAAGCATTTTCTTATTGGTGGGTTATGTGAATTCGCCAGAAGGTAAGTGACGAATGTAAAATTTACATTTACATTGATAAATTGCACATTTTTCTAAAATCGGTGTATTTGCGTACACTTACATTTTATTGATATAATTAGTGAAAAACAAGAGTTAAATTTAACAAGTTAAATTTTCCACAGAGGAACCTGCTGAGGGTTCCCTTGAATCAGATGACGCGGCCGGATCAGGAAACGGAGCAGGAGGCGGAGGCGAATCAGGAGGCGGAGACGGATCAGGAGGCGGAGACGGATCAGGAGACGGAGACGGCTCAGGAGACGGAAAAGGATCAGGAGACGGAAAAGGATCAGGAGACGGAAAAGGATCAGGAGACGGAAAAGGATCAGGAGAGGGAGACGGAAAAGGATCAGGAGAGGGACACGAATCAGGAGAGGGAGACGGATCAGGAGAGGGACACGAATCAGGAGAGGGACACGAATCAGGAGAGGGAGACGGATCAGGAGAGGGACACGAATCAGGAGAGGGAGACGGATCAGGGGAGGGACACGAATCAGGAGAGGGAGACGGAGCAGGAGCAGGAGAGGGAGACGGATCAGGAGAGAGAAACGGATCAGGAGAGGGAGACGGATCAGGAGATGCAGAAGAATCGTCGGAAAGCGACGAAGAAAGTGAAGAGAGTGATTCTTCCGAAGAAGATAATTATTCAGACGAAAATTCTCTAATACCTTCCCATCATCGAATAAGCTATCCCGGTAAGTATCTACAAAACTATCTATTCTTTAATAACGTATGTGATAATTAAAATTCTTCAGGTGTCATTCCGATTTTGGGAGCTTGGGGTACAGTCTTAGAAGCCTTTTTATCCTGGATAATAGGAAAAGGCTCGTTCTATGACCTGAAATACACCATAGAAGGCGTCGCGTTGCATGTATCACGTATTCTCAGCGTATCCGGAGGAGTCGGGCTGATACCTATATGGGGTTACGTTCTGCAGCCTTTGGTGGAAACGCTAGCAAAGATTCTAAAGGAAATTCCCTTTTTGGGACCTGTTTTATCGTTCTTGTTAGTCGGGGTTACTTTGTAAAGGGAAAAAATAGATTCTGCCATTACATGAAAATGTGTACGAGTTTTATCATTAGCCTTTTTATTTACCTATGATGATACAAAATATAAATTATAGTATGCAAATAGGGATCTACTGTGAATTGTTTTTTTCATAAATACAGGGTACAGGGTGTTCAGAAAGAAGATGTCAATAACTCAGGATGGAAGAGTTGGTTTTCTAAATCTATTACGTATTTTATACCTACTCGAATAATTATGTAGAGCCATTATCATTGTGGATTACCTCTGAAAAATATTTGTGTCAGAAGCCATTAAAAATAGGCAATTATTTTTCTTTTTATACAAATGAGTATGGTAGGTTTCTTTTTCGTTTTGTTTTAACAAGACAATAATTAATCGATAAACTGTATCCTTAAAATTAATTGTTTTATCCGAAGTATTTATGCATTAAAAAGGATAGGAACAAATAGTATGAAGCTAGTCTTCGGTAGAAACAACAAGTATTTTATAAAAAAATGAAGGGTGTGTTCGTTATTGTTGTTGTATTCCTCATAGGATTCAGCTATGCCTACACTAACCCCTTTGGTAAGATTTAAACAATTTTTTGTAATATGTATTTTTAAATTTAGATGCTATTTAACAGACGATATCATGGAACCGATAATGGAAGAACTTAGGCAAAAACAAGGTGGTAAGTTCACCTCAACACATCAGTTTGAAAAAACCAAGTAACTGTTTCATTCACTAGGCATAATTGAAATATTAAAATCATTCGCCACCCTTCTGAGGGCCATCGTCGGCATCCTAGATGGATCCTCCTCTGCAAAAACCCTGGTTTCAGCCATGCAGGGCGTTTTCTTCTCCATCGAACGAACCATAAACCTCCAAGGCTTGGTCATGAGAATTCCTATCGTAGGAAGATTCATCGCCCCTGTAATAGGCGGCATAACCACCGTTATTGGCAACACACCGATGTTGAGTGGATTGATAGAACAAGTGCTTTAATTAACTTGTAAGTTAATTAAATAATGTGACTTGACACCGTTTCATGCTTTGTATTTTAGCAAAATCGAAGGGATTTCGAAGCACTTGTAGGCAATAAAGAAAATGAACATACTTTTTTCATCTTCGTCATTTTAGTTTCCTCCTTCATATCCTAGAAACGGTTTTAGGCATTTTTTGATATCATACTGTATCACACTGTATACTCCAGTAGAAGCGATATTATAAAGCAAAAAACAGCTGTGGGGAAAAATGTATTTACAACAAAAAAAAAACAAATTCAAGCGCACGCAGAGGCGCTCTCTTTTTTACAAAACACCCTAATAATCCTCGGCAACAAGGTCACTTTAACCGGCCGAACTTCGAAATCCTCGCTGTCGATGGAAAACCAGGCGCTTTGCTTGGCGTTCTCCGGCCGAATGTCCACCGTCTTCGCCTCGATCACCTCGGTCACGTCGCTGTTCTCGCCCTTCTCCAGCCGGAACCCGTTCCTCACAAAGTCCAAGTAGGCGACGCTGTCGGGCCCTATGCGCATCAGCAACTTGGCGGGCGACGTCGCCGTCTCCGGCGCCGAATTCAGCGTCGTCAGCGACAAGTCGGCCGTTCGGACGGTCTTTTCGCGCGAAACGCTGCACTCCGGGTTATTTACGGAGAGTTTGGAAAATTGCAGAGGGTCCGGTTTGGCGAATCTAAAAAGTATTAGAAGTAAGTATTGAATTTTCTAAAAAAAAAATAATTACTTGGAGAAGAAGCCGCCACCGTTCGATGACGAGTCGGTTCGTTTGAAACAGTTTGAACAACCGTCGCAAGGGGGACTGTAGCTTATTTGGGCTTCGCAATTCCAAGATAATTTGCTTTTTAGCCTAAAAATATACAAAATTACAATGTTAGTAACTGATCCACATGTACTCATGTTATACAGGGTTTCCCGTTACTCAATACTTAAGGAATTATGAGCAAGAAATATTTCTTTACTGGCCTACTAGAAATTATTTTAGTAGTAAAAGAGGAGGTCCCGGTACCTGGCCTCTGGGATCGCCAGACCTGACATCTCTGGACTATTATCTTTGGGGACATTTGAACAGTTTAGTGTATTTTAATTCACCATAAAACAGAGATGAACTACATCTTTATTTGTTAGAAGAGCAAGAAAATGTTGCCAAGTATCAGGAGATCATTTTGAACAATTACTTTAGTTACATTTGAGTTTAAATAATTCCTTAAGCATTCCCTTCTGGACAAAAGTGTATAAGGCATTTTCAAGGAATACCCTCCTAAGCTATGTTCATCGAGTGACTAGAAAACCTATATACAAGAACGAGGAATGCATTTACCCATTAAAAACGTATGTGGCGTAATTCCTAAACGGCCCAAACACCCAATAATTGTCCTTTTTGGCTTCTGCGTCCCTGTAAGCGCCCCATTTCAGCGAAGATACAGCGTACACGGGTTTTCCGGCCTCTTTCGAATCCTCTTCGGTCGAATTCTCGCTCGATATGACTTCTATTTTCATCACGTCTAACGGTCGAATCGATTCTTCTATTACGGCCATCGTGGATTCCGCTAGGGCTTTTACCTTTTCGGTTTTCTTGCGCCAGGGAAATTGGATTTTGGCGAAACTATTAGTCCTACCTAAGGGAAGAACTCCTAAAAAAATTAAAAATTTGAAGAACCCACGCGATATACAAGTAATATTTAAGGATACAGTGATGCATAATACACTGTAATTACTCTTTTGAAAATAATTAACAAATAAATCTCACCTATAGGAACCCCATTGTCTCTGTCGTCATTCCTCCTCATCAATCCCGTTATTACTTCTGACAAAGTACCATCACCACCGGCAATTACCAAGGCGTCTGTACCAGTTAATTCCTCTACAAGGGTCTTGGCGTGTCCTTCGGATTCGGTTTTCCTTATTTCTACTGAAATTCCTGCTAAATGTAACAACGGAGCGCAGTATTTGTCGAACTCTTTGTTCGCTTTGCGTTTGTTGGCGTTGGGATTCAGAATTACGGTTACGTGACGGGGTTTTAGGTGAATGGGTAGCGGTTTTTTACCGTATTTGGCTGCCTTTTCGCAATAGGACCGCATGAGTTCCTGCGTTTCCATGTAGTTTCTAAGGTAAATTGTACCGTAGACTGCGACACTGGAGAAGAATATGGATTTTTTCCAGTGGTTTCGGACTGTTTTCGCTGCTTTCTTTATAAAAACCATGGTTAGTAGATCTTTGGGTGCGATTCATTCATATAAAACAATATAAATTTGCGTTTAGCTAAATATTCTACCAGCACTGACACTGGCACATAACCTCAAAATGTTAGAAACGTCAAATTATCACATAAACATTCGTTAATTTGATTTGAATAACATTGTGGATACCTGAAACACACTTAAATTTTACTAGGTGGCTTTTCAATTGCGGTTAATTTACATTAAACTTGAAAAACCAATAAATAAATATAACAAACGAAAGAAAAATTATGGAACATATGAATGTAAAATTTTAAACGTCAAAGTCAAAAAAAATCAAATTCTTGTTTATTGTAAAATGGCCTTTGCTAAGGATGTTATTCAGAAATTTTCAAAAATTAAACAAAATTAATTGGCCATTTCAAGTGTGTGTAAAATTTCGTTCTAACTTTTTCCATAATCTGCAACATCTTACCCTTTAATATTTTATGAAATAATCAATAATTCTGATATTTTCACAAAAAATAAATTAAATAGTTTAAATATGATAAAAAATATCATAAAAATCATTAAATATTTATTTAAAATAATTGTCTCAGTAATAAAATAAAACATTCAAAAAATCCTTAAAAATCATTAAAATAAAAATTTGAAAAATAAAAAAATACCTAAAAAATTCGAAAGAAAAGTAATTTTGGAAAAAATTGTTGGTATATTCTTTAGGATCTTGAAAGACTTTTTAAGTTTTTGTTTATGTTTTTTAAAATTTTTAATCGTTACAGGTACAGTACTTGCAATTTCATGAAGGGGTCTAGCCCCCGGTCCCCCTATCAAGCCTTAAAAATATACAATAAATTAACACAAAATACAAAGTTTAATAACAAATTTCTTCACTAGAATAACCCACGTTTTTTCCATCATTTATTAGCGACGTCAAAAGGGCACTTCGAAGCGGATTTGATTCGATCAGGACGCTTTTAAAATTGGGACGAAAACCCTTACGCGCACAATCAATAAACTCCTCGCATTGTCCGGTAGTCGTCGCGGGGCCCTTACAAACACACACCGACGAAGCGGTTCCCTATATTTTGCGAAAATCCCAGCAAATCACCCAAAGAAGTCGTCAGTGTACCGAATGTGAATCAGGAATGGGACATTCACGGTGAGTCCTTGTTAAATTTTTCACTGCGTTTCCAACCCGAATCGATCCGAATATTAAACAAGCCGTCATTGTTCAGAGGAAGAGATTTTGTTTGTAAAATTGTTAATACAGTAAATGATATTAATTGAAGAAGTGGGTGATATCGGAGTGTTTTTGTTAATAAAGGTAGTTACGAATTTGATTAAACTAATTCTATTGTTTTTTATATTAACCTGGTTTGACAGAAAATCGATTATACCAGAAATTCTTGACCTAAAAATTGTTTTGTCCCGGCATCAAAAATATTTAAATAACCATTTCATATAATACTCCATTGTAGTTCTAGATATTAGTTAACAAATTTCCAAAATTTTGAATAAAATTTATCCAGTAAGTAATTAATATTACTAATTTGTGTGATATTAACCAAAGGAATACATATAAAATGATTGGAAAAAGCATCTCCCAATTTTAATCTTTGTAAACAAACAAATTGTTTATCAACGATAAAAATTAGATAATAATTTAAGCGAAAATCGGTGGTCATGATGCGCTTGTTGGCAAAATCAATAACTCCTCGGGATTTTCCGGGCGCCGCGACGTCTGTCACGGAGCGCCGCCAACGCGTTTTCGTCAACAATCAGTAGTCTAGAGTGCCATCGAAATCGGTTTTTGGCAGCGTTTCAAGGGAAACATTCGGAAAAAAATTATGATTTTCATTACGTACAAGTAGTCGAACATAAACGGGACTCGCGTATTTGTATCTACATACGTTAAAGTAGAAAATATTAAAAGCGAATATCGCGTGGGTGTTGCACCAAAGTTGAATACGTAACGAGATCATCGTTCAATTCGTTCGCCTTCGCAGTGAATTTATTAATCCGAATTGCAGATGTCTCCATGATACTAGAGGTAGATAATGCACAAGATAACCAAGGGATTGAAAAAGAAGAAAAAAGGGAAAAAAAGCAAAAAAGGCGACGACGAACTATTCAAACCCGAAGAACTAGAAAACTACCGTAAGCAGCACCAAAGTGGCAGCGAAGAACAGACTGTTCAAAACGAAGAGTGGAAGAAGTTCTTGACTCTTACTTCGGGCGTCGATGACATACTAAAGAAGACCCAAGGGGACCTAGATCGCATCAAGAGCACCTCGTTCTTCCAGCGGAAACCCACCGAAAGCGAGGTCAGGAAAGTCGAAGAGGAAAAATTAGCTGAACAGAAACAACGGGAAGAAGCCGAAAAGGAGCTAGAACCACCTACTGCAGCTGAATTAGGTCAGTTTATCATGCTTCCTTAATTTGTTTAAATTTTAAATTTTAAAATTTAGTTTAGATTTGTTCAAATTCGGTCAAATCAGATTCAATTCTAAACTCGTGGGTACCAGATGATTTTAAAGATTAAATTTTTACTGTAAACTGTAGACTTATGTGGGTCATTTGGAAAGCCATTTCTACTCAAAATACTCTTTTAAAGGCATCTAACAATAAATTTCATATATCTATTCAAGAAAATTCTTCTTGTATTAACAAAATGTAATTATCTATCTAACAGAAGGAGGTTGCTTGCTAATCTCTAAATTCTACAAGTTAACCAACATCTTCTTTTCCTCCAGGTATCGTAGAAGTTTCCGAATCCGAATCCGAAGAAGAGGAAGATGACAACATCTTCGACACCGCCTACATTGACGCGTTAGCAGCGGGAGAAGTCAAGCTAGCGTACATCCCCGAGTCTCCGCCCGACAAAGCAGAGGGCGACGACCCGTTCGACACCTCCTACGCCGAAAGGGCCATCTTAGGACCCGAAGTCGAGCGCAAAGGGAAGAAGCTCGTTCCTCTCGGCGCCGCCGTCGAAGTTCTCACCGGTAGAGTGCAATTGCCCACTTGCGCGACCAAGAGACCGACCAGCAAGAGGCAGATATTCAAGCAACAGGATCTCCTGTTGGGGAGCTTCGACGAAACCGCGACCAATCACGCTGCTGTCGGTGATGCGGTCGTTGAAGATGTGCCCAAGACATTGCTAGACGAGGATCCGGTTCCGTTGGGCGACGAACCCATCGATTTGAGCAAGCCGATACCTTATCCTCAGGCGGTACCTGTAGCTTCTACTCCGGAAGCGGATAAGAAAACCGGTATCAAAGAGGATATTATCAGCGAGTTTGATGTTATCGCGCAGAAAGTCGAAGACGACGATGACGATATCGAATTCGAAGCACTAGCTGCGGAAAGTTTGCACAAACCGAAGACTATTATACAAGAATTACCACTTGCCGTTGTTCAAGAGGTTCCATTAAATTCTGATAACATCAAATTTGGAGCATTTGGAGAGTAAGTATACATTATAATTGTTATTATTTTGTGGAACGATTAATTAATATACTTGTTTGAGTGGCATCAATCAATTTAACTGCATGTTTAAAGCAAATAGAACCTTGACAAATGCTATGTTTGGAATTAAAAAAAGCAACAAAATGTATTACTCATCTTGTAATATTTAGTGCAAAAACAATTTATTACGAAAGAGAACGGAACATTCGTTAGTAATTCGAATTTTTATCGATTTTTTCTAACCAATTCATCCGCACCTCAACAAATTATTCAAGCGGTTCAATGAACGACCTCCAAAATAATCTAATCGAAAAGCATTTATCCAATTTCCGATAATCCGTGAATTAAACCGGGTCATTCGTAATTCCAGAGAGGCGAAAAAGGACTCCGACGAGGACCTATTGCCCGACGCGGACGATCCCTTCGACACCGCTTTCGTGGAGAAAGTTCTACCGAAATCCTCCGAAGATACCTCAATTACCAAACCACCTGGTATCGAGAGGAAGAGACCACCAAGGCCAACCAAAAACCCCGTTACAAATAATCGACTTAACTTCAACACAGGTAAATAATAAAGAATTCTTATTTAGTGGTAGAAAAAATAGTGCAGTGAAGGTTTAGTATGATAATCCAAAGAATTATGTAGATTATATAGAATATAAAAAATTATATTGTGAGTCAAATAATTAGAAAAAAGAATTTTTCAACTTCAACGTTTGACATCAAAGTGATAATAAAAGATATCAAGTAGAGATTTAACTGTAGGGAGAAATCAGGAATCAGAAATGTGAAGAAAGAAAATGTATAATAGTATGAATAGTATGCAGTTTAAAATCTATACCTAAATCGCAACGAATGTAAGTAGAAATAAAATTTCTAAAAATGGAAGCATTTTTTCCATTTACATACCAAGAGCTGCAAAAGCATTTTCTTTTGAAAGCCGAATGGATCTTTTATCAATAATCCAGCGAGGTATTTATTCTAGCAGAAAATACAACCAGCTCGAGCAAAGCTTTGGACCTCCTGAGTGGCACCACGCCGGATCTGCTGACCACATCGACCAACGACGGTTTGAGCGACGATGATTTCGACCCGCGGGCCGACGAGCCGCCCAGGGAACGCGCCGTTTCCCGCCCGGACGTGCTGAACATCTCCAACGCCAAGACAGTGTCGTTCGATTTGCCATCGGCCGACGCCACCCTCAGCGCCGAATCCAAAGTAATCAAACCGCTGACGCCGTTCTACACGAGGAAGTCCTCCATACCGGAGCTACCTGCATCGGACGATCCCTTCGACACGTCCTTCGCGCAGAACATCACGCCCGGAAAAGCCGAGTTGCGGATAATCGAAAGCGAGTTGATCCACGAAAACTCAAACGATGTGCAACCGAAGAAGGTGGACCAGGTGGTGAAGACCATTTGCGAGAATTACAACCCGAAACCGGCGAGTGTTGCATCAGAGTCCATCGATTTGCTGTCGATTGATAGAGATATACCCGTTAAAGTACTAACTCCTGGCGCTTTGGCTGCCGAAGATAACGAAGAATTGAGTTATCGCGACCCATTCGATACATCTTCTGTCGCCACCAATATATTACCGGGCAAAAGCGAACTGAAACTCATAGAAAGCGAGCTAATAGACTCCGGGAGAGCGATAGAAAAATCCGACGATTTATTGGTGCACAACGCCGACGAAATTATCGAGAAACCTCTATCTCCGGCTCCAGAAGTGATCGAATCGCCGATTGATATCGAAAGCGAAGACTACGACCCGTTCGACACCAGCTGCGCCAGCAATCTGCAACCGGGCAAAGCGGAATTGAAGCTGCTGGAATCTGAGTTCGTTTAAAATGGCCGCTAATCCGTTCCTTTTCAGCGAGGAGCCGTACGTCTCTCCGAGCTCCGCCGGCTCCAATCCGTTTCTGCTCGATGATGGAGACGAACAAATCGACGCTGCATCGGGATTCAACGACAATCCGTTTTTGTCCCAAACCGCCACCACCATGGCGAACACGAACCCGTTCAGCTTCGATCCGATGGAGCTGGAACCCGCCGAAGCTGAAATGCCCGGCATACCGGCGGTGAATTTCGAGCAAAACATTCAGCAAGATGCGAGCCAGCCGAGCAGCCAAATTGACTCTATTACGACGGATTTTTTTAGTGATGACGTTCCGATAAGTCAAAGTGTGGTGGAAGCGATTGTTCCGCAAAAACCGTCGGATTTGGATTTGAAATATTCGCATCAAACTAACGCTAACGGGCCGCCTAGGCCGCCTCCGCCTAGACCGCCTCCGTCTAAAGAAACCCAAGACTTGTTGATGTCTGTAATGGGCGCCATGGATGCGACTAGTTCTTCTCTACTAGGAAAAATTCCACCGACTCGCTCGCCTAGTCCGGTTAATATGAGAGACCTTCACTCGCCTAGTCCCACGCCCGAACCCACTTTCGGCGATCTCTTGGACGTCGGCGGTAAACCTCAGGATTTACTTTCGTCGGAAGAAGTCAACAATTGCGACATAAATCAAAATCCACAACAAAATTCGAACAGCTTCCGTCAGGCTGCGCCGATGGTTGTTCAAACTCAGGTAAAGCCTCCAAAACCTCCGCCACCGGTACGTCCTCCAAAACCACCACCACCAGCTGTAGTCAATCAAACGCCCAAGCCGCCTCCACCGGCTGAAATCAAAGCGATCGATGATATTGACGACATGTTCGGCGTAGCGGAACCGCCGAAGAAGAAGGAAGTCACCAAAGCGGACATTCTCAATTTGTACAACGCCCCCAAACAAGAACCCGTCAAAGATTTGCTATCAGATGATATCATAGAGCCTGAAATTCCTGCGCAGCCCGCTGTTGTGACTACAAATACGAACCCGCCGGATGATCTACCTGTAAAGGCGAATTTATCACCTGTTGCACAAATTAACAACGAAAACTTGATATCGTCGGAACAGTCCCAGGAGGACTTACAAATGGATATTAGCGACAACCACAGCAAAGGATCAGTCGGTAGCGTCACTTTTAATCCATTCGCTACTGTAGATGATTTTACCAACACGATTCAACCAAACGTCGATAATTACAAACCCGAGATTAACCAAAACGTAGAACAAACCACAATGGAGATTATCGATAACACGGAAACTATCATTCCGAAAGAAACTTCCCCTCAATTCACCAATGTGATCGAACCGGCTCCGATACCAATACAAAACGATCAATTTGGATTTCACAATCAATCTACTAATATTTTCGGCCCTACCATAACAGATAATTTTAATCTGGGTAGTACTGCAATCGAGAAATCATTCGCAACAGACGCTTTCGGAGTGAAGGACGATTTCGATGATTTCGAGAAAAAATTCGATTCGGTGAAGCATGACGATTTCTCGCTGGTGAACAGCGCTTGGGGCAATGAAACAGTAACCTCTGGTGCAGTTACATCAGGTTTTGGGCAAGATTCAGGATTTGAACAAGATGGTTTCGATGAGTTTCTGTCGCTGCAAGAGCCTCCCAATGTACCCCAAAGCACGCCTAACAGGATCAGCAAAACTGGATCATTGGAATCCGACGAAGAGAAAGATTTCTCAGTATTTATAAGGTAACACTACCTGTTGAAATTACGTTTAGTACTATTAGCTAGTATATTAACATTTTAGGCCAAAAGGAAACGATGAAGTGTCTACAGGTATTCTTCCAACAATCGCTCCTCCACCAGCCACAGTGACCTCATCATTCGGCGATACTTCCCCTAGGTTCAATCCCTTCGATAGCCAATCTGAAGTCCAACCTGCGCCTGTTGTGCCAACTGATGTTCCATTTGGTAAGCTCAAATACCTCTCATAATCACTAACTATTTACAATTGTTTGCTTATTTTTAGCTCAAGAGATAAAACGATCTGAATCTCAAGTAACCCCACCGTCTCCTCTATTCGACGAAGATGTCTCCCAGCCGTTGGAGCCCTTCCCGAGAATCAACTATACCGGAGAGGGCTGGGAGATGCACCTGAGGCAGCCCAATAAGAAGAAAATCACCGGTCAGCGGTTCTGGAAGAAGATATTCGTCAAATTGCAACATTTACCCGACTGCGTTTTGTTGCAACTGTACAATCAAAAAGACGACAAGGATCCTTTCCAGGAACTTCCTCTACAACCTTGTTATTCGGTTTCCGACATAGGCGCTCAACAGTACGACCAATTCGGGAAAATATTTACCCTCAAATTGCAATATATATTTTACAAAGAACGTCCGGGAGTTCGACCTGGTCAGGTCAAGAAAGCCGAAAGGATAACCAACAAGATCAGCCAGTTTGCTGCTTATGCCATTCAAGGGGATTACCAAGGTTAGTTAATAATTTTTCTAATTTTAGATAGGTACATAAATTTATAAATGTTTTATGTAATAGGTGTCAAGGAATTCGGTAGCGATTTAAAGAAACTCGGGCTGCCCGTCGAGCACGCTCCTCAAGTGTCGCAGTTAATGAAATTAGGCTCTTTGAACTACGAAGACCTGAAGCAATTCTCGTTCAGCATCGAGGAGGCTCTATTCAAGCTGCAAGCACATCGGGATAGAGCGTTGCATTACAAAATGGAAGAGGTCCAAATCACTTTGGTGGACGAATTATACGTTGAACAGGAAGCTGACGGTACGAATCTTGAACTTCGAATTGTAATTATCGGACTATAAATAACAATTTTTAGGCCACATTCAAAAGCAAATAGCTAGAGTCCGATTGTTCTTCTTGGGATTTTTGACTGGCATGCCTGACGTTGAGCTAGGGGTGAACGACATGCGAAGACAGGGTTTAGAAGTTGTAGGTAGGCACGATATAATTCCCGTGGAAACTGAGGAATGGATTCGATTAGAAGAGGTTGACTTCCACTCATGCATACAGCAGGAAGATTACAACCAGACACACATAATTAAGTAAATATAAAATAAGTGATTTTAAGCTCTGGATTACACAATTTTCCTCTTGATTCGCAGGTTTAAACCGCCAGATGCTTGCTACATAGAATTGATGAGATTCAGAGTAAGGCCTCCGAAAAATCGAGAACTTCCCTTACAACTCAAAGCTCAAATATGCGTTACAGGGTACAAAGTAAGCTATCCAAATACCTAAATTAGCACTAGGTAATTACCTAATGTATTTATTTGTATTATAGGTAGAACTTAGAGCCGACGTGCTAGTCCCCGGATTCTCTTCCAGAAAACTGGGACAAGTCCCCTGCGAGGACGTCATGATACGTTTCCCCATCCCGGAGTGCTGGATTTATATGTTCAGAGTGGAGAAGCATTTCAGATACGGGTCGGTTAAATCGGCGCACAGAAGGCGAGTCAATTTTGCCATCAACCAGTTCGCATTTTACGATACCTTTGATTTTGCAGGACCGGGAAGATCAAAGGAATCGAAAGGATATTAGGAACGATGGAAACATTGCAGGAAAGTTTGATAGAAGTCACCTCGGGTCAGGCCAAATACGAGCACCAGCACAGAGCCATCGTGTGGAGGTGTCCTAGGTTACCTAAAGAAGGACAAGGTAAAGATAACCATCATAATTTTTTACTCCGGATAAATCTTTAGTGATTCACCATCTATTTGAATATCTACATTTGGCAAAGCACATTATCTCAAAGTTTTGATGGAAAAGCTCAAATCTGCGTACTCTTGCAGGAGCTTACACGACGCACAACATGGTATGCAAAATAGCCCTGACCAGTTACGACCAAATGCCGGAAAAATTGGCCGAGTACTGCTATGTGGAGTTCACCATGCCCGCCACTCAAGTGAGCCATACGACTTGCAGGAGCGTCAGCTTCCAAAATTCCGACAGCGACGAACCGCCCGAGAAGTACGTCAGGTATTTGGCCCGGCACGAATACAGGTAAATACCCAAAGCTTCAATTTTTAATAGTCGATCCATAGGGATTTTTGTCCATGTACTACAACTCTACCTTTAGGTATTTAATACAAGCTATTTTATGAATACTTATAGGGTAGGCATAGAGCATACAGAAGGCGAGAATCCCAACGCCTACGCGTCGGCTACATACGTTCCCAAGCCGGCTCCTGCGGCTCCTGCGGCTCCGAATATTCCTGCTAAAGTGGCGGAAGAGTCGAGTTCGGATAGCGAATAGATTGATCTGAAGGTGTAAAATAACATTGTACATAAATATCAAGGCAGTTTGGTTTGAAGGCTATAGTAAAAGCACATTCATTTAGAGCGCTGATAACTCAAATTAATTGAATTATTTTGTATATATTCGTAGAATTTAAGAGCACACCGAAGCAAACTTAACTTGGAAATATATCTAATATTCGGGACTTCAGAGGACTTCGGTCTTTGTTAATAAAAACTGAATGTAGTAAAAGAGTATTGCTTCCAAATATCCCTTAACAATTCATGAGTGTTACTTATATGTATAAAATAAGTTATGAAAGACTCGAATATTTAATAAATAAATGTGTTAATATACAGAAAAAACTATTTAACTAGTCATTAAAAAATGTAAAGGAGAATGGTATTTTAAAATTCGCTTAGCTATAAACAATAAAATTGTTAGTTTTGTAAAAAATATATATCGATCATAGATCATTAAATTATTTTGTTATTATAGAATTTATACACAGGGTGCGATTATTTACAGATTATTCTTAATAAACGCTACTCACTGTTCCATACAAGTGTACATTTTTAAATTAATTTATTCTTCGTGGCTCGACAACCAGCAAATAATATTATAATATAATAATATTACAAAAGTAACTTTGTGTTAACATAAGTAGGTTAAGAATGTATTCAATGTAGAAAAAATAAGTACATTAAAACCTGGATGATATTCAAAAAATAAACAGCAATGTCGTGTTTGTTTAAACGTGTAAACTCTAAAATATATTTAATACATATCTGTATATTATTGTAGAATATGTTAAATTTGTGAACGTCCTTATACAAAGGTACAGCTAGAACCACCAAAGACAAATAATAAATGTAGGATTAATAAATGAATATAAATATATAAATTGTATATCTATTATCGTTTGTTTAGATTTTCGAATTATTGAATTCTTCAATTTCAAATTTATTTAATGTTAACTAGTTGTAAAGTGTATTATTTAATATTTTTCCTTTTTTTGAATCGTTATTAACGGAACCCGTCTTCGGATCGGTTCCAGCGAGTCTCACGCTAGTCACTCACTAACTTTAAGTGTTCTTCTTCGGAAGAACAACATTAGGCTAGGGAAAATGTATCAATAGGTTATATAAACGATGTGTAGTTGGATAATAATGTTGAATAACATACCTAGGTGCGCATAATTTGTGAATCCATGTACTTATTTATTAGATTAATAAAGATTATTGAAGCTTTTTATTCGGTTTTAATTCGATAATAAATTTCTATACTAAATAAATTCCAAAACTATAACAATCATAGGAAGATCATGATACAATGTTTTTACCAGTTTCCTCAAATAAAATGATACTAGTCTAATTTTAAGCTTTTTTGTTTTTAATACATCATTGATATGTAGATAAGTACTAGATAAAACTGTTAAATAATTCTAGGTAATTGATTAACTACCTTCGAACAGCGGAGCCAAAGTGAAGAAGAAGAATTGATCTACAAGTTGTAAAAGTAGCGTTGTAAAACAACCCTGGGCGGAAAATCAACTGTAAAATTCGATCTTTGAGTTTCATTAGAGATGTTCTGCAACAAAATAAATCATAATTTTTTAACTGCATTTAGAAACTGCATGTAAACTCACTCTATTATTTTGAAAACTGACAACGCCTTCTTCGTTACGTTCGTTTGTATTATTCAATACATCTGTAAAAGGAATACAATAATAATATGTAAATTTTTTACAATTATAAAAATATTAAATATACCTATCATCAAAAAGCCATCTAATGATTTGAGATGGGGTAATATTCCATGCACTAATTCAGCAATTACATTCAATTGAATTCCTAGATTTCCCTCAAGGTATAATTCTTCGATGTTGTCGCAAAAACTGAGGTAAGTTACTGATTCTTTCGTTATGTTATTTCTAAAAGATTAAATCGTAGATTATAAAATTATAGCCTTGCTGACTCTAAAGAACTAATTTTCTGATTTTTTGACGGTTAACCTTTTTGACAATCATTATCAACTTATTAATAGACTTTCTACAGTAGGTATCTATATTTTCTATAAGGCATATATTTGTAACAATGAGAGGGAATCTTTAACATCACCTTCTTACATCCAATATTCTAAGACAGCTCAAAAACGCGCACGGAGCCAAAGTGTCGATTTCATTATCGCTTGCATACAGTTCTTCTAATTGCTCGATGCTGAATACCCCGTCTATGCAATTCAGCCCGCACCTGTTTACCTTTAGAATCTTCAGGTTTTTCAACCCGATTCCGATGTCTCTCAGAGAATACACCGCACTCCCGTCCAAAGTCAGCTCTCTAAGAGCGGGAGTGTAAATGCTCAAATGTTGCAACGTAACTTCTCTAGATATTACCCGCAGTTTCAGCTGGGTGACCGTCGAAAGGTCTTCAGTATTAGTTATTTTTATCTTAAAAATTATTATTATTAGGAAGTAATATATCTAGATGAAGGTAGTGGATTCTCTTATGAAGTGAAAGTGCAACAGTGGACAAAGTCGTAGTGATTTACCAAAAAATCCCTGAAGCATTCCTCCTGCAAGTTCAATGTAGAATCGCCTACTTGAATAATTTCGTCGTCTCCTGTTATATATTCATCGCTTAAAATACCTTCGACTGTGTCTTCTAAGCTGGAGCTGTACTCCGAAACAGGTGTCAAGACTATGAAAATTTGATTATCAACTTCAACTTCGTCGTCGGGAATTTGAACTTCCGCGTTCGGAGGCATCATTAAATCTGCACGAACTTTACCGTAGCGGTGAAAAACGCCATGGCAACGCTTTTGCGGATATTGATTCGGGTAATTGTCGTCATCGGGATGTTGGATCAATTTTTCGCGCTAGTTCGCGAAATAAAAGGCCTGGTTAATTGAGATTTTTAATTAATACCTTAAACACATGTAGAAAAACATAGATGATATGCTATTTTAACCGTGATTATTATTTAGTAGTTAGTATACAAAAGAATTACAACCTCTCGAGTTTAAAATATATGATATGAATAATTAATTGAAATATGTATTTTTATCATGCACCATTGTTCAGCGATTTACTAATAAAATTTACAGGGTGTGCGCGGTAGGTAAAGCGTCGAATAACTTCGTGAAGGATTCAAAATTAAGCATTCAATGTTTTAAGCCTTTTTCTAATTAATCCTTTAATGACGAATTTAGTTATAACCATAATTTTGTTAATAAAAAAGTCTTAAATAAAGTGATAAAAATTACAACGTAAAGCAACGTTGAATTAATATTCATCATTGATCATGTTCATCATTATTGGATTATCCTGAACGCAGTATAAGCATCAATAAAAATTTAAAACTGAGCAGTGAATAACTAACAAATATTTGCGTAATGGTTAAATAATACCTAGTTACATTAGGTTTTAGAAATTGATGATGATTAAACGAACAAACGACTAATCAATATGTGAGGTAAAAGTACAAAAATTAAAAAAAATGTATAGGTAATTACGGTTTCGAATCAAGCAAATAGGAATGTTACGTGTAGCGTTGAAATAATTTTATACAACTTTCGAAAATACACATAGATACATAGAAAAATATATTAATTTGTTAGATTGAATAGATTTCTTTCTTTCGAAAGTATATTAGGTTTCATCTAGGTATTTTAAATGCTAAATAATTTTTCTTCAAATATTTTCGAAAATTACATAATTAAATCATTACAATTTTTTTTTGCCAATTAATTTTTTTACAAGGTAAGTGGATAAAAATGTACATATTTGAAGAAAATTTTCGTTATGACTATAAAACGAAATTAATACATATATAATTAACATTTACTTATATATCTTAGAGTGGGTATATAAATATATCTATTTGTTTACAATAACAGTCGATACGAATAGGACAATATATATTTTAGACTTATCAATTTCTTAGAATCTAATATTTAAAAACTTATTTGAATAAAACACAGAAAAAATGATATTCTAAATGAACAAGAATTTCACACCAATGAACAGGGTATTTTTAAATCTAAATTTATTTATCTACCTATTACAATTAAACATTGAAAATTCAAATAAGAATAGAAAAAGTGAGACTGAACAGTCAGAATATTTCTCGAAAACCGTCAAAAGGGACAAGTTGCTCCATACAAGTAATTTCAATATTTTATTTTACTTTGTAGAGAATCGAAATATATTTTTCTCGCTCACACGTACATTATGAAAAATTATCTATACTTGCCTCGACATTTAGTAAGATAATTGATTATACTCCTCTTAGAAAACTGTATATTTTTATCAAAAACTCTTAAAACATAATCTATTTTTCCGAAATTTAGAATATGATCCAAATAAGAAATTATATTAATTTTTATAACACAAAATAGCTTTCTCGAAGTACTTGCATTTTCAACAGTTTGCCTCATCACAATTATTCATGAAGTATACGTTTATTGAAAATATATCATTAGGTAATTAATTGCCCATGTTAATTCGCTACTACTATGATACTAATAAAGCAGACATCAATTTTCGGTAAACCTACTACACAGTATAAAATTATTTAATTATATCACCACATTAATACAATAATTACGAATCAACATTCCAACGAACAATGCGAATGTATACTCTGTTTCCCTTAAATTACTTGGAGACCTGCCGAGGATAAATTACAATTTTTTTCGTTTTTCTACGGTACATCGGCCAAAGTTTCACTTCCGTTGCGACAATGGTATTCAACGTTTGTCAGCAACGATTTTCCTTCACCTGGAAAATAACGAAAAAAATGCATATTTTCATCATTAGCTGGTTAAATAATTCTTCTCACCTGCTGTTCAAGCAACTAAGACTGATGGATCCGACCTTGAGCGGCGGGACGTTCGCGGGTATGGTCTCCATCAGGGGATACCACCCGGCGACCGGTCTTCTCGGATTATCCAGCATCTCGGTCCAATGGTCGCGCCCCTTCCCGATGAAAGTCGGCCCGATCACCAGGCAGCCCATCAATTCGTTGAGCCCGATCCTGCGAAATGGTTATAGATTAAACGTCGTTGGTACAACGGTTGTTGTTTAAACGACGTTTTAATTAAAATTATTCCGCCGTAGGTCGACATTTCCGCCCGGCGTTTGATAGGGAATTTCGATTGAATGTAATGAACAGGACCGTTTGTTAATGAACTCTCGAATTTTGACTCTCAATAGTCGACTTGTCGTGTTAACTCTGTTGTTAAACTAAATTATTTAATGTTTTGGAAATGTTTGATCGGAAGTTTCGATAATCCTGTATTTTATTATATTTTTGGATGTTTGGGATGATTTTTCGGAAGTAAATCCCTCATGTTCTTACCTGTCGTAATCGATAACTTTTAATACAAGAGATACTTCATTTATGTTTTCCTCGGGGACGTCGAACACCAGTGCCTCGTTGTAAACGGGGCAAAGCGTATTGTATTTTACGCTCGTCTTCTTTTTCCTGATTCTCTTCCCTTGACACAGCAGGTACACTTTCACGTAGGGATCTAAAAAATTCAGGATTTTGTATTAACAAAAATATCGAAAGACAGTCGTTTCGAATTGAATTTTCTACTATCATCCACAATATCGACACGATTTATCACAGCTTGACTAAATAAGCCGGAAAGGATCGCAGTAATTATACGAATATCCCTTTGTAGATAAATGCGGTTTTTATCTCGGTTTTATTTTACGGCATCCTTAATTCTATAAGCAAAAAAAAGCTTCCTGCCCGGCGGTCGGGACAGCCATTAAAACTCGCAAGTAAAAAAATCTCCTTAAATGTTTAGGAGCAACAAAAAAGTCCTGGAAGGATAGACTAATTGGATGTAATCGGAGTGCTGTATTGATTGATTTCCTGAATTCTTTCAAGCTGTAGTGGCGCCGGCCGATACTTCACTGTAACGACTTTGTAGAATCCGAAATAATTTCGGTAATTTTTCAGCGGAGATTATTGGCTGAAAGTTGCTGAAAAGTCTGTGATTTATTCCCGTGCATTTATACCAAGTGCACCCACTGTTACTAATGAGATTTTTCCATGAAACTATAACAATTTTCTCTGAAAATTCGGAACTGTTGTTTATAACAACGAATTTAGGTATATTCGATTTATTTTGTACGAATGCAATTTTATCTTAAAACTGCTAATATTACATAATGGGATAGCTATGAAAATGTGATAAAAAATTTCGAATATGTGATCCTAGTCAGGAACTTGATATTCATAACAGCGTTTCCATTTACTGTTAGGTACATTCCACAAAATGGCACAACTTACGTAACAAAAAATATTATGAATGCATCAAAAAAATGGCATTTAATAATGAATAAAATACGTTTTTAACAACTTTAGGATATACTTAACATTACCTACACAATAATAATTTTCAGTAATTAGTAATATTTCCCTATATAAACACATTGCTTTCCAATGCGAGCCGCAGTCAACAAGTGTTATTGTGTCAAGTAAGTATATTTTGTAACAATCAAGTCTCATTAACAAACAATAATGTTCCTAACGTTTTAAAGATCCACATAATCCCTCCAAAAATGGATGTAGTGAATAAGGAGAAACAAAGAAGAGAACAACTATTCCATTGCTCGCTCAATTACGCCATTAAAACCAACCCCGTGTATGTCAGGCATTCCAAAAGGATGATGCAAGATAACACCAAGGACTTCGAAAAGATCCTCCAAAAGGAAGAGCTGCTCAACAAATGCATAGAGGAGAATCACTGTCACAGTAACCTCGACATTACCATTAACAGCGTGGAAAACCTACCGGCAGAAGGTGGAGAGAATGGTATGGAAGAAAATGGAAGCGTGAAAATGGAGTCGCCGATAACGAGGAAAAATATCGAAAGATCCATGCCCCGTTTGAACGATTTTAAGGAGCTGGGCATCGTGGAAAAGCGAAAAACCCAGTTCATTTCCAAGATAAACCACTTATTCGGCCGGAATATGGGAGAATACCACTTAGTGACCGCTGATTACAATAAGCATTGCGATAACAACCTAAACGGGTAAGCACTTACAATATTATTTAATACATAATTATATAAAACACAATTGATTTAGATCGCAAACCGAAAGAAAACCATTCGTTATAAAAAGAAAAATTGCCACTTCAATAAAGGAATTGAAAAATTTGTTCGAAAACAAGGTAGGTATTTAGCCATGTTTAACATAAACCTCGACTTAACTGTTATATGTTCGTCAGCAGGATGAAAAAAACACTCCTGTCGGAAAATTCACTGATTACAACAATTACGCATGTTCCACGAAGAGCGTGGTCTATTTGCACGTTAAAGAACAAGAAGAACAAAATGAAATTCTAAGCGACAGCACGTCTACATCTTCCATCGACAACGACAAGCTGGATTTCACTTCATCACCGAAAATCAATGGAGAGGAAGAATTCGATAATAACATAAGCAATTATAATCAAGTAACGTCGATGACTACGAATAAAATTGAGATAGCGATGAAATCTATCGAAGTCGGAAACGAGGATAACGTGGTTAAAGACGAAGATTCTAATGTAGCGCAGGAAAATCATAATCAACTCATATTTCAAACTTTAGGCGAAATTGAAACAATTATAGAACTAGATGAAAGTGATCCCGAAACAGACATCATTCGAGACAACGATGAAAATTCAAATGAGTCTGAGATATCCATTGAAATAAATGAAAACGAAATGGAAAATAAATGCAGCATAACAATAGACGAAAATGAGGAACAATATGAATCGACAGAAAATACTGAATGCGAGTCTGAAGGTGAAGATGTACCAAAAATAATTATTAGCCTAATTAAAGGTAGCTATGCTGAAAAAATCAACCTAAGTACAGTTGATGATAAAGAATCCAACGAAATCAATGAGAAAGAAGAAAAAGAAGAAGAAACCAAGGAAGAAGAAATCAACGAAATTAATAGTGTTAATAATGAAACTTATGATAACATAATTAATGAAAATGACCAAATGAACAATATTACCAAAAAAACCAACGAAATTAATGAAATTGATGAAATTAATAATGTTAATAATGAAACTGATGATAACGAAATTAATAAAATTAACAAAATCAATGAAATGAACGAAATTGAAACGTCTACGAAAACGATACAAACATGTGAGAAATTCACTCAAACCGTCGATTACGTCGCTCATGAAAATAAAAAAGACCAGATCGCAAATCCAAGAAGCGAAGATTCACCTCAACATATTCACGAAGAAAAAAATGAAACCGACGAGGAAGAATTCGAGCAGAGCACAGAGCACATACAATTCCAAGAAGAGATCCAATTCAAAATTAACATCGATACATTGAATCAACGCGTCAACGACGACAAGATCAACTTCGATGAAATAAACTCACCAAATAACAACACCAGCACCCAACCCGTAGTTTTGATCTTTAAAACGATCCAACAATCCCCTACTGAAAACAAACTAAATCAACGAGTCGACAAGAGAATGGAATTCTCAACTCACAGATTCAAAGTAGAATCTGTGGATTCCAACGACGAGACCACCCTATCCAAGTACAAAAGCTGCAAAAATCTAACGATTTACAACAACAACGGCAAAGTGAAAACCTTGTCGAGCAGTCTGAAACGTTTCAAGAGCGAAACAGAATTGTACGATAGCGGAGATATCTTCACCATGCCGAAAGTGCTACCGCAGAAAAAAGATAATACTTTAATATCGAGGATTTACAAGCAGCTGAACGCGAGTAATTTGATCTTAGCGCCTAAACTGGAAGCAACGATAAAGGATACATTCACAGCGGAAATGTAATTTTAATTTTATTCTCTAAAGGTTCATGCAATTTTAACTAGGGATGCCGTAAGGAATCAACTCAGTTTCTTTGATGATTGCTTTTGTAGACGCATTCCTAGTTTTAATTCTGTGAAACATAATTATTGTAATTAATATTGCTGAAGATACTACCTGGCTTCTAATTCTTGGTAACAATCAAAAACTTGCAAGGGCTCAAATATTGGAAATTGAAGCAGGATAGATAACGTAGTGAAGCAATACAAGATAAGATAAGATGCATTGTAACTTGAAGCTTGTTGAATATACATACTATTCTCAAAGCTACTTTTTCTTTTACCTTTACTTTTGTAGATTGGCTGAAGAAGAACATAAAAGTAAGAGAAATAAAAAGGAAAATTACTGCGTGAACCTGCCGGATCAGAGGAATAATATGCTGAACAGGAAATACCCGTTGGATAAGTTCCAAAGATCACGAGATATTGAAGCATTAGCGAAGAAAAAAATCGTTCAAGGAGCATTGTCAAAAGCGCAATTTCAAGAACGACAAATTTAAAGTATATTTTAGATTAATTTAGCGTTAGTACATTTACATATGTATATACATTTACAGTGTATATACACTGTGTCTAAAGTCGAGCGCTACATTCGTCCGCCGATTCATCGCGCCGAAGCCGCGCCTCTCCACAGTTCGACTGATTCTCTCTTTCTACTGTTTGCAGCGCTCGAACATAGACACTCTGTATGAGTCGTCTTAGAAAACAGTTGTTTAGGTTTTTTTTGCTTTTAATTACACGCCTTAGATAAAATAAATAAATGCTTGTTTTTAATAAAATAATAAAACAAGTGGATAAGTTGAAGTAACATTTGAGAATTCGAGAAAACGATGAAAACCTGAAAGTAATTAAAGAGATTTTCAATTTTATTGCATATTTGGGATTGGTATAAGAACAAAAAAACTACATTCACTCAACAAGTTTATTTTTGTTGGTTGCGAATGTTGAGGTTTATCTCTTGGATTTCATTCATGAAGCGCTGAGGAAATCAAGTACGATTTTAGTGTCCAGTAAACCTTCGTGTCGTGAAGTTGCACGTTCACAGAAGTTTTTGTAAATGAAGTTCCCAAATTGTTTTAAACATCCTCCCAAAATTTTCTTGAAGTTGAGGTTAGGCTGAATAACATAGCAAAACCTTTTCCCTGAATAGATTTTTTTTAGACGTTTTCATTGTATTTCGAGCTTAATAAACTCTGTAATTTTTTAGCCTGAGATTTTTAATTTGCTAAAACCATTAGGTACAAAAACTATTTTCAGTCCTTAAGAGATGAGTGGTTATTAATGAGATCAAAAAATGTAATAAACACACAAAATGATTAAGGTAAAAAATCACTACTCTTCTAGTTACCACCCATGTTTATGTTATACAAATTTAACGCATTCTGAAATTAATTTTAGTCGTTAGTTCACTTTTTATTGCTCTGTTTAGTAAATAATGTTGTCACTTTTTCTAATCCACCGAAGAAGTTTCGAGCAATTTGTTGGGATCCTCAAGAGGGAGAATGTTCACTTAAAGAACTCGGGAGGAATTTATCGCAGGAAATGACCAGGCAGTAAGGATGCCGCTAAAAGAAAGCCGAGAAATTGGGGCAATTTATACAGTATAACTTAAATCGGCCCTAATACTCGCAAAAAGGACGCAAACGGACTTACCAGACTTTCCAGTGATATCCATAGCTCTCAAGTTGTGGCCTTTGATAATTGTTATTGTCAATCTTCCTGCCTTCGGTAAGTAGCATAAGCATATCATCAGTTCCCCTAAGTCTACTTTATCCTGAAAATAATGAATTAATAAAGCTTTTATAAAAGCAATGACCAAAGTAAATATTTTTTGGAGAATTAATGCAAATATTGGATGGCCCCAGAAATGTGCTGCTCAAGGAACCAATATTAGTAGAGACAAGACTCGATGAATAATTGTAAAATAAAAAGAGACAACGAATTCTCTAGTATTGCAGGGAAAATGCCAATTTAAAATAACTGATTAGAGTAATTTAAGAATATGATCTCGAGGGAGTTCTCCGTTAAACTTCACTGGTGCAAGAAAATATTAGATGCGTTCCAGGTAGAGATAAATGTAGAGAAATTTACCAACACTAGAAATATCAACGACAAAACATAATGTGAAAACACTTCCAGGCATAAGACAAACGACTATGGAGAAACATTAATATTTATTCACTACCAAGAACACGATGAATCTCAGTTCCAGTAGCCATCCAAATTTAAATAAACCTATTAATTCGGACAAAACATTCACAATATCCAAATTCGCTTATAAGTTGCAATCGATTTACCGAGTTAATTTCGAATTATTCTATATTCTACGTTTTAATTAATTAAAATTTTTAATGAACAATTTTGACAAAGTGGTATTTTCAGTTTCCATTTAATTTAATTCGAAAGCGCTTTGCACAATTATCCCATAAAACAACTTAGTACAGCAGAGGGAGAATTAAAATTTATCGGAATATGAATGACCCGACTGGGAGCAGAGTGCTAGACTACCTGGATAGGCCCTCGAGTTGGGATTACAAGTCTTAATGGAGACAGATATCTTGCGACAAAGTTTCTATATTAATATTTTCGGATCATTGCCCTGTCCCGCGTCTACCTTCACCAAATCAGATGGAATATTTATTATTTAATTAAGACGGAGCAGACGGAGCTTAATTTTTTTAAATCCCCGCTATTAATTATTATCAAATGGAGCCTCTTGCCCGGGCATGAATCGACTCGAGATGCCCGAAATGCAAGAAACCCTCTCTTACTTAATTAAATTCTGCTGTGGTTTAAGTTTCGAATATAAAACAGGCAGAGCGCCGTCCCGGATTTGCAGTGAAATGCGACCACCATGCGATGCCACGCCGTGTCCCGCCTGGGAAACGGGCTGGAGGCCAAGAGCAAATCGCATCCAACGTACCGCACGGCCTATATTTAGACGGAAGTGGGTCAAGGTTGGCCGGATTCAATAAAAGGTGCATATCGGGGAGAAAGTTGTTGCGTCCCGAAAGATCGACGTTGCCAGCGGACGGTTTTCCTCTCCACCGGGACGCTGATGCCTCATAACGTCTAATTAGAGCCCCCGATTAATTAATTTAGGTGCTAGAGTAAGTTCGTAAGCTTCTAGTAAAGCGCTATTGTGGAGATAGGTATGCAGCGTAGACAGTTCTCCATCAATTGGAGTGAAGAAATATTGATTTCGCCTATCTTTGATGCAAATCTATATCGTTATTTCTTTATTTTATTTCGTTTAGAATACAATTTTGCTATAATGATGCCACGTAAAAATATTTCAGAATCTCTGGAAAGACAGTGATGCAAGCAGTCCAGATACGAGCTGAAATTTTGCGGTAAATTTTTAATTTTTTCTTATAAATTCCAGACTTCTAACGCTTTTTTCATATTAAGGAAACAATTTTATATGCTATTGAATAATATTTCAAACAAAACTAAACGTGAACCAATTATGATTACGAATGATTGATTATTACCAAACACAAGTCTCCTAATTAATAATGAACTCCCCTGGGACTTTTAATTAGTTCGAATGAGCTTCTCCGAATCGATAAATGAGTAAAAATTCAGGTCTCAAACGAGGTCGTATCCTGACCGAGATGACATTTTTTTGTCGGAATATAGGTGAACAATTCCCATTCGCATGTAATCCCGAATCCACCATCAAATCTGCACTAAACCATTTTATTCGTCGCTTCCATCCATTAATTACCTTCGGGCGTATTAAATTACCGGGGCGAAGGTGCAGAAATTGCGTCACATGCCGGCAGGTGTAAGTGTGGCGATAAAAGTCGCTATTCATTGGCGCTTCCCTAATTACAAACCAGAAAACGTCCCCGTCGAAAGGCTTATTCGCCGCCGTGGAAGAACTACATACCCCTCGATCGATCCCCCACACAACCGAACCATAATGTTCTTGTTAGGGGTGTTTACTTTGAGCGGCGACCTTGAAAGTGCACCGCGATATGGCAACGACGGGGTTTTCATCCCAGACAGAGCGAACGGGGCTGAGGGCGGCGTTGCCGCCCCCGGGCCTTGTGATTTCCTCTGTCTTATTCGAATTTTGTTTCCGATTTCGTGGAAGGAGAAAGATCGCTTTGTTGTGTTTGATGGATGTGGCGAATATTGCGGCGACGTTTTCAGGAAATACATTGAAGGGAAATTCCAATTTTAGAAAACAAGAAAATACGGGTGAGGTTGTTAGTTTTTCCGATGAATTAGGAAATTTTGTAGGTGCGACAACGGCGCCGCAGCTGCATCAGGTGGTTAATTATACGGTTGCGTGATTTTCAACAGGTTGATGACTGGTATATTACAGTGGAGTTGTTACTGTTTTAACACCACAGCCCTAACTAATTTAATAAAATTTGGCTGTTACCTGGTGAAATGTATCTATCCTTGAAAGCGATATTAAATTTGGAGTAGCCGCTGCAAAATTTTTGCAAAAAATTCAGCTTCAATATTTTATTACTATTTTTTCAACATGTCATTAGTGAGTAGGTTAATTGGTCGAAATTGTATGAAATAAATATTTTAGATAACACTGAAAGCAAATGCATGTTAGATTATTTATTCACTCTTTATTAAATCATTTTTAATGTAAAAATGTAATTTTAGGAGCTGTTTGTATTGTAGGCGAATTTGACTTTTCCGTGTTCTAAGGAGATACTAGGTTTGGCAGAAGTCAATAAACTTTGCCAACCCACGCAACTTTGGAGCATCCAATCCAATATATTTTTTATAAAAAATATTTTTTTATACGAATGATGCTCGAAGATAAATAGCAAATTATGCTTCCTTTATCACATTGACAATTTCGTTTCCTATTGTGATTTCGCACAATAGCTGGCATCAGATGTCAGAGGTGCCAACTAGGCTTATTAGGGAGGATTCACTAAGCTCTTATCCATGGATACATTGGGGGTTGCCGCAGACAACTTAACTTCATAAACCCCTTATGCACGTCACTCGGCATGGAGTCGGAATGCTATTCAATTTTTCCATTCGAACGGAAAGCTCCGGTCAACGGTTCCAAAATTTGCACCGATAATTTCGAGCTCTCCAAACAAAAACCCATCAAAATAAATAAATAAATCGACCGAGAAATTGTTTACGTTCACGATATTTCAAATATTGTAATTGGCCTAACCCACAGGGTTGTTTGCTTTCGCCCCGTTTGTCGACTGCCGTAAAAATGTAAACGATACCGGGGCGCTTCCGATTTTGCAATCTAAATAATTCGCAAAAAGTACTCGAATGTAGGAAACGCCCTTGGTATGTCAGTTTTGTTATTTCACATGATGGAATAAAAACATCACACACCGCGGATTATGGAAATGTTTTTCGACAGCGGGAAACAGTAAAAGCATGGTAGATACTATTTTAAATTTCATCTTTCATCAATATAAAAGCTTATACTATTTTTATAAATGTGCGCTATAAACCACTTAATTCAGCAGTTACCTATAAGAATAATCAATTGAATCTATTTAAGTTTTGTCCACCAAGTTAATTATTAAAAATGTAATAATGTCTTGTATTTTAAATTCAAAATTGGATATTTAAGGTTTGTAAGAAATTCTGAGTAGGAAGCGGTGGAAACTCAGGAGCCCAACACAAATCGGTATTCCAAAGGAGTTTCTCAAAAGAAGTTTCTTCGGTTATTTCGTTTGATATTGATCAAATATGATGTATCTAGTTAGAGTTACAGTTTTCAATTTCTCGCCCAATCTCGTACACGAGCACTTAATTTATTTTCCTAACGAAACTCGCTCGAAAACTTTTCTTATTAGCCTTTGTGGAAACAAGGTTTAAGTGTCGTCCAACTGCACGAAAAATTTTTAATACCCCGTCGGATTTTCAATCCGAAAAAATTCAAATTTAATCTCTGTTTTTATATTTTTTTTTCGTTCGCACACAGTCGGAAAAGGATTAGAATTTAATAAGGTGCGCTCTGATTGATCCACTCTAAATTCGTTGTTTAATTTTACGTGAATTTTAATTATACAATATGACGATAAAAACTTACAACGGCTGTATCTCTCAAACGAAACATGATATCAAAAATTGCCTAAAACCATTTCTAGGATATGAAGGGGGAACTAAAATGACATGAACAAGAATTCACCCTGTCCACCCTCTAGGCCCCACGTACCCCAACTATAGAAATTTAAATAGCAATCGCCAACGTGTGATACATCATTGAAAAGCCTATAAAATGCTATCCAATGGTATAAATAATAATTGTACAGGGTGAAACAATAATTGTAAAACCTTGAAATTTTATGTAATTTTTTTTTTCAAACATATAAGTTCCATATTTTTATAGAAAGATCGAATGTTGGAGAAGAAAAAAGACACTCAACTAAGTTAAATTATAGGATTTGAGCTTGTGGAGGACTTGCAGGGCGAAAACAACGAAATACAATGGAATTTATAGAAGTTTCTACAACTATTGATAGCAAAACAATATTCGAAACTTACTTTAGGTGGGCACAAAATGTTCATCGTATATTCGACCTCTTGATCCAAATCCGATATCTCGGACAATCCCTTAAAAACGACGTGTCCAATTAAATCGTGCCTCGAGAATCTGTCGAAATCGTAGACGGAAAATTGTAGATATCTATCACGGAGATCTTCGTACGTTACACTGAAACACGCAAAAAAGTTGGAAAAACTAACGAAAATAAATTCGCTCGCTCGTTACCTAAATATAAAAGTCTCATTAAATACGGGATTTTGATTCTTCCTGTGGACTTTGGTTTGATATTTCTTTTTTCTGTCCGGTAGCAGGTAGAGTTTCACGTAGGGATCGCAACTGCCGTTCATGTCTTTTACCGGCAAATCTCTAGATTCAAATACCTGTAACAATGTAACAAAAAACGGTAATATTTAATTAAAAACATTTCAATGCAAATTTCATAAAACATCAATCCCCAATTTTTATACCTCGTTTAATAAATTTCTACGAACATTTCAGCATAATTTTTCTTTGTATAGTTATATACAGTTTAGAATTTCTCAATCCTTTATTCTTCGGAAGATTATCCTCAAAGGGGTATGTAAGTCAGTATTTTTCAGATGGACAGGTAATTAAAGATTCAAAGCCTCCTACGTACCGCGAAATAGAAATTCGATGTAGGCGGAGAACAAAAGTGCAAATCACATTATGCTCCGTTCTTTTGAAACGACCACACTTTACTGTTTGCCAAAACAGTGAAGACCGCGCTTAGTAAGTATATTTCTTTTTGTCTTCAAATACGCGTTCTTAAAAGACGCTAAAAGGTTTCGAAATACAAGCGGCAGCGATCGGGTGAGTTGAACAGCTTTAAATTATGCAAAATGTTGACTTTCCAGTGCGACTCCTGTTCGTTTTGCGACTGTTATTTTTCGTTTGGAAATCAAATTACTGCGAATTACTCAGGTTTTCGTTCGCACACCGTGCGCAACAGATACTAACGAAGTTTCGTTAAGTTAATTATGTATTTTAAACGGGAAAATAAGTACAAACTTTAATATCTATTTCCGTTTTAGAGGAGACTAACGTGGACTTTTTAATGTCCTTTTTTGTGCCACACTGTATTCGAAGTTTTATTGAAAATTTTAGTGGGGTCATAGCTTTTAGATAAAAAAGGTGTTCCTCGTAAAATCTCCCCGAATAGCCGTTTCCCAGATATCGATTCGCCTTTTTAACATACAAGAGACGTGTCATCAACAATTTCAAAGAAAATTCGCATACAGTGTGACAAAAAAAAGTTTTGAAAGTATATAAACTCTTATAGAAATCCTTTAAGTCACACGTATACCCCTAGAGAAAAAGCTAAATGTAACTAGATAATAACGAAATCTCATTTTCATGAAACCCAAACACTTCTTATTTCACCTTCACCTACTTGCCGGCAATACATCGAAAGAATAGTGTGTTTACAAAAGAGTACCGGTAGCTTTACAGGTATCATTTAAAAAGCTCCCCGACGCTGAATAGCTAATAGCAAAGTTTATTAAGGAAAAGTAATCTTGCGGAAACGCGCTTCCTGCGCTGCATCCTTTTACCCGGAAATAAATTAGATTCCGGCTGCGAAAAATGAGGGCGTTGACTGCTCTGCGAATGAATACTTTATGAAGAGATCCGTAATCTGAATCCATCATCTTTCCGCATTTCAACGCCAGACATTTTTCAGTCGGCTTTTTGCTAGACACATTTTAAAACAATACCAACCTTGACGACGAGGGCTTCCAGCTCTTTGTCGTAATGCAGGGCGAAATGCAGCTTTCCACAGTACTCCATCTCCTGGCCGTTGTTGCTATCCACCGACGCCTGCTTCACCAGCTCTTTCCTGTACAATTCCGGCTGCAACAGTAACAAATTGCCTTCATTATAATTGCTGTTTTAAAGTTAATAAAGTTAATCGCTCTCCATCCACTTACCTTTATTAAGCCGACCGTGCTGCTGTTGTTTCTCTCCAGAGTGCATATACTGAATTTTACGTCCGTGGGGATATCCAGCCGGTGGGAAAGTTGCCTCTGAAACGTCTGGTGACGGTCGGGAACAATGGGAAGTGTAGTTTGTCTCAATACCTAGGAGTAGAATAGAAATTCAATTATCGATTTTCGATGGCGCATTTAAATATCGTTGGATGAGTGAATACGTATTGGAGCATGTCATGAATATTCATGAAATTCGATATTTGCGTTTTTAATTTTCGATGCAAATGAAAAAATGGAGTTTGGGCAACTATACAGTGTGGGTTCCAAGTTTTCATCTTTATTTAATTTTTGTAATTTGTAAGAAATTCGTACTAGATAGATTTGAAAGCTCTTTTGTCAATGACATATTTCAATCGCAATTTTGAAATTTAGAAAGGAAATAGCAGTAAAAGCGAGCTATAATGGCTACAATGAGTGCTATAGTTGCAGGACTACTATTGTAACCTCGAATTGTTTATTGAGAGTGTATTCTTATCGTTGTAAAGTGCTTCTCCTTCCTGATTAATTTCAGGTAGTGGAGGATTTCCGGCTGTGATTGCGCAAATTAAATTGCTACGCCAGTGAAAATGGATTGGTTTTGGTAGGTATAAATACTGAAAATTTATTAATAATAATCAATATTTTTTATCCATTTTAAGTAACTTTAGATGGATGGAACTTCTCATTGGCAGACCTTCTCATAAAGGTAAATATTGTTTAGGGAGATCTGTATAATAGGAATAATGACATTAGATCGTGTATAATGAATTGTGCCAGTACATCAGTAATGAATTCTAATCAAGGATTGCTCGATTGGACAAGTGCATTATCATGCACAAACTAGCGTATTCGCATAGTGTGACATATAGACGACACGCGGAGGCATGCATACAATATGCATTATAAAATCAATGCAACTTAATTTTCATATTAGCAAGTAACAGGTGGGATGATTTATGGATTATCAGTAAAGCAGTTTTTCGTATATCAGTTGGTTTCATTATTTCTAAAAAAATATTTAGGCAAAATCATTGGATCAACGAAATAACTTGTTGTAATAATTAATTTTCCTTGTTGTTCCGTGTTAATTAACAAAATTCTGGTAACACTAAATTAATTACTGTTTTAAAGCTAAAAACGCGCCATAATAAAAACATATCACGTGCTAGACACATTAATAATTCCTATTTACTTTCGAGCGAAACGAATTATTTTCCACGTGAAATTTCAAAATAAAAAATACTAAAAAATCCATTTTTGCGCCCTCGCCCGTATATCAAATTAATGGCCATTAACAACAGTCCACGGAAATCCATTACATCTACCTACTTATGCGTATATTTGCTTACTCGCCTATTCTAATTTAATCAACGCATCTCGTAGAATAAAATTGGCGACACAAAAACTCGATTTGAATTTTTGGGGCACGCCAATTCTTTGATATGTAAATAGCGAATTAAATGATTCTTTCTTGGGAAATTCGGAAATGTGTTGCGACTGAAGAAACGCCACTTGCGAGTTTCCTTACAGCAAAAAAATATATCTAATAATTTAATTCTAAAAAATGCAAAAATAGAATATAAAGAATATGATTTTTATAGTAAAAAATTTTTATACCTCACAGTTGTTACTTAATTATTTTTTTTTCTCGACCTAATAAATTATGCAGGTATGAGAGTATTTAACATTTTAAATATTTAACATTTTGCCTTTGTGTTTGCTTGATTTATCTCTTTATAAAATACTAATCTGAAGCAAATTGAGAAACTCTGCGACTGACTGAATAATTACGGTTAAACATTTTTTTCTACTTTGTTAATGTCGTTTCAAAAAAATCGACGAGACTATATATGTATGAGTACCTAATCTTTTTAATAAGTTAAAAAAATGCCGAAAAGCTCGCTTAATTTATCGCTCAATTTTCGATGTTTTGATTCGCCGATAATGATAAAATATTGACGACAAAATTTCGCTTTCGACGTTCCATCGGAATATTTTTTAAGTTATTAAGAGCATGCATTATTCATTTTTATCGAAAGTTTTTAAAGCGATAACTTGTTGAAAACGCCTGAAAGTTTTTTCGTTATATATTTATTAAAACCCTAATCTAGACACCTCGAGCGCGAAAACCTGGAATATGGAATAATTAGATGGATATTAATGACAGTGCAACTTCACATGAATCAACGCCATGTTTCGAAATTTGCCGAGTAACGCCTAAGAAATATTCTTTGCCCAGGTTGAAAACTTGATTTGTGGCTGGCTTGATATTAATAGTATTACGCCGCAAGGGCCCCGGGGTGTTGAGCGCAAACGCTTCCATAATGGTCTAGCTCAGATCTTTTCGGCCTTTCCCACTTCGATAACGCGAAAATACCATCAATCTTTGGATGCCCGAAATCACTTAGCAAATAATAACAAAGACCGTCTTTTCTCCCCACATGTGACAATACATGCATTATTCATGGGAAGCCTAATTGAATATTTTACCATTCACGAGTTGTCGCGGGAAGATGATTAAAATTATTTTAACATTTTTACTCTTGTCGTAGGAAAGTTTTAATAACATGCCGCAATATGCATTCAAATAATCGAATGAGATTTTTAAATTCCCTACGTACCTTCTTAGCGACGATGTCTTTGATTTCCTGCACGTAGGTCGGCTTGACCTGCTCCTGCAGATCGGGCATGGAGTTGCTAATTTGTATGTTGGTCTGTTGCTTGCCGCCGAACTCATCGTCTCCGATGATTGTTTTGCTGCAAGTTTTATCTCGTAACCAGCGCCACGTGGCAGAGCACTGGAAACTTAACGCGGCTACAAAAACTAATATCATTGCAGTTAACATCAAAACGCTGCACACAAGAATATTTATACCTGTCAACCAATCTGATTCGTCTGCAACAAGGAGAAAATTGTGGTTAATTTTTTTCGGTACCTACTGTTTTGCGTACCGTGGATGTGAAGGGAATTTTCCAATAAATTCGTTATTTGCATAAACAAAAATTTTCCATCTAGGTGGAGTTAATGGAGAAACGCTATTCATCTAAATTTCCATTATGGTTACATTCGCAGGAATTGAAGCGGCAAGTCAATTATCACAATACTGTCGTCTTTATTATATTACGATTAGAGGTGTAATTCAATTTATTTAATTTTATACGTAATGGTGTTTCCAATTTGCATTGATTTTTATAAAATAAACAGGAGGTTGAAATTATTTAGGATTATGATGTTATCTATTCAATTTATGTATTAAAAATGTAGACTTTTTAATGGACAATTACATCCTGAAAAAAGTAATAATGAGGTAACTATAAACTTTTTTTATTAAATTGCCAATACGGAAACAAACTTTCACTAAAATTTTCATGGCGAATTTTCTCGTAAAAATATCGTGAATGGATTATATCTTTATAAAGGTTTTAAAAAGCTAGTAGATGTAAAAATATAGTTACTGCAATAAAAGGAAGTAGGTAGATAAATATATTTTACAATCATATTTGAAAATAAGGAAAGTAAATTTGGTATACAGCCCACTATAAAGATTATGCGAGAAAAATATTAGATACCTACATGATTATTTCTCAAACGACTTTACCCTAAAAATTCGATATTATACTTATTTTACGAATTTATTCTAAAAAAATACTGATATAATCTTCAATGCATCACATTATAAGAAGGGGAAATTTTTTGCTGTAGGTAAATGTAAATTTTCAGAAAATCTGAAAGGTGTATAAAAATTTTATCACGTAATTTTAGAATTAGAATTTAAAGTCTAATAAATAAGTATTAATATTTGATATTTTAAAAACAGCAGATTCTTTAGAAAAATCTAAATTAAAAATCGTCCTTAATATTATCAAATATTCATAGACATAAATTTAAAAATAAAATCCAATTAAACTATTGCATTATTAATTTACATTGCAATCAATATGAAATGTGTAATTATTGAAATAAATATGTAATAAGCACAAACCGTCGGCTAAAGCGATTAAAATCGTTTAAATTTATATTTACTAATTAATTAAATTGTTAAATAACCAAAAAATGCCATTAAAAAGCACAGATCAATAAGCACATATGAAATAAAAAACACACCGTTAAAATAATAAAAAAATACATGAAATAATTTTTATAGAAAACACATCAATCAGACCAAAAGAAAACAAACACACCGGTTGCCAAAACAAAATCCTCGTTCAAAATCTAATTTTTTTTCTGGAAACCATGCTTATACAAAAAACCATTCGTCCACTCACCTTGTTCCAATATATCACTCTCGGACCGATTTTTATCGACGATCAGATACGATATGGAATTGGAAGGTGTTTCTGTAACCAATTCCATGGTCAACACTGAATAATGTGTAAGAGTTTAGTCCCGACGTCTTCCCAAAGTTGCCGCTCATCGACGCACGCATCCCGTGACGCCGCGGCGACCTAGGCATCCATTGGTCCAGGTTCAATATCGCTAGGTTAAGGACATCGCGAACACACTTGTAGAGGCGGACGGTCGGGGGATAATTGCTCCAGTTCACCGTCGCCCGGAGATTCCCACATTTCCAGTAGAATTTCCAAAGAAAATCCGGTTTTTTGTACCAACCGAAAATTTCGTAGACCAATAACGTTCGTTTAGAATGACTCCTGAAGCTTATTTAGCTTCCAAATAAATTCATTAAGGTGTGAAATACAAACCGTATAAAACATGGTTAAAGTTTCCAAAATAGAGAATAATGGCGAGTGCGCAAAGTAAATACGTCCCGCTCGAAATTACACCGGGTGGGTTTATTTAATTGATCGAATCGTCTTCAAATACATCTCGATATCCATCTGACTTGGCATCTATTCGCTTCAAACAATAATGTAACGAGTAAACGTTCATCGAACATCACCGGGTTTACGTTTCATTATGTATTTAACGTAAGTGCATACAATAACACATTGTTGCATTTTGTATGGTGTATACCTACGTGCATTCGATTTTATGTGCATTGTGAATTCAAACATAACAAGACCTTATGTTATATTTAGGACCTTTGATGTGCCTATTTACAAATACATCCCACTTGCGAATAAAGCAATATGCAGTACATTATATTTAAATTAACCCGGAGATGATGCCACAAGCGACAGCTTTTTTCCATGCAGTGTGTACGAGTTGAAAATTTGTTAAGCACATAATCGACATTTTAATAATAACATATATACATTGCAACTGAGCGAGCGAGCCATTCCCGTCCACTTGGCAAAATGATAGTTGCTCGTGAATTCTGGATGGAAATCCCGGTTGCACGGCGATTACGAAAATAGAATCGCAAATGCGTGTTGCCAATGGTTATACGTAGACAGAGATGAATGTCGAGAGCGAACACAAATGTGAAAACTGTTGCATGCACCACTTTCTCGCTTTCCCTTGTCCCAGCCAATATGCGAGCTGCGTTCGGGAGCTTTTAAGAGATGCTCCGGCTGCGAACCGGAACGGGGCGGAGGTATTACCGCCAACGGTTCGATGCTTGCGCTCGGTTTTTCGCATATTTCAATTTTTTGGTTGAAATTCAATGTAACATTATTCGATATTTACAAAAATTATAGTAATAGATATTGGGTGTGCAATTCATAATACATATTTTGGGAAGCACAGGGTAAGTATATTTAATGAATAAAATCTAAAATTCTCAGTATTATTAATTTTAATTCACCTTGCACTAATAAAAATATGTTTGGTTCGGCTCAAAGTGCTATATTTATAACATCCTTTATATTAAAAAATTACCCTATTTATTTCATGTTGCCTATAATTATTTAGTGCCTAAATAAGTGAATAAAAGCTTGCAATAAGGTCATTTCTATGAGTTGAATTAAGAATAACTAATTATTGAAGTAAAAATTGTCAGAGTGGTAAAGTTGCAATGACACAATATCACCCTTTCTTTTTCTTTTATAAGTGTCTAACGAAAGTTTTCTTTGTTGCATTCATAGCCTATATTGCAAACTAAAAAGAATCAATCTGTATGATGAAGAAACAGTAGTATGAAGAAACAGAGTACATAAACTAAAACTAAAATAAATAAGTTTTCCTATTAGGCCATTTATTCTGAAAAAAATTAATAAATAAGCGATTCAATCAAGGAAAAATCCATTAGAAGTTCAAGTAGGTACACAAGTTACTAAACTGATCCAAAAGTTTCCTCGTGGTTTTCTGATTGATCTTGCTGTGTTATATTGAGATTCTAGATGAATCCTTAGTTACTTCCCAATGTTTAAATTGTAGTGCTTCTTGAAACAAAGCAATTAAACCAAAGTTTGCAATTTTCGTATTTTGTGCTGCAATTATTAAGATGCACCTTTTACTTCCCGCTAATAACTAAATTACCATCGTTGTATTCGTCGCGCCAACTTCATAAAATGGAAGTGCCAGAAATGATTTAGCTAGTACTTTATGAAATTTTAAAAGCAAAGGTTTTTAAATATGGATTATCTACCTACGAGTTGACTTCAACGTAAATGAAAATAGAATAGCAAGAAAGACCGAGTAAAGTTGAAGATTTAAAAAAATGTGTAGCTACTTATTTTTTCTTCCAACGTGCAAAGGGAATTTGTAGCGACTGTTTTGCAATCCCAAATTTATTATTATTTCGATAAACTCAAAAAAGTTTGAATTCCAATAAACGAGAATATAATTGGCAGAGGCTTTTCACACAACCCCGAAACCTACTTAAAACGCAATTAGTGGGACCATGTGCGTATCCGCACCGACCGGCCCCTAAATTAGAGTTATTGTCCTAATTGTCTAGTCGAGTGTCAAAACCCTTTTGAGCCCCGTTCGGGGTCAGCCGACCTTGAATAACATCAAATAAAAAATAATATTCACTTCGACACCCAATATTAAATTTACCCCGGCTAAAAATTCGTCTGCCAACGAACGAGTGAGTGCGGGGTTCTAGAGTAGTAGAGGGTTAAGTGAGGAAAAATGAACGAATAACATTTTTTTGTTATTTTTTGTTACGTGTATTTTCGCATTAGTGTGTAGGACCCTTATATTGGTAATTTATTAGTCTATGCTATACTGAAGAAGTCACTGCAAAAGGGTGATTTTTTGCAATGCTATATAAATAATAATGCAATGTAAATAGTAGTTTATGTACCTATGTACGAGATGGTTAAGTTTTTCGTACCACTGGACACTATTTATGTGCCCTAGACAAAGGGTGAAGCTTGTTAAAGCATTTTTATACAGAAATTCTAGATATGTGAAGGTTTAGAATAACAATGGACTTTTAGTCATTGTGGATAAATAAATTTCTTCGGAATTATTGTATCACAGTGCTGGAACAAAATTCCAAGAGCGTAATAGCTACCTGTTTCCAACCCTCTCTAATAAAAGTATTATAGGTAAACATTAATTAAATCGACTAATTATTTAAATTAGTTTACGTTTAATCCGAGCATTCGTTTCATAGCCGGCTCCTTTTCAGCGTGTAACGCGACTACACCGAAAACCCTTCCCTTAAGGAGCCCCATTACATTAGAGCATTAATTACGAGAATTACTTCGCCAATTTATCCTGAGGAAATTTCATTACAACTCGCCTCGTCTCCTCGCGATTTTCGCCAACTTAGCCCCGACAAAATATTTAGGAAGTTATGCGAGAACGACCGAATTAAGCTTCTAATGGCTAGATGCAACACCTATGCTCCTTTTCTGAGAGTTCGGCTCTTTAATCTGGAAACTTCTGGCTCTGAGCGGAACGCCTACAGCTCGTCCCAGGTGGGTCGACACTCTATGGAAGGCCAATTTAGATAATTAAGACAACTTAAATAAAACGATGATTGAGTTCATATTTCATTTAGTGCACTACCTAGGTTTAATTAGAAATTTTCCGGATGGATGATTATTGGAGTTTTTCGCATTTAAAAGTTCTTTGTAAATATTCTCAAATTCCCATTTATCCAGAAATTGGTCTCAACAAATTCATCAGCAGGTAAAGATATAGGTATTTACCTATTTAAAGAGTTCAAATCATGCCGGGATTCGAATGTTTTTCAAGTATCCTGGTAACTGGAAAATATGCATTGAGAGAGGAAAATCGTATTTCATCGTACTCGACCGGCGTGGGACGACTTTCCATTAATTTTTGACATATCTGGAGCAAATAATACAACTTCGTAGCTGATTAGATATCCTCCTACGCCTAGATACAGCCACTTATTGGCAAAAAGCGTGTTCAGAAATCATTTAATTTAATTTTTTCATTCTAGAGATTTTAAACACAACTTTTGGAAAATACTGCATTGGCGAAATCCTGGAGGTTATCTCCGAGTTGGTACATAATTTAGATAAATACTGAATGGGGTATTGGAACGTGGTGAGAGGAAAAACAGGTAATATGTATTATTGTCGGTTAACTGGAAGGTCAGAACATATCATGAATGATGGGCTGAAAAATAAATAAAAAGAGAGGAGAAAACAGGTCGGGTTTCTAAAATGATTTATGATGACGCGCTGAAAATCTACTCGTATATTCGACCAATAGAAATCTAATTAGTAGTGAAACGAACTTATTTTACTAATAAAAATGTTTAATTCACAGAAAAAAATCCTATTTATTTTACTGTACAAATTTACCGTAATTATACTTGAGCGCGGCTAACACTTAACATAGAACGTATTATAAACTCAGTCTTCTCACGTTTGAAAAAATATCGCAATTAAGCTCAGAGATGTCTTGGTTTACTTTTTCTCGTTATAGACCCTTCTCATATAAATACAAAAAAGTTCGAGCTATCGATCTCGAAAAAAACAATCGTGTCTGAGGTATAAAAAAAACCTCTAACTAGAAGCTCTGGTAGAACTGAAATGAAATGCGCGCTCTATTTGAATGCGTGTCCTAAGCTTGCGAGAATTTCGGGTCATTACCCACAAAAATTAAACGCAGGGCTTAATTACTTCAAGGGTGAATCAACTCGAAGGCCGATATTTACAAAAAATACTTGATAAAAACAATAGTAAATAGAGACCTGATGACAATGTTAAACATTGCTGCAGGAGAATAAACCCATTAAGCGTTGCTTGCTTAGCCATCTGAGATTCGACAAACATTTATTTTCGAAACACAAAAAAAAGTCGAATTAAGTCTTCGCAACTAGTTTTATAAAATTCTCAAATAATTCATTAACATGACAATTTTAAGAGCTTAACTAGAAATGTGCCAAACCAACGAAATTAACATGTTAGAATTAAATAATTTAAAAAACTGAGTAGATTATTTTACTAAATAGATAAAATAATATTTAAATTACGAGGTTCGACTGAGAATGGATTACAATAGTACAAAATACGATTGAGAATTCAACCGGGTTCAAACCCTATATCCAATTTACCGTATTTTATCGTTAAAAACTACAATTATAATAGCTTTTTGAACGATTTATGTTCGCGTATTTACTCGGTTAAACTCTCAATTATATTTGTTACACTAAATATTTCTATTAATAACAATTTACATACAAGAATTACACCTAACTAAACCGACTTCGTCACAATTCATGCATTTTAGAGCCACGAATTCGGCTGTAAAGTGGTTCCTGTGGATGGACTTTTTACTTCCTTTACATATTTGACAAGGCAATAATCGATATCCTCCGCAAACTTGACATGTGTTGCAGACGTCCAGGCTCTGAAAACAGGAAATTTTATTCTATTATTAAAATATCCAGCTTTTGGCACGTGTCATCTATCGAATTCCATTTTAGCACGTCTGTTTAAATGCTCTTTTATAACAACAGTGTTTGTTTTAGTTTTTAGTTACGTGTCTAAATTTCATAAGGGTTGTTTAAATAAATTTAAAGGTCATCATTACTAAATTATAAAAAAATCGGATTTGAAAAAGCTAAAATTAATTTGAACTGAATCTCGTTTTGTAATACCTAATTGAACCTTCGAGTCGATCTAAATGGATTAATAATGTATCAATATTTCTAGAAAATTTTAAGTAAATGTAGGCTTGACTGTTGAATTTTCCATCTGAAATATTGCCCAGTATTTAGTGAACAATCTCTAGAAATGTTACACTAAGTTTAAATTTATTACCAACTCACATCCCTACTCTACTTCCTATTACTGGTAATTTATAACCGCAATATCCTAATCATACGAGGTAATATTGGCATTTCAAAGTAACTACCAACATTAACAATTCTACAAAACTTTCTGATTACAGATACAAAATGAAAGTTTATCTACAAAATTCTCAGTGATCTTACCTTGTAGGGCTTTAATATTCGCCTCAGCTCCCCCGTTTCGTTCAGTCGCTCAATAGTTTCGGCATCCTGAAAGAAAAACGACATTATTCAAGGGTCTCGATTCATCGGATACTTATATTTTATAACAAAACTTTGTAGTTTACTCTGGCTTTTTAGCCGCCCCCGTTTGTTTGCCCACGCCGATATGACAGTTAATTTTCCCTAAGGCTACAAAGATGTTTGTTTCAATTATTACATTAATTCAACTCACACTTGTGTAGGTGCAGGATATAAAATGCATTATTAGATGTAGAAGCACTAAAAATTGTCGAATTATGTTTTTTTCTTGTAGATAAAAATGCTTTGGGGTGCATTTTTGTAAGGATTTTATTTACTTATCTCAACTAAATTAACAATTTTAATTTTCTCTTTAAATTGTGTGTTCTGTGTGTTCTCAGAGATCGAAGTAAAATTATAAACGATTAATTTTAAAAAGCAATTAAATTAATGTTGTAAAAAATCAACCCCCGTTCAATCTAACTCGGGCGTTTCTCGACGAAATTTCAGACCTTACTCAACCTCCGGAACTTGTTTACTATAGAATAAATAAAACGAAACCGCTTAATATTCATCGCTCGTTCTCCTACATCCATGTCCCGTGTCTCGCTCGACCAGCAGGAATACGAATAATTCGTTTTCTTGCGATTTCGAAGTGACGGAGCGTACCTGATAGAAGTTTTCTTATTCGCCTTTTATGCGGTAAAATGCACGACCTAGATGTTTGACCTTAAAACCACGAAAGTATACGGTTTTATTTGATTGTCGCCGATACATTAGCTTTCTACATTATAATAATTCGATAATTTCGATGAATCTTCAAACATGGAAATTCCTCGAACACGGAGATCGAATAACGAACCAGAAAACAGGTAGTAATTTCTTTGATAAAGGTAAGGTAGGATAAAGGTAAACTATAAAACACTCTGTACAGTTGAAGGGAATAATATGTAGGTAACAGGGATATTTCGAGGAAATTTTCTACCTGTTACTTAAACTACAGTTCAATTAAACAAAAAGTGGAGGAGTTTTGTTACTTACCCCAATGTGTACGCCGTCTACGAACACCTGTGGCACCAGCACGTGATCGCAACGCATTCGTTCCTGTATTTCCGCCTGGTATTCGGAGCTCATGAAGACGTCGCGCTCCTCGAATTTGATCAGCAGCAATCGCAGGATCTGCTTCACCTTCGAGCAGGCCTGGTAGGTGTCGCGCAGGATGCCCATCGTCGTCGTGTACACCACCACCTTCCCGGCCTCTTTCTCCTTGTAATTCTGAAAGGAATAAACCAGCAAATTATAACACAAACATTTTGATTCCTTCGAGAAATAAATACTGGAATATAAACTTCATGTATTCGTTAGGAGGAAAAAAAAACATATTAATTATCAGTGGTTTTACACTCCACTATTAAAGTCGACACAATTTTTGTCGAAGTTAAAGCATTAAAGGATCTCGGAACTAAATGTATAAAATATGAAAACTTCTCTACCCAGCAGTGAAACAAGGCCATTTCAATTTCCTATGCATATTTCTCAATAACCGGGTGCATTGCAAACGGCATTTTCAATTAAGTCTTCATTTGAAGCAAACCGAGCTCTTTTCGGCTGGCGCGAATTAAAATCCAAAGTTTCGATACGCCGCGCTGGGTAGAAGAAAGGCCCTTTATGTATCGGAACGCAACAATAGATTCATCTCGGCGTTCGTCGCTATTTTCAGAACGAAATTACCCCTATGTGCCCACGCCTCGCCGTCGTTTTAGTTTGCAACTCCTCTCTCTGCACACCGGCGGAATTGAAAAACGGAATGCTCCGCGTATTGAGAGAGAGGAATTGATTGGAGCACGCAAGGTTGAATACGGGCTTTTTCATGCGGGATTGATATGATAGTTCGATAGGAAGTTTCGATGAAATATTTAAGATATTAATTGAACGCTAAGGACGACAGCAGGAAACGATAACGATACATTATGCAATGGTATATTATAAGTGAGTTAAGCGGTAAAAAATTGATCGACTTTCTCTGTTATTTGAAAAAGTGTTTTATTTTTAATAGATATTTATTTTAATTTCAACTTGATTTATAAAGGCTTTTCTAGGCATCTTCAAAGGTATGATTTGTCGGTATTTAACCTAATTTTTATGCAAAAACTCGAGGTAATCTCGTTAAGAAATTAAAATAACCAGAGTCGCATAAAAAGCGTTCTGACATTTAACATATAGAGCGTAACATCTGTATCATATTTCATAATTTCGTGGCAATTATGTATGCCCCACGAAATTTTTACAACAGCATCGAAAAATTTTTAGTGCGCTTTTTTCCAACTCGAATTAGCCTAGAATAATGCCGTTAGAATTTAATGAATTATGTAGATACTTTTTTCTAAAGTCAGGTGCCAGAACAATGGTTGTTTTAATCGCTCGGAGTAAGTTTTTATTGATGTCTGGTGAATTTTTCATTCATATGTGTATAATCCGTACGTTACGTTTATAATCCAGGATTTATAGCCAGTTTCTGTTATAGCCAGTGTAATATGGTCGTAAATTCATTGCCTTAGTTGTTGGTATTTTTTAGATCCGAAAAAGAAAAAAAGGAAGTGTATGTGAGAGTTTTTTTTAACCAATATTTTTTCATTATTGATAGGAATCGCCTAAAAAATTCGTCCATGAAGGAAAATTAGGAATAACAGTGAAGCACCAGGAGAGAATATAGTTGAGACATGCTTGGAAAACTGAAAAGGAAATGATTGTCAACAAAACAAAAACGAATAAATTTGAAAAACAAGTCGATACGATTTGTACATGACAGAAATGCCGAAATTTTTGGTAACAGATTTATTTGGGGTGAAGGAAATCGATGGTTCACGTAATAGAGGAAAAGCCAAAATATTATGTCTAATTGCAATTAGTAAATACACACGAACTAATTATATTTCAAAACTATTAGGCATGTTATTGCATATTAAAACTTTCATGGGATTATTTACCTTTGATACTACAAATGTTTAATTTTGGATACATAGTAGGTATTATATTCCAAACCTTTTATAATGAGCATCAGTTTTTAAGTACTTTTACCCTTCATTTCATTTAGATTGTAAATCATTTTATTAAATAACGAATTTTGATAGAGTAAATATGAAATTCTATGCGATAAATATATGAAAATAAATAATTATAAACATTATAGAATTTAATTTATCTGTGTAAAAAGGTATTTTGATATATTTAAATATCATTAGCTAGGTAATTTCATTCAGCTCGTTTATCCAAATTAGGAATTTTCCAGATTCGTCGCAATATAATTACATAAACAATTTCTGATGATTTATTTCACTACATGAGTTCCTTTTATTATACACATTATTTCAGTTATAAGCATTTAATGAAATCAAATTTACATTCTAAAGCTCCAGTTCTACTATAGGTTGGTTTAATGCCAAATTATGACCCTGACCGCCTGCTAATTGGCATCCTACAATAGACGAAAAGATGGAAGATTATTAAATGAACAGGTACTGTAGAATTTCTTTAAAAATTCGTGAGTTAAATTGATGGAGGATTTGAATAATAAATTTGGCTTCTGGTAAGGATCAGATACATTTCCGTTTAGCCTTCTGCCTACAAAAATGTATGTGGTTTATGCATAAATTTCATTGTTTTCTACTATTTGATGATTGATGGGAATTGAACATAAAAGGGCTATTTTGAATCAATTATATTTCTTCTTCATTTTCATCTGAATCTCTACCTACACATGTAGTTGCAACCTTTTAACTTTGGTGCTTATTTCTTACCTTTTCCGTCGAATTAATCTGCAAAAACGTCGCAATACCGGCCCTAACCCTATTTTTCACGCCACGCACAGTCCCTTTGGCGCTCCTAATCGTCGTACAACCATCGTCCAAAATGTCTTTGTAACCAGCAAAAGAGTCCGTCTCGATCACTTTACTAACCGGCACCGCGTCACTGCCGTTCACTTTTTCGTTAATGTGAAACTTGTAAAACATGTTAGAGTCCAGCAGGACGGCCTCGTCGTCGCCCGCCCCCGATTCCTTCCTGCGCTCCTCGTAGGGCTTCTGGTCGACCTGCAGCGGCGGCTGCGGAACGCGCTTCCTGATGTCCTGCAGCAGCGTGGCCGGCAGAACGATCGGCTTGGGTGGCGGATCCACCGGCGAGGTTTTGCCGCAACTCAACGAATCGCTGCCGCTGGTGCTGCTGCTGCTGCTGGTGCTTACGCTGCTCTCGTTATCGTCGCTATCCACCTCGGCTCCGCTACTCGAACTCGACGCTCGCTTGTGGGTACCTGGAAACCATTTTCGTTTGACTCGAGTACCTACTCAAAACTATTTTTTTAACAGTGTCAATGTCATGTTCTTATAGGAATGTAGATGTATGGTAGTTTACTTCAAATTGTTCAAATATGTTCAAATTGTATATAGTACTTTATTATCAGTAAAAATGTTAATATAAAAATATTTTTTTTAATAGAAAATCGACAGATATCTAAAACTCTCGAATATCGATAAATATTTATTGGGATATGGAATTGAATATAATTCGATTGATTATTATACTTATTATTTGTGAATGTATTGTAGTAGTAATTGCTAATCTAAGATTTGTCGTTATAGATTACATTGAACAAACTATTTCAATTTTTTATATTTGTCCACTTACGTTATTACCTACTACAGGTACCTACACAAAAATTGTTCATCTTGCGTAATTAAAATAATCGACTAATAACATCGACCTTTGTTTTAAATTTTTAAACAAAACAACAATTTAAAGCGTCTTTGCGGTATCTACTTATCGAAAATGGTAGGTAATTTTCATTACATTGGCAAGTACATCTTTGATTGTTCGAAAGGAACGGTCGCGACCTCGCCGGTTTTATCGATGGTGCCTTATAGGCGTGAACGAATATTTTCACTGTTATTAATCGCGAGAATAATCGTGTGTGCAGATAAATAAATTAATTACCCACCTTCGAAACGTGCCTAATAATCGACGAAACGTTTATTGCGTATTTTTTGTACATGTTAACACTGTTGTTTCTCGACAATAGGCAATAGAACAACCGAAATTGATAAATTTTTTTAATATGTAGGTACGCGATTAATGGCCAGCGATAAAAATCTTGATAAATGATGTAGTCGATTTTAATGGGTAATTAAAGTACTAAAAGTACAGTATAATGAATGATACTTGAAATATTGGATAAAAAACTGTATGTAGGGTATAACAATACCGAGAAACAATACAGGTATTATTATATAAGAAAATACTCAAATGTTATCACAATAGCGTCACCCGGTATATGTATAGGTATATTATTTCGATAATTGTCAGCTATGTGAGGGTTTTGAAACAAAATTTCTATAAATATATGATAGTAGTACTCACCAATAACAGTAACAGAAACACCATTCTTTTTCTTATCAGAAGCTGTGCTGGGTGTACCGTCCAAATCACTACAAGTACCGGAATCTAACGTATCACTAGGCGAAACCTGTCCGCTGGACATAATACCGTAATTGTAACCCCCGTAATAAAAGTAATTAGTCGACATATCGTTACCGTTCTTCTGCGACATATCACCACTTTCCGGCCCTAAACTGATGCGTATACAGGGCGTGACATCGCAAATGATGTCCCCGCGTTTGGTGTCACTTTCGCCGTTTAAAAACGTCCTCGACGTATTTTTGACGATATTCCGCGGACTGATCAAGATTTTAACGACGTGGTTTTCGGATTCCTTCTGATCGGCGAACACGTCTACAAGAGCGGTACCGTTCGCCAGTACCGTTGGAGATGCGGATTCCTGCAAGAGATGCGATCGGTGCTTCGCAGGCGGCGTTTCGTCCATTTTATTGGAGCGCCTGCAAAGAGAAATAAAAACTAAACGTTATATGCGCTTATTATGCATTCAGAATCTTTTGGACTACAGTTAGAACGTTCAAGATACTTTAATCTAATGGTTAATTATAATGGAATAGGTATTTTCAGTAAAAAATTAATTAGAAATTAAAAAAGATAGTTTTTGTACGAAGCGAAATTAGTTAACAAACGCAAACAATAACGTAACGCTCCTCTGTACGTGTCAAATTCTCGTTTGATTATGACATTTTAATCTTTCTGCGCGCATTCATGTGTGAAACTCATTAGATACTGGAATTTCATGCATGAAATTATGAAATCCTAATTAGCCGAGATCGTTTCCAACTCGAGCAAGCACACTCCTTTTGATTTTAGCTAGCGACTTTTACGGTATAGCGAAATCCGTCCGACCCGTAGGCAAAATGGGATATTTTTTTCCATAATTACCTGGGTTAGTCAATCATTGTTCGAGGAATTGTTTACTTTCTGATTTTTTCGACTTATTCTATAATTGATTTCGGTGTATTGTTTTTTTAATGCATTACGCTTGGTCTGTTATATGAAATATGACATCGGGTTTTTTTCGAATTATCGTAAGAACATGTTTTTATTTATTTGACTCGCTTTCTTAACTCGCTCCATAACCTAATATAGCATGGAATAACTCGGTATCTTTCGGGTAATTTTTCATTTTCGTTTCAATTGCTAGAAGTTATCATAATAATACTTTATATTAAATTAAATTCTAATGTAATAATTCATTGTAACAAATTGCGATTGACACTTCCTTGTAACGAATAAACCTCGATGTAATTACATTCGTTTTGCAGAATATATCCGCTGGATAATTATATTCGAACCGGTTAAACGTCTCTCGAAAATCCGACCGTAAATTATCCGATTATGTGAGGGTGTTGTCTTGTCTGCGAATCGAACAATACAGAAACAACACTTTCTATTTCATTCTTGGGCAGCCAATCGTTCAGAGAAACGAGATAGGTTACATGCGTTAATGGAGAAAGCAAATGCCGAAACAATTACGTTGCTAATCTTTTCCTTCGATTAAATCGAAACTCGAATTCTCGCCTATTCAAGCTGCTTAGAGGGAGATCTTCAGCAGAATCCCGATTACCTGATAGAAGTAGAGTTCTGGAATTAGATTGCTTAGCAGATACTTGTATTGTTCATCTTCAGTAAAATTGTATGATAAATAGGAAGGGGAGCATATCAATTATTAAAAGTGTTAAATAGACATTTTAAAATTTTCTTATGACGTAATAAATTATGCATTAATTTAATAATTGTGAAAAGTTTTAAGTTTTAAGATTTATGAAAAGCATTAAAAAGCATTGATAAACATTCTTAATTTATCAATTCTTATTATACTAAAATATTTCTAAATTAAATAATTGATAAAAACATCCTAAAAAAATCCTTTTAATCAGGAAATACATATACATACCTAACTTAAAAAACCGATTTAAATAAAAATTAACCCCTTTTTTCCTTTATGTTCCTAAATTTCTTCAAAATGAAAATTTCCCAATGGTGGACAATAGTGATAGAAAAATTTGAATAGTTGATATAATATACATAGATATAGTATTACCACAGTCAATCAAATACACTACTTGTTAGGGAGTAGCACCAAAAATATTTTCCATATTTTCTAATCAAGACAATATTTCTTATCACAGTTGCAAGTAATTATTTTTATCTCAATTATATAATAATTATAGTCAACGATTTATCAATGCTTGTTATTAAGAAAATAATACAAAAGTACAAAAATTTCCAGTTACCTACGTATTGTTGTGTTTAATATTTGTCTTTGTATATAATTATACAAAAAATGCAATTACAAGGCAATTAGGTATTTGGGACTGCGAAAAGGTTGCCTTGAACTTCTACGAGTTCTATTATGAAAATTAATTGCGAGAAAATTAATTGCTTAATAAATGATATTCTAAATATTAACGAGACGATTCTATATTGCTTTATTTAATTGCATGTTAAAATTGAGAAATACTTTGCGAAACGTTTCATCTCAATCGTATTATTATACAGATATTCAAATCTATGAAATTATAGTAACCTTTTTTTTTAACTATTTCGTTTTAATATTATATTTGCCAATAATAGTAGCAATTATTTTTTTCTAATTCATTGCGTAAAAGTTTACAAATGTAGATTGTTGACCAATAAAAATAATTTAATCGCACAGATTAATTCATTAATTATGATTATTATGTCAGTCGAAACCGTATAATATAACCAATTTATTGTTGGGTATTTTTATTACCTAATAAAATAATTTATAAGACAGATGAAGACACGATAGGATTTATTACTTATCGATATGAACAGGTTTCATGAAAATATGCCGGTAAGAATCTAGCGTTTTCCTTACTGTATTCATATTTTTTCTTCTACCAACAACAATGCAGTTAAGAACACGGTAAAGGAATATTACGTTTTATTTTCAATCGATAACTGAAACCGCCGTCGCCGTGCATGTAATTGTTACATTAATCGGTTTAGTTAACTGTTGATTCTAATTTCAATGCAATAACCTGTTGGGAATTTCTTCCGCAATAAAAAATGGACCATCAGCATCTTCACCGTTTGCTTTAAGTCAAAGAGACAACCATTCAAAATTATTTTTTAACAGTCGCACGCAGAGAAAGTAATTGCATAATTGCCACAAGTATTTACTCTTCGAAAATAACTATAATTACGCGTTAGAACAATTGAATTAGCGGTTTTCTTTCAAAAGTAAACGATGTACTTATATGGGAACAATTTTGAAACAATTACATATTTTTCGAATTCGCCTTCGTTCACATGACGAGCCGTGTAATAACAGCAAAAGCTATATTTTTCGGTGATTAATTACGCAGTTTGGAAATATACTAGTTCTCACAGCTCATGTGAAAAGATTGATATTTTAAGCTCTGCTTATGAGTAATTTTAGGATGTCAAAACCTGTGGAGAAACTATGGCGAATTTTCTTAATTAGCAAAATGATATATTTTATTTCTACAAATTTAAAAAAATCGCTACTCATAAATAAAATTTATTTAAATCTTATTATGACAGATATCGGTGCAACATACATCAAAAAGAAAAAGTAAAAGTCTAACAAACAGTAGGTAGATGTGTTTGTGCCAAATGAATGGGACTGTTAATGGCAAGCTTTTCATTAACGAATTAGGCAATAAACAATTTCGCGCGACATCCGATGTATGCCAAACAGATATATGGAAATAAAGTGCTTAAAAATAGTGAAATTAAAATAATCCGAATACTTTCTTGACACCTGCGGAAGCGTTCGAAAGTAAAAGAGCGAAGACGTGCCTGCGACTCGATGTTTAATGGACGACATCGATGTATTTTAAATGCGGTTGAATGAACCTCTTAAAAATTCGAATATTCGAGAAGAAAACCGATTCTTCAAGATTATAATAAAATATTCAGATTCTCTTTGGGCACGAGTTGACCTTGTAATACCTGGATCGTAAATGTCTAGATTTGTATACAAGTGCCTAAAAGTAGGTATCCATATAAAATCTTGAATGTCAATGCCACTTAACATTATTTTGACATAAAAAATAAAACGTAGTAAGAAACATTATTACACAAGCGCAAAGTAATAATTATTAACATCGTCAATGGACCCTTTGTGCTCGTGTGTACATTATGTAAAGACTCTTTACAGCTTTTTGTTAATTTATTAGTTTATTAGTTTATTTAAACTAAAACTTCGCATTACAATAATTTTTATTAACAAATGAAGAAATATTTATCCTTAAAATTGAAAGCAAGTTTCATATATTGCATTGCATTTAATAAGCTATTTAAGTCGATAAGGTAATAATCATTTAATGTATAAATAAGATTGATTAATTAGTAATAAGATTGATATGAGATATGATTGAGCAAAATTAATTGAGTAAATTAGACACAATGTTGACAAAATAATACCAATTAAAAAAACGTATCAAAACCGAAAGTACCATCATTTCTGTAATGATGAAAGTAACATTACAATAAAGTACATCGATAATATAATTACCAGAAGTAGTGATTTCTTCCGAACTTTCCTAAATCAAATTTAGTTTTTACTCTTTTATACTATAGCAAATGGTATTGCTCGGAATTAATTATTAGAAATTCGGCATTGTAATGCTTGTTTACAAACCAGATGTTTATAAATTATTTTTTAATTTTATTTACATCCAAACAGTTAGGATTTTAAATAAAAGAAAGTTAAACAGAATGCACCGTTTGATAGTGTATGCCTATTAGTAAAAGTAGGTATCCACATTTTGATGTAAAGACCATTAAGAGCAAAGCTATTAAGAAAGAAGAGTTTCTTATGTAGCACGTTTTGTGCAATTAAATGTTTTTATTGTTCTTACAGAAACTATGCGTATACCTTTTCACAAGGTGTTTCGATCCAATTAAATATGAATTTGATGAAAATGTTGCCATTATAGTTGTAAATTTATGGTGATGTAAGATTTGTGGATAATAATTAATTAATAAGCAATAAAAATTACTTACCTACCTAGGATATTTTTCGCTTCACAAATTAAAAAGTATTGTGTTAAGCAGCGAAATGTTTTTACTACTAAACAAATTTAGCACCTTTCTATTCGAACGAATCTTGAATAAATACATTAGATAATAATATTGTAATTACCCACACAACCATAATCACCGGAATAAGTTTTAATCGAAACTTTCATTACATTCTTACTTTCATCTGAAAATTTCTAATGATTCATAAAAGTATCTGTATTAAAGGAACCACTGAAGCAACCACATAAACATCCAAAACTCACCTGTTACGTTGTTAAAAGATCTCTCTAAAATCCGACAAATATCTCAAATCATACGAACACAACCACTACCACAAACCACAAGTGCATATACAGCACGTACTCGACGGCCGTTCATAAAAAAAACCCGAGCTTCTGAATCGCTTCGAGAGACCGAAGAATCGCGTTCTTAACAGCCGAAGAAAAGAAGAACCGTTGCATTGAAGGTTGACTGGCAACTGTCCGACGTTGCGCGGTGTCCCACTTGGACCGGTGAACACCCGACCAGAAGGTATGTCCGCCAAGACGGTATCCGATGGCTTTCACGATTCTACTCGCACTCTCTAATCGTATTAAGGTCTTCCGATGGCTACTAATAACCCCGATTTTAATTAGGAAGCCGACCGAAGTGGATCTTCCTCGTCTTCGTTTGCGTACAGGTGGGTCTGCAATTAGTCATGCAGGTGGGGTTTTAACCGAAATAGGGGTGCGAATAATCACTATCATCTTCTAAGTAGAATGTTTCATTATAAACAGTTCCACATACAAAAATTCACTATATCAGTGTGAAAAAACCAAATGGAATAAATTCTTTATTTCGGTTAGTGTAATTATTTATAGGGAATCTCGAAACAATTTAATTATTGTACTTACCTTCAACCCCCTTCTAGTGACAGAATTACAACTCCTAATTTTTAAAATGGACAATTTTGGATAGAATGAAGAGGGCATTAAAACGATATACTAGTAATACATCAAGCCCATACTTTTCAGGGTTAAAAAATTGGGTGTTGTAACTGGACTCAAAGGGGTTTGAAACTAGAAATCATTTTCTCGTTTAAAAATGTAAATTTATAATTAAAAATCCACGTATTTCGGGATTTACTGCAAAAACCTACAGCAACCGAAGTAATGAATTTATTCCATTTGGCTATTCCACACTGTATAAAAAGATTTCGAATGTATTGAAAAAAATTCTTCTTTTATCGAGCTCCGAAAAGTCAAACGTTTTGACAATGAATACAGCAAGCAAAAATGGCGCACCAACAGCAACCGATACCGTTGAACACGCAATTCGAAAACTACGCCAAGTACACGGTGAAGACGAAGGAGGTGCTGGACCTGAAGACAGATGATAGCGAGAAGAAGAAAGAAGGCAAAGCGATCACGCTCAGGCAAATCGACTTTTGGTTCGACCAGGCGAAGCTGTTCGACACGCGTTTGACCAAAACCGACACCGGATTGGCCTACATTGAATTCAAATCCGGCAACATTTCCTATCCACAGTTCCTAACGTTTCTGGACAACGTGGCTCAGTCGAAAGAAATCGATGTCGAAGTCATGAAGAATAAGCTTATGATGTGCGGTTTGCCAGGTAATTTTCGCGATTTGTTAGTACTATTTGTTGTGCAAACCTACTTTTTATAGGCGTCGAACCTAAAAAACCTAAACCGGAGGTGGATAAGAAGGAAACGAAAGAAGCTAAAGATTGATACCAATTCCCTCTTAATATTGTATGTAAGTATAGAAATAGATGTATTAGAAGACTATTATTTTCTCATTTTCTCACTATTATTAGTCTCAAATTTTATCAGAATTTCCCATAATCTTTACTGATGAATGAAATAATGAGAAAGGAACAAGAACAAGGATATATGTATTCACATTTAAGGACTCAAGCCATTAAAAAAATAGAAATAATAATTATTAGGTCCAGCTCAAATGAAACATGCTGCGTTTAGAGTAAGAGAGCCATATGTGAATAAATTGCCTCGTGAACCAATAAAGGGATTTTTACAGCTAAAAATTGTTTTTTATTGTGCAAAATTAAGTGAAAATTAGGAAGTACACAAGTTATATGAAGTTAAAACAACGTTACTTGGATGCAGATGAAACTATAGGCGTTACACAGTAAGTATTTAAAATAAGCAACTTTACCCAAAGTTATTTGTTTCAAACGAAGCCATTAAATTATGTTGGTGGAAGCCTGATTAGCAAATTAAAAACAACGTAATCAAAATTAATTGTAAAAAATGGATTTTCTTGGCAAACAAAATTCCATTAAAACACAATTTGCACGATTACAAATTAATCGTTGTCGACCTTCGAAATCACAGCTGGAAATCGGTGAATAATATTTTCGAATTCCTCGGCACGCGTGCACATTCTTCGCGGTTTTCTCTTTCGAAAATACGCTTTCCCAGCATCGATGTGACGGTCGTTTTTAATGGAACGCGAAACGTGTGAGGTAATCACGTGTTGATAACAACTATTGTATAACGGTATACGAGAACGTTTTCTGTTGTTGATTAGAATATGCCGTGACATTGATATTACATCAAAACCATTGGCTTTTTTTTAAATTGATTCAGTTTCTAGCTGTTCTTTTTTAACGCAGAATCGATTTCTAGTTAACGTTTAATTGGAAAATTGGGTTTTCCGTAACAAAAGCGTTGGAAACTCCACTGAATCGTCTCTACGTTAATTAGACGGAGTTAAATATAGCGATACATCGTTACAATAAATTAATGTATAGATGCAGAATGTTGACTTGACTTTCATAAAATAATTGGGTAGCAATTTAATGCAGCGAAAATAAAGTGCCGTCCGTCTATAGAATATTTAGCTAATAAGGAAGGATTCTAATTAATTGGCAATTTGAAATTTATGGGTTATTTTTTTTCGGCGGTTTTGTTTAAATGTAAAATCAAATTGAATACATTAACACAATTAGAAAATATCAAACAATCGTAATTTATATAACCCAGGATACTCAATTACCTAATACATTGGATTAGGAGAGCAAGAATCGAAAGAACTTCAGAAGTATTCTCTTAAATTTTTACTGATTATTGCACTTTGTACTTACATTTTAAGCTCTTATATAGCGAAGTAAATTCCTTTTAAATAGCACGATACATTTTATTTGCACATTAACAGACCTTATTTTCAGTTAAGAGCAGCATTAACATCAAAACTCCAACAACAATTACCCACAGTTTATTAAAAGCTTTTTTGAAAGTTTTTTGACGCTTTTTCCGCCGGAAGATCCTTTAATAATTAATAAATAAATCATAATAAAATAAGATAAAAACCCTCATAATGCAATATTAATGTTCTTATAATGTAGTCTTCTCTTTCAACAAACTTTTGTATACATACATGTACAATATTTGTTCCATTCTAAAAGTAACCCAACTGAATATTATAATGGTTTAATTAAACCGATTTATGTAAACCATATAAACATAAAACAACGCCAGTCGGCTGAGGTGATTACGTAGGAATTTAAAATAAAATTGGAATGAAGTGAAATGGTTTATGACCACAGTAACAACAGGTAGATATTCCACTGACACATATTTCTACTTTAGTAATGCGATTAATATGTAGACGAAAATCGTGCAATTTAAATATAATATGAGTACTTGCGCGTACAATTTACTTTCAAGAAAATTGCTTCGTGCAACAGTAAAAATGTCGTGTTGTTTTAGCTACAATATACTTACTTACCTACCAAACTATATTTAGAATTTTCAATAATTTATTAAAATGTTTCTTATGCAATTTTTATGTAGGTACATAATTTATTAACGATTTTTAAAAGTTTTTTTATTATGTATTTTACTATTAGGTTGTTTAAAATAATTTTAGTTAGCTCTTAATATACAATGTTTTGAATTGAACAAATTTTTGAATTGAAATAGAAATTAGGATATAAAACGACAAATTAGATATGGAATGCAGAAAAATGTTATTTTTATATTAGAAAAACAACGAAATTTACACCTAATGATCGATTCGATCAAATTTTCAGCTTAGCTGATCACGCAGATCGCTGGTTTACACTTTCACTTGGGAAATAGTTCGTTGTGGGAAAATAATCGAGAGAAAAAAATCGATAAACAGAAAAAAACCATCCTTAAAACGTCTAATTAACTTCCAGTGAAGGTATTTAAAAAGAAATCTGAAATGCTCATTTCGACTGGTAATAAATATAATCAATTACCTATCGGTTTTGTAACGATTTTTATACAGGAAATTACACAATTGTGTGGATATAATTGGTGTATCTTCAATTTTGCTCTTGCTTTTCGACTTCCTTAAATTTCTACAGCGAGTGTTCGAAAAAATAAACAATGCACATTCATCCTCAGGAGCGATTTCAGGACGATAACGAACCGTCAATGCGCTTCTTTAAACGAGCTTTGTTTAGATTGGCTGCGAATGCAAGGCAGTTCACCTTGCTAGCAAGGTGGGCGAACGCCTAGGGCACTATTAAATGTCTCACGTTTTCCAATTCCACTTATTAGTCGATTGGATTTTTTAACATCTTCCATTATGTTCGTGATTAATTGCTTAAAAAACTATTTAACTTACCTCAAAGTATCGATTACAACCCGATTTTCTCGAGATATGTATTGAATTTTTATGGGGAAATAGTGAAGCAGGCCAATGTTAGGCCTTTGGGGCAAGATGGAGAGATTATATACTATAATGTGATTTTTTGTTATCATTTGCGTAATCTCAAATGGATAAAAGTATAGCCACTTCAATTGGTATCTATTGAGATTGTATATTTAGAAAATTGGAAATAATTATGTGCATAACAAAAAATTGATTTATAGTTCAATTTGAGGATTAAATTGTTAGTCATGTTTAGTCAAATTTATAGGGTACTTAAATTCTTTTCTAAAAGTCAAAGAGTTCAATAAATAGAGCATGCCCCAAGTGAACTTAAATTGAGCATTGGATTAGATGACTCATTCATGCATTTTACACATTGTATTTAGGTCGACTAATCTTAATAATAATAATATTAAAACGAATGAAGTTATTGCGTATGTTACTCACGCCTTTGACTAATTGCAGAATTTAGCCAAAAGCAAATACCACCTGTTTAAATGAGTTTGTTGAACGTGTGATTGGGAAATTGTTACTTTCAAATTTTTCGACGTTATTAACGGTACAGAAACGTGAGCCTCGAAGCACGTCTTATGCAACAGAAAATATATCGAAGATTTTATTGATTATTCATTGATGTGCGGATGTTGTTTTATTGCAGTATTTTAATTATCATAGTGTATTTATACGATGCAAATGCCTACCAGACAAATTGTTAAAACAATTTATTGCTCAGGTAGGTAATTAAAAATAATGTTCTTCTGTGTGTAAACTAAAGTAGGTATAATTAAAAAATTAACTTATCTTATGTTTTAATTTTACAAACATCCTTGGAGAGTCTCAATTTAATCATATTTAAATTAAGTCAAACTGGAGTATCTATGTTAACAATATATTCTGAAAGAGAAATTTGAGATACACTTCCTCTTAAGCCTCTCATACCTGTTTATTAATCTTGCAATATTCGCAGTATATTTGTTTACTCTTTTCATTTACTTTCAATCTAGAATAATTAAATTACCGCTTCACAACGTACCGTTACGCATTAATAACCGATATTCTAGACCTGCATTCGAGTCACATACGACTCCATGCCCATAATTCTAATAAAAAGTACCGTAATAAGAAATATATTTAAACATATAGGTAGGTACTACATATTTCATGGCGTTGTCAACCTGACCATAGACGATGACCAGCAAAGTACGGCCTAAAATATGTAATAAATTATGAAAGCAAGTCATTGTTAAGTGGCACAAGATTTAATAGTATGCAATACTGGTTGAATACCGGATTGCGAAATATACAGTTGGTACTTATTCTGTATACCTAGGTGTTTATTAAACATACTGTTTTATGTTTGTTTTGGTATGTTTTAAGATCTAAAACTACAGTGCATCCACATTAATATGTGCAATGATGGAGTTATTTACTAGTACCGTGTTATAAAAACATACTGTTTTATGTTTGTTTTGGTATGTTTTAAGATCTAAAACTACAGTGCATCCACATTAATATGTGCAATGATGGAGTTATTTACTAGTACCGTGTTATAAATGATTTGTTCCGGGTATAAATGATCGACAATTTTTCGTAGAAGTTAAAAATGCACACTAACAATACATTTTAGATATCGACAACGCGAATTTAGTTGCATAGTTTTCATTTTGATGTTTTAAATTTATCTCCAACAATATATTATAAAAGAACAGAAGTAATTAACTGTTGTGAACAGAAAGTGACTTCTAAGTGTATAATTAACACTTTTAAGCCTTATTTATTGATAATCTATCTCTATAATAAGTACAGGATAACATTAATTCGTTCATATTACTTTTGTAGATTTTATGTCATTTATTATCTTTGTTCTACTTATTTTAGATTGGAGAACATTTCAACTGCCTGATTTTGAATTGGAAACCTTGTCGAGATTAATTTGTACTGGTTAATAGTATACAAACTAAAGCAGTACGATTAAACAACAAGAAAAATGCGCAATTAATAATAATTAATTCTACTACATTAAACCGCGACTGTTTTATTCACGGATATTTTAATAGCTTAATAAATGTTAAAGTTGAACTACTTGCATTTACTTAATTTATTTTATTTTTTAAGGTCTAAAAACTGTTTTATGGATTTACTTTATATCAGATATGCATAATTAACTTAAAAAGACAAAGTTATCTAGATTGAAGGCAGTTACTGACCTAAATACCGCGAAGAGTTTATGTTACGCTCAATAACAAAAATATCACAATAATTATTTAATCCTGCACAAGAATGAGGCGTAAAAGCGTAAATGGTTTCGTAATTTTTTTATAATTTATCAGTCTCGTTTAGCTGAAGAAGCGAAAATACATTCATGCATTCTGAATTACCTACAGACTAATATGAATAGCTGAAGATAAGGTCAAATACTAATGGACAATAACTAGTAATAGCTTTCTGCTATTCCTTATTTATACTGTACAAAAGGGGAGTTAGATGTGTGAATTTATAGTTTTGTATTTTAAAATAAACTATGAATTAACAGCAATAATTTTATTAACGGTGATAACAAATTATATAGTGAATATAGGAATACAGACATCTAACATTTAGAGAATACATTTGCCATTACAACTTGTGTAACATTAAATTAACTTGATAAAATCATATTTAATAGAGTAACGAACAAATTGACTCGTATTTCTATTCGACATCTACTTTTTGCGCATGCATAAGAAACAGTAAATATACTCTGTGATTAGATTTTGCGTTACATCACTTCAGTCAATTTAAGGTATGAATTAATCTCGAAATTGAAAAATCGCCCTCTCTAAGCTCTCGAAAGCAAATAAACGTCCATAGGCTCGGATTTTCCTTTCATCACGACCGGTCCGCGATATTCCAAATGGAATTGATCGTCGTGATTTTCGTCATCACACAGAATACTGAAAAAAATCAATTTACATAATTACTACTTAGTTGTGTACCTATTTCGTGTTAAAGTGATATACCGGGTGATTATTAAATTAAAATTATAGAGACGTCAATAAAAGTCAAATCAGTTTTACGACATTCCTGGCCAGCTTTTACTGGATTAGGTATTATTAAATTGGTATTTTTTTATGATCATTAGTAACAATAAGATGCTTATTAAGTTCGTATTTATGCAAAACTCATGCAGACAAACAGATATTTTGGAAAAAAACCCAATACAAAAAATACCAGTTTTTTGTATTGCAAAACCATAACAGTTGATTCCATTGTGTAATGTATAGTTATTCAGCTACAGCAATCAAAAGTCATACCTATAAACATCTTTTGTGACGTTAATTTTTCCTGGTACACCTGTCGTTTCGGTTCTGCTGGTAAGATTGACTGTATTGCCGTACAAACAAAACCTTGGCATTCTCCGACCTATGACACCGGTAACCACTTCTCCGCAATGAATACCGATGGTTATTTTCTGTAAGACGTAAGACATTAATTACATTGAGTGAGCGTCTAATTAACGAAATTTGTGGCTTCAGAAATTTATTTATTATATTCATTAACTTTGCTAATAGACTAGATAGATCTATGTAAAATATACATGCATATTTATACTTAACTTATAAGTAGAATAGTAAATAAAAAAATTATAAATATTTGGAATTAATAAGATCATGTACTTACTACAACTTCACCTTCAAAAGTTACAGTCTGGCTTCTATCCATCATATCTAAAGCTAGTTTTGCTATATTTTTAGCATGTGTAGAGCAAGGTTCCGGTATTCCACTTACAGCCATATATTTGTCTCCCACTGTTTCAACCTGTAAAAAATACACATTTGAACCCAGTGATTTATGGGTACTTATGGTATACTAAAGTAATATAGAAACAAAATATGTTATTCTTAGCAGTGGTGAAATGTCCTTTAAGACCTTCCAGAGCAGCACTATGAATCGATAAAAAAGAATATTCAAAAATACAAGGTTAGTTAGAAACAGCAAAGTTTTCAGAAAGTAAGAAATCAGGAGTACCTTGTAAATATTGGGATTGATTTTTGGATCAGTGAGATCGTCGAACTTTGTGTAAAGCTCGTTCAGTAACCTGACGATTTTCATGGCTCCCTGGGAATCTGAAAATTTGGCGCAGTAATCAGAGAAGCCCACGATCCCTGAAAATAGAACGGTAGCGCATTCATATCTCCTGGCAGGTACGGGTCTCTTGTGTCTCAGCTCATTGGCCACCGTAATCGGTAGTACCGAGTACAACAATCTAAAAAGAAAAACAAATTGTTGATTGAGTAAGCTAAAATAATAAATTTAAAAAATGCAAGTAGAGGTATAGGCGCATCCGCCAATTTATTGATTTATTTTTATGTGCATGTGCTTGCAACTTACTTTCCTATAAGCAATTAGGTAATAAAAATTAGTTCTGAAATATGGATAATAGATACAAATCTAGAGAGCTTTACCAAATTCATGAAGCCTTTTATTAACCACTTACCTATCAGTTTTTATTTTTTCTCTATCCAATTCTCTGTATGTTTGCTGCAGTTTATCCGTCAAAAATTCCAAATTCCTAGTTAATTTGTAATCGGCCTCGAATTGCTCGGACATCAGTACCAAATCCCTAGTAGCATCGTGAAGTGGAATGTCACTTATGTACAACCCTCTCCTAAAATGTAATACAGCTATTATAGATACAGTGCAAAAAATAAAATTATTTGCAGTATATGCCAAATATTCTACATTTTCAAACATTGAAATAAACCACCTCGTTAAGTCATCCAAACTAACGACGCTGGGATAACACAGGAACACGATCAAATCCGATTCGGGAACATACAGCATTTGTCCCTTTAATCTCAGGTGACGATACGCCGGGGGAGCGTTAACTTGCATAACTCCCGTGCGAGTTTTCAAAACGTAAATCGTATTGATATGCGACAGGATATTCTCGAAGGTGAGATCCAAATGCGGACGGACCTGAAAAACCATAAAAAATGATTAATACAAATGGATATTGATTTTAGTAATACCAGGAAAAACGAAGGCTAGAAACCTGGTAATATAGCAAAATGATAACTTAAATTATTTGTTCATCGTTTGCAAACCCTCTGTACATTTAATCTGATGAAGAAGATAAATCCACTAAACTGTTTGCAGTTGCAATTTAATCTACTTACTGGGTCTAGGATATCCGTAATCTTGCAATTGGGAGAATTAACTTTCGGAATTATCCTTGCAACTGAAAATCCCGTCTGTATTATAACCATTTCGGCATTGAACATAATGTGAAACGGAAAAATCCTGCAGAACGTAGCTGGTCCCACTTTCGGCTCTGAAACGATACATTACATTTTCCAGAAACAATTAAACGAACTTTTAATTAGACCCATCCCCCGCGTATTGTTTAATTCGTTTATAAATTTTAAACGTTTCCATTTACTTGACATGACTAATTTTGAAAACTATATTCGTCCCTTTTCTCATTGTCTCGCTGTATGAGATTACATAACATCCCCGAGTCTCTTCGGAGTTTACTTTAAATAACATCCCTGAAACTTACGCCGTGATAAATATATTCAATTATGTGCTTTGTTCTCGAGGAGCTGCCTGGTGATGAATAGATGACTACCTAATGCCGTAGAGGGAATTTACCCGGGTATTCGGACAAATACCGAGAATATGTCAATGCTGAATTTAATCCTTTAATTTCGCCCGGAGAACGCAGAAAGACCCGGAGGATATGATTTAATTAAATCCGCTCGCTTCAAAGATATTATTGAATGTTTGCTAACGATACGGCTAAAGAGGTCTTATATTTGACGCGAGTAAGTAATATGAAAAGTTAGACAAAGGGTTTAGTAGATCGTGCGGTAATTTCGAAAATGATCTGGATCGGAAATTAAATACCTACTACATATTATACTGAGTGTACTATCGTTCTTAAGTCAGGAAAAAACTTATTCTTACCTAACGATAATGTTTCTATTTCATCAATTTCTGGCAATTGCGATTTTCTAGGTCCCGATTTTTCAGTAATCAAAAACTGAACGTGATCTGCTTCCTCCTTAGTCTTTATCACTTCTATGTCCACTTCTGTATTATGCAATCGACTTGCTACAGTCTAAAAAAATAGGTATAGTGTCTTCAATAAGGATGATAGATGCATATTTACCCTAACAATTCCTATAACAATGTGCTCCAGTCCTGGCCTGTCGGAATAGTAGTGAAGAATAAGAGCGCCATCATCTGGTCTTTCGGTGCAACGGAATGAAGGAGCCTTCATTCCGGGATAGAGGGTGCCCAAATGGTCGTGCAATGCATCTAAATTCTGTATTAAAATTCGTAAAATTTAAGTTTATATTTTTATAAACTTTTATTGGGTGTGTTACCGTCAGGAAATCTCTTGGAGTAGCTCCTAATACTTGCAGGATTTTATCATAGCCGGAGTCTTGGCAGAATTCGAAGAAAGTCTTGCCGAAGAGCTCCAAAATTGCATTTGCAGGTAACTCTGTTATAGATTATTGTTAATAGAAATTTTGTGTGTGTAATAAATTGGGTTTCTTACTTAGTATTTCTACTGCAGCTCCTATAATGTTGTAAGTTACTTCATCTTCGTATATTTGCCTTACCAGAAAATGTCCCTCCATTTGGAACTCTGCCTTTTTCCTACAAAAAATATACAAAATTATATCTTTTAATAAATCTCATGTTTTAATAACAACTCGCTTTATCCTTTATGAAAGCGCTTGGTTGAGTAACAATAACAAAAAAAAACGAAACCGTGCCAAAAAAAACACCTTCATTTCCGATTTGGAATAAGAATTTTCGACTCCTTCGGGTCGTGTCGAAGTTTATTCGAAACACGCAACGAAAATAAACCGGGGACCTCTCCTCTCTCATTATTCTGGATATAAAGGGTATTTGCGAGCATCTGAAATTAAATTTTTATTACGCTCGAAAAGTGAAAACGAGAAAACGAGGTCCAAAACATCGGAGAAATTAAATTGCCGCTGGTCGGGGATTGCGTTTCCACCCGGGCTTTTAATACGAAAATGGATACCGTTTTCCTTTTTGTAATTAGTCTGTTTGGGAATCTCGTTACACTCAGGATCGCTCTTGGCGGAGTGTTAAAACGTTTTGTTTGATACACAAACGGGTAGAAGAAATAATTCGATATTATAAAGCTATTGTTAGTTTAACCAACAACAAAGTTACAATTTTTTTTGTTTTCTAATATACATAGCTTTTCAAGGAAACCGACCATTAGAAGTTATAGGACATCCGGAAGAGTTAGAAATCTGGAAATTTAGGAGTAAAGAAAAATCAATGTTGTGAGTTTTTCTAAAATATTTTCAACCATATATGACTTCTAGTTGTAGCGGAGGTAGATGTCAACTCTTCGTTATTTCAAATGGAAAATCATTTCTTTATTTTTGAATTATGTGGCTCATTTTAATTAAACTTTGTTATTAACACCATATGCTAAACTTCTGAGTTATTTAATTTTTCTCAAAATTTTTTGGAAAAACGGTCAAATGCATTTTCTATGATATCTCTGTTAATAATGCACCTAGAAGTTTGAAATTTGGTATCGATAATGTCCAGATACAGTACTGTACTTACTTGATAGTTTCCCATGTTTCTTCTCCAAACGTCTTGACAACCAATACTTCTAAAGCATAATTCACGAATCCATACTAAAAATTCCAAATTCATTAACACAAGAATACCGTTAAATAATATTATTTTTTCCAAGCTAAAAATAATCATTCTTGTTTTAAAATAAACGACACCGGTGTGCTGAAAATTTTCTCTCTTTCGTCCGTTCAATCTACTGTCGGTTAATAATAGGCAGGTAAAATTTGCAATGGTAATGTTCTGACTCGGTTCAACTCCCCAACGGGTCGTTTTAAACAAATGCACTGCACACACATTGTTTTGTAAATTAGTCTGAAGTAATTTGAATGTATTTTGTGCCCGAGTCGAGATGAAAATCTCTGCTTATTTGAATCCGGCCGATACGGGAAAGGTTTCGGGTTTAGGTAGATGTTTAGTGTGGGATTAGAGGTTGTTTGGGGAATTTTAAATTTCTCTAATTCCTGTCTGGAATACCAACTAAAAAGAACATTTAAAATTCTGCTAAAGAATTGAACGTTTAATTTGCATTCTAATTTAACACAAATTTGTACTGCTGTAATTTTGGAGTTTAGCAACTTCACTATTTATTGCAAATTGAAAAATAACTATTGCAACAGCTTGAATTATCTACAAAGGATTACATTTATGTATTTTAATACAAATTCCAGCAATTTTCGCGAGTTGCAGAATCGTTGTGGCAGATGAATTTAAAACTAGGGAAAACTGGATTAATTCGAGCGCTTGGAGAATTGTTCGAAATGAAATACGGCAAACTTTAACAGTTACCAGAGCATTTCTACTCCGTGTAGAGACGGAGAAATTACCTATTCGAAGTTCGTCTCGATTTCCTTCCTATTATTTTTAACTAAAGGCGAATGCACAAATGACGAGAATAGAATGGAAGAATTGAATTGTAAACGATCCGAAATCTGCAAGGAAGTAGTATTTTTCACTCTTAAAAGAACCCTTAAAAATCCTTACAGAAGTTCAAACAAGCCTAGCGTATAATAAAATTTACAAGAGAAATTTCTATGGTATTGCAGTACTGGACAAATACTAGATTGTAAATGGAAATTGAAATATATTGAAAATTATGATTTCATCAATGCCAAAGTTTGGAGAGATTTTTACTGAATATAAATTGTTTTTCTTTTAAATCTAATAACTTTGTGACCTACAATGGAGTGCTTACCAGCTTAGAATTTTCTTTGTTAAGGGATTTTTTAAAATTTCTTTAACGAATTTTCAGTAACATTCATCGAGGAAATTGGGAAATTGATAATTACGAAATAATAATTGATAATTACGAAATAAATTTCAGGAAAATTTTCAACTTGCTCTCGACAATTAATTAAAATTATAATTATTTACCAATTTCCGAGGGGGTTTCGGTTAGAAAATTTATCGATAAATTTTATGATAATCAGTTTGAACATTTGTAATAATGGATATATTGAAATACTAAATAAGGTTTTTATCATTATATTTTACAAAATCATTGTAATTGGTGGTTTTAATTAAAAAAAACAGAATTTTAGAACGTAAATTATAATAGATATGTGAAGCTTTTCTAGTAACTCTATATCTTTTTTTAACATTTTAGGAAATTTTTAAAAACTACTATATAAAATTTTGACGAATCTTAAAACCTTTCTCAACAAAATATTTATTTTTGAAATTTAATTTTTAATATTTTAGCATTGTCAAACCAATAAATTGGTATATAAAAGTTGGTTTTCCACATGATTTATTAAAGTTGTCCTCAAATACAACAAAAACAAGTAAAAACACTTCAAGGAGCACTTTATTTTTTTATCAAAGCAAAAGAAAAGACTCATTCATAAAACAAAAGCATTTTCAAAACTCAATATACTCAACAACCCCAAACAAAAGTTTTTTTATGACGAAAAACTTTCTTAATATAAGAACCTTAATAAAGTGGTTAATAGACAGGTTTAGGATGTTAAAAATTGGAATAATCCATCCATCTTGCGTATTTCACCAGGGATATCATCTGATATGCATAATAAATTTGAATACAAATATTTACTCACCATTTTTCCGAAGTTGTTTACAATTCAACCAAAAGTCACATTCAACGTTGCCAACACTGGCAACAACTAGGGAAGAAGCCGGCAGGTCTCTCACATTTTCAGTCTCTGATCGATTTTAGTCCTGCGCTCAGTCGGCCGCCTCTCGTACGTACACTTTTTCGATTTCGTTTCCACTAATTTCGTACAATGTCCAATTGCTCCTCGGACAACGAAGCTTTCCTTGAAAATTTAAATTAAAATCGTACACCTATGAACTTTTATTTGCGCTGTAACTCCAGCTACGTTTCAAGATTTAGATTTAAACGAAACGCTGTCGCACAGCTCAGCGAATATCGAATTAATTCCATCGTTCCGTCCAACTTGTTAGGAGAAGCTTTGCAGGAACTTTAAACTTTAGAGGGCTTTTTGGAATTTATTTCCTAAGAACATAAGTTGGGCTAACAGGACTGCACTCGGCTTAGAAATTTCTCTTCCTAAAGTTTCTATACAGAGTGACCTCAAATTAAACACTATCTACGCTAAAAATGATTCTTAAGTGTTATTTTTGTTTATTAAAAATAATAAAAATTAGCTAATTACGGACATTGTTTAGGGAAGAAAAAGCTCGGGAATTCGTTATTATAAATGAGTACGTACAGCGGGAAAAATTAATTACTTTAATGGGGAAAATTCATTCCATTTACATTTCGGTGTCTTTACAATTTGGGATAAATGAGAATGATTTAATTTTATTAGCCTTTATTTGAATATATACCAAAGACAAATATTTGCTCAAAATAGAAACTATTCAAATACATTCAACATACTATTCAAATACACCTAAAAATTTGTTTGATATTTTATGTTGACTGAATTAATTCTACAATACAAATTAATTGTGCGATTTTTAAATAATTTAGATAGAATTCCCGTGTCTTTTTTGTTACGCTGTACATCCTTATAAAAATTGCAAACCATCCACAGGTGGAACAACAGTGGTTGTTTATTGAGCATCAGGTGAGTTATAAAACATCGATATACATCTTATTTCGTATTTTCCTGCCAATTTTTCGTTTACAAGAGCGAACTATTGGCATGCATTCGTTTTCCATTCTCCACATTTTGAACTACAAACTTCGATAAAAACTGTTGCTTTACTCAGAATTGGAAATATCATAATTTCATCTGCGAATTCGATCCCTATATAATATTGGAATGGTCGGGCATAAGAAGATCTTGTCGAATTTTATATGAAACGACTCTGTCGTATACTTATATTGGTCGTTTCCTTCAAGCTGGAGCATACTAAAAATATGTGACATTTTCCCTTATAATACCTACATTTGGGGGAAAATGTTAACGTCGTCAATAGTAACATTTTTATAGAGCATACTCCATGTCCTCTTAAGATGGAGTAATAATAAATGTTTGAGACTTTTTTGCAGAGGTCGGAAAAGCCTCAATTACATATTAAACGAAAGATGATAGCCAAATTAGAGATTATAAATAATAATACCTTTTCCTAAAACCCATCTACAACTAGACCGAGTAGGTACATTATTTTTTTCGTCGGAACATTCTCAAGTAATAACCACTGATAATTCTGAGGCTCGAACAAACGGCGCTTGCGTTCGACATCCAGGATATTGGAGATCCCATCGCGTATTCGCAGATATGATTAGATACTTTATTGGTAATTCTGGAGAGTAAAAAGACGAGAATAGAAGTAAGACGAAATTCATGAGAAAGTTATTACCATAATAAACTGGCGAAAAGGGCTTTTTTATCCAATGAGTTGAAAATGGTGCGAATTCAGGAATTTACGATTAGTTTATTTTCTAATTGATGCTATTGGAAAATAGATGTAAGGCTGTTAATTTAATCATCGGGCGGTAAAATGTTTGATTACTTAGTTATTCATGGTCGAGTCGAAATTTTTATTGGTGCGAAGTGCTCAACAACAAAAGCTGAGAAAATTATGGTTTTATATCCCACTTAAAACTTTTCTTGTTTTGTGCGAGTAATTTGCAAGATTTGCTGGCATGTAATCCAGGACGTTTCAGGACCTTTTTGGTTAGAAAAGGCACTAAACATAAAAAACAACACCTCACTTATTACTTAAAAAAATAAAATGATTTCAGAAATAAGAAACTGTAACTCTACAAAACATCCACAAAATATTAAGCCTACAATACCTACGTACTTAAAAATAATCATCAGTAAATAAATTTATTTACTAGGAGCATCTAGTAGAATTCTGATATATTTAATATGCATATCCAATCTAATTTTCACTCTATTATTATTAGCACAGAGCTATATGTAATAGGTATTAAAAAGGCAATAAAAACTTTTGAACTTTACGATGAAAATAATTTTAACTCAATAATAAAAGCTTAATAAAAATCGTCTCGTAGGTACCAATATAAAGCGAAGTTGATGGAAACAAATTAATAAATTCCTCTTTGAGCCATCGTAAACATCTTCGATTTTATCTTTTATGCCCTATTCCGAAATTACTGACTCGAAAAATGTTTTGTATAGATATATTTATACAACAAGATCGAATGCGAAAAACATCCCCATCCTAAATTCGCCCGCTCGAAAGACGATATTCGCGACATAATCGTTTTCTTCCCCAATTACCGTATAGAGGGTGTACAAATTGGCATGTTGTGCCTCAAAGTGTCTCGAAAACGAGAGAATATAGATAAGAAGTAGTTGAATTTTTATATTATTTTTACCAGTATTAAAGTAGACTTCAATGAATTCTTAGCTATTTTTATATGAAGCTTCCTTGAGAAACAAATATTCTTCAATTTTTTTAATTAAATCTTTCGTAAAATTATTAGATATACTTATTGAGCTATACATATTGTCTTTGAATCCTTTTTGGTAGCTCTTCTTGTTTTCGAAGTACCACAAAAACTATGCAAATTTGGTACACCCTGTAAATTTATTTGCCCCGCATTTTGTCAAAAGAAATTTTTGTTTGGCCCCCGATCGTCAGTCGCTAGGAAACGCTGGTAAAAACGCGCTCGGTTTCGTTAAATATCGCACAAGGGACGAAATTGCGGTATGCCAAATCAATGGAAATCTCTTCTTTGGGATTGTTTTCTGTGGAAACAGCCCGAGGCGCGGAATAATAAGAACGCTGTCCGCGAAAAACCGCTTTAACGGCGGCTTTTCAAAGTTTTATTAATCATGTCTCTGACATTTTCGGAGAGAACGACGGCAAAAACAGATCGCTTAATCCACATCAAAACCCCCGACGTATTCAAACGGTTATTGAAATATTAGATGAAATAATTATCTATGGTGGAGAGGACTAACTCTATGTGCACATAAAATACCTACATCGGTTTTATCCTTATCAAATCCTTCCTACTCGGCAAACCGCTCGGTCATCTTGACAAGTAATGGTAGCAGGATCCTCCATAACTCAAAATTTTAACGAGGATATGAATGATTAATTAATGTACTTTAATTACATTGTATTCTTGTACTTTTGTAATATTTACATTCATAAAATAGTAGAACCATAAATTAGATTTTATAAAAGAAAAATAATGCATTATGTACACATATTATTGCAGCAATTTTATTTAAACACATTTAATATTTAACAAACCAATTATCAGAAGCAATTTTTCGAAACGAACATCTCTCGAGACCTTCCCCAACGAAGCGACACCTCCAATTTTCTCTCCGTCATTTAAAAGACAAACAAATTATCCTAATTGAAGGGTCGTAAAGACATTTCATTAGCCGGGCTGTTTGTTGGATTCGTTAACATTTTCCCAATTAAGACATTGTTTAAGAACGATTATAATTTCAGGTGACGTCGGGCAAATACACCCCGGCAAGGTAAGTACACATCGGAAGGAAATTACGCCGATGTCAGTGCAAACAAACTCATCGTGACAAGAAATTTTGTACTTGAGCACGAAAAGTTGATGTTAATAGTCGGGCGTGTAAATACAATTTGTATCTCTATTTGCTTCCACGAAAATATTATCTCTAGATTACAAAGTTGGTTAGGGAAATTAGGAAAATGATCTACAGGGCATGAGTATTCTGAGGAATATTATAAATTTTAATTATATTATTGTCTAACAATGTCATTACTTTATTATTTGAGAAGCTAAACATGTGGAGTACCTCACTATATTAGTCGATTATTCTTATGAAAATTTCTCAATAGTCTTCTAAAAGTTGTAAATAGTTTTGAAAGCGTTCTAAATGGTTCTGGACTTCACTATTAATCCTGTACCGTTCCAAATAGTCTCGAATCGATTATAAATGATCGTCTTGATCTGTATCAAACGGCCCTAGCCTGTTCTGAAATTCTAAATGATCACTCTAAATGATTTCGAACAATTCCAAACGATTCTCTAACTGCCCTGAACAAAATATGAACAAGTGTTATGTTCTTGTACTTGCATTTTTTATCAATAATTCAGTGCCTCCCTGTTTCCTGACAGTGTTGTTTTGTCGGTCTCTAAACTAGTTTAAACCGAGAAGTTGGCAACTAGCGAAATTGCGCCCGACAAGTGTTCGACCTTAAAGCAGGCGAATCGAAAGATAAATCAGCAACAAACGGACGCGGAGCTGATGGAGAGAGAGCAAACGGCGCGGCGTTGAATTTATGACGACCTTCCGGTGCCCCGTGCGGATTTAGGCCGGCTTATCGCCGGCCCTTCGCCGGATAAACTCATTAGCGCCAATTCGAGTGGTCGTGCAGGATAACTGGAATATGGAAATTTCGCCGGTACATACGTGAAAATCGCTTCGGAAGATTAGGGTGCGCCGTAACTGAGTTTGGGGGATTAAAGAACGGAAAGCGTCGGATTGGATTAGCACGAAGCTATTCTGATTTATTTTAAATGTGGCGTGATTTCGCTTGCATTTAACTTGTTATACTGTAGAACCAACCATTAGAATTAAACAGGTTTATTTTTTTAGCAATCCATAGCAGGTTCTATATCCTGCCTACGATTCAGGTCAATGGAAAGTACTTATTTGGAACAGTACAAAATTTTAATTTGCACGAAAAAATATATTTCAAAAACAGTAAAAAATATGTTGTAAATAAATAAGTTAATTAAAAAAAACGTCAAATCTGATTGAACTGAATCGAAAGGGGGTAAATTTAATATCAATATTGTGAGCATAGAAAACGAAATAGTATCGGAAAACCTTCCGTGCATTCTGGAAGTGAACAGCGCTG